CTTACTTTGGCAAATCATAACTACAAAGTTTATCAAAAGGAGGAGAATATTGTAGAAGATGTAAGTTTGTATGTAATGAAAAATATACACAAGGCTATATAAAAATATATATATATTTTTGGTAACATTGTACACAGTGGCAGTTCCAGGAATCTTGAAAAAGGGGGGGGGGGGACCAGTGTGGTCTTGGGGTACTGGCTCAAGGCCACACCAAAAAAATTGATTTATTAAATCTGACGTATATTTTGGACACAAAAAAGTGGGGGGGGGGGGGGGGGCTGAGCCCCCCTCTAAATCCGCCATTGGTACAGTTTAAAATCTAATTTGGCCAAAAAAGTAGTAGGTGGTGGGTAAAAATTAGAGATGGTCGACTTAACGGAAACACATAAAAAAAAATTTAGCCTAAAAAGAAGTCATATAATTCCGATTCACTGTAAAAGAACAAAACATATTTAACTGCAGCTATAAATACAAACTAATAAGATATAAATATAATATACCAATGTAAATGTATGCATTCATGATTGACAATAAGAATGAATTTCTTTAATTTGAAAAAAAAAATATTTTAAACATATTTTAGATGTACTGGTGCTTTGAAAAGAAAAAAAGAAGATGAAAAGATACATAGAGAAATAATTTTCAGTTAAAACCAGGTGAATTTTTTTTTAATATTACAATTGTCTGGATATTGAATTTTCATTTTTTTTTTTTAATGCCACTGCCACCATGAATTTATCAATCTTTTATAAAAGTCAGATTCTGAGGGTGTAATAATTATGAAAAGAAATTACAATTCAAAAATGCAAAATATAATCTAAAACTAACCTTTTATTAAAATTCATACTCTCTGATACTAAAAGTTCTCTTTTAGTATCCGAGAGTATGAATTTTTATGGGGGGGGGGGGGGGGGGTGGTCCCGTCCCCAAGCACCTGTGATATGAAGCCTGCTTTTTAAGTACACATGCAGGAATTTTGAGGCAATTTATTTCAAGATGTAAATACTAACTACTAGCTTAGTATTATATACATTTTGATAAAAATAGATATGCTTATATACTTGTATTTGTTATCACATGAAAAATGTAGTAGATATTAAACAATTGATTTTTGATTAAAGTATACATGTATGTTTTTTTTTTCCAGGGGAAAAGATGAAGATGATTATTTCAAGTATCACTTTTCAAACCCATTTAAAATTCTTCTTGACTGGTCAGACACAACACCACATAATGGTCAACCTCTGATGTAAAGAGAAATCATGGAAACATCAAGCCTAGCTGTTTCTATTGTCTACAAAATTGCTATATAGCAGCTATTTTCTACATTTTGTTTATCTCTAAATACACATTTTGGATAATGTTTAGATGTAGATTCTTGCTTGATTAATAATTTGAAAAAAAAACAAACTGTTTTTAAAAGTAACGATAAAATTATACATATTCACATGAATATGTGTATGTTTTCTGATTGTAAGACTATTCATTAATGGTATTATTTTTAATGGGGTGTTAATTTATGGTCAGTCTAAATAGTTCTAAATTTCTTTATCCAAATAAAATTGACATCTAAAGATTTGCATCTGGGAACAAGCAAAATTTAAAAGGAGGAAATTAACATTAGCTTATCAAATTTCAAACCTGCTAAATTAATACACTGTATCTACCTACCTATGCATGAAAAACTAATTATTTATTATTTATTTATTATTTTTGGTTGAAAAGTATCATTAGAGTTTTAATCCATTATCTTTTTCCATTTTTTACCTAGTATTTAAAAATGTTATTTACTGAAATAAGTTCCAGTGAAAAGTTAAGAGCCATTCTCTGTAATGACTTTAACTTTTATATAGGAGCTGTGGCACGCATAGTCTCAGAATTTATCCAAACTCTCTATGATAAAAGTCTTTGATAACGTAAACTCAAATCAGGCAAAAATTGGTTGCTACGTGTCATGGTTACCATAGCAACATGTCCTAAAGTTTGAAAAATGGCATTTTTCAACATGTTCAGAGTCCCACAGTTAACGTTTGCAGCAAAGCAAACAAGTGGCAATGACTGTTTCTGAAAGTTAAAGGCCTGATGTCTTAAATGCATGATAAACATGTTTGGTAAATCAACTATTACATACGTTACTATGGAAACAAAGTATTCAAAAGTAATAATTTTGTTCATTTAATTTTATAAAGTCATACACTTAAGAATAAAAACAATTATAGGTTGAAATGCAAGCATATAATAGAGAAGAAATCCTTGTAACATATACCAAGGACGAAATATGATATTTCTTATAGGTTGGCAATGGTTGCCATGGTTTTAATACCAAAATGGGATTTTAAACTTACTCTCTTAGTGTTTAAATCTTATCCTATCTTTTTAAAGAGAATATTTCTATATAACTGATGATCAATTTTTAAAGGCGTTGGTGTGACCCTAATTTTTACATTTCAAAAAATTCAAATTCAATTCTTTAAATAGAGCGTTGCTATGGAAATTAGCCGAAAAAATATGCATAAAAATCTGAAAAAATATTCTGTTTCCTTGGATACGTACCCTTGTATGTAGATTCCCAAAACTTTTATGATTGATATAAATGAACAACTAGCCTGACTTTCAATTTTGACTACCACCCAATTTCTAACTGGATGCAAAAAGCTGGCACATAGGATTTAATATTGATATAAAATTAACAAAATCGAACATTTTCCCTTCTTGGTGACCATAGCAACAGTGTTGTATTTTTCAACAAACTTTATCAATATATGATATTCAACCTTAGTTCTACCTGATAAATACTATTCAAGGTGAGTCAAATAATATGTTTCTTGATTAAAAGGTAAGTAAATTCCTGAAGCAGCAGAAAAATATCACTTTAAACAACTGGTACGTTGTTTCCATGGTTACACTGCAAAGTAACAATTAATCCCAATTTTTATTAGGTTGTCGGTGTTGCAAGGTCTTAAGGATGTATATGTGCCAGTCATGAATTTTATTGTTTTTCCTCAAGATAGTAGCATTTAACCCAATCTTAGCAACAGATTTTGCATGGATACACTGTGTTACCATGGCAACCATAAAAGTTATTTTTAGAATAATATTGTCAATACCTAATTACTTAAGGTCAAATATTTTTATTGTTTTTCTTTGGTTGTTGATTGAGTTTGATCATGTAACATCTATCATTAGTGAATATTGGGCGTTTTTCAGCATTTTTCAGCATCTAAAATGTATTCCAAATGTACCCATGGTTACCACTTACTTAGAGATAAATTCTTAATAGTTTCTCTATAGCATAAGTGGTGACAAGGTGTCAAGTTTTTGTGAGAATAGTTTGTTTGTTTTCCTTACTCTTTATTAAGGCTTAATAAAGATTCAAAGTAGCTGAAAATCTCAATTTTTTCAACTTTTCTGGCTGTTACCATGGCAACCAAGACACATAGCAACGAAATTTTATTTGATTTATGTTTTTGGTGTCAAGTTGTAATAATGGGCAAAGTTTCATAAAAATCGGTGACCATGCGTGGCAAAGAAGTTTAAGTGGTTACAGAGAATCGCTATTAAATAGCTAATTTTCTTTAGATTTTGAGTTATCTGCCCTTTGTAAAGGATCATAGAGAAACAATAGTAATTCATTTAATTTTGTTTTATCCTATTTATTATTTTAATAATATTTACTTATCATTCCGTTTGTCTTATTTATTAGTGAGAAAAATGTTTGGAAAAGAAATTTTATAAAACAACCAGTGTCTAGTAACATTTTGAACAAAATATTATTTGGCAAAATGCCAATTTTCGAAGTTAAAAATACCGAAAACGAAAAAAATCCCCACTCCACTTTTCATAAAAGTTAACTAATATTATTATGGTGTTTCTAAAATTTAAGGTGATTTTTTCTTGAATTGCCTGCATTTCTTGAAAGACTTCTTGAAATATAGGGTAAAAACGACCATTTTCAAAATGTAAGAATTTGGACATCTTTGAGCCATCAATTGAAGAATTTGCAGGTGACTTGTAGAATTTTTTTTTTTGTGTTATATAGTGCTTCATTTGTTCTATTCATATAATGTATGAATTATCTCAAAATAATAAAGATGATTAAACCACAAGAAATCAAGTATATAGCATTTTTATGCTTGAATTGAGAGTAAATGGGGACAAAATCTATATTAGCCTGTTACCATGGCAACCAAGGCAGTAACTTTAATTTTGAATGTTGATTATGTCATAGTGTATGGGCATTAATCAACTGAAAAAGTTTCATGAAAATCGCTCATGGTGTGTGCCACAACCCTACAGTAAAATTTTGGTCCTTACAGAGAATTGATGTTAAAATACGGGTGTATTTATGCAATACGTTCACATACCTTTGTAAAATATTTTAATTTTTTTCCCATTATTTTACACGGAATCGTCTTGGCACGGAAATATATGTATGGTTGTTACAACCGTTGTAATTCATTCTATAAGTCCGTAGTTTGCTCTTCTAAAATCCATATTATTTGTAATGATTTTACATATCAAATAAGAATAAACATATCTATTTTACAACTAGATTGATTTTATCTTTAATACTACAGCGTTCGGTAGCAATTACAATGATTTACAGCGATAAAAATTGTCTTATTAAAAAGTTTAATTTAAACATTGTACATATGTGCAGAAAATATTGTAAGAAACTTAAATTAATAATTTTACTTATTGTGCTTGTATCGTCTTTCTTAGGACACTTTTCATTGATTTGTTTATTTATTATTTATTTATTTTTTTAGCACCAGGCATACATACAATAGAATAGTTTCAATGCAAGGAAAAGACCAGAGGCATTCCGAATAAATCGTTCATCTTGCGTTCACCGTTCGTTCACCGTTCACTTTGCGTTCGCGTTTGCGCTCCGTTCGCGTTCTGCGTTCGCTCACTGTACTTTTACAGGAATTCTAAAAAAAATTCTATTTCTATGCATTTCTTTTATTTTTTTTAAATAACTTTAAATGCATACATACTGCTATCTCAGAGATGAGGTGTCTGTCTGTGGGTGGCTTTCTTCCAAAATGCAGTTTTCTTCTTACTTTGTGGAAAGGCACTATAATCATTAATTGTAAAATATCATTAGTTCATTTTTAACAAATCGCTTCTACAGAGTTCCTTAAAAAAGAATTGAGTACATCTGTGATCAAAGAATGACACTTGTGAAGGGGGGAAAGCGAAAATATTTCCCACTTCATATGAATATAAATATAGATATTACTATGGAACGCCATAGCTGCCTGAAGGTCATTTTCATTTTATATGAGGTGGTATAACCTTTATGTGAAGTGGTTAAGTCATTATATATAGTGGTAAAATCATTATATTCAATGAAAACTTTATTATATGCAGTGGTTTTATCTTTATATACAGTGATAAAATCATTATATACAGTGATAAAATCATTATATTCATTGATAACTTTATTATATGCAGTGGTTTTATCATTATATTCAGTGGCAATGTCATTATATGTAGTGATTAAATAATGTAATGAAGTGATAATATTGATATATTATGTTGTAAAATCATTATATGCAGTGGTTTTTCCATTATATACATTACTGAAATCTTTCTGTGATGTGATGAATTCAATATATACAGTACAAACATAATTTGTGTGATAAAGCAATCATTACATTATATGAAACCCACTGCATGTGGAGTGCCAAGTTAATTTCATTCAGTGCGACACCTTTACATGAAGTGAAAAATCTATTATGTGCAGTACTAACATCATTATTTTATATATAGTAAAATTATTATATATATTCCTAAAATCATACTTTGCAGTGGTAACATCTTTATATGAGGTGGTTAATTAATTATATGATGTTGTTAATTTGTTATATGATGTGGTCAATTCTTTATATGCATTAGTCTTTCATGTTATGCAGTGGTAACTTCTTTATCATCATCTAAACTGGTCCTCTTGCAAAAACAAGAGTTCCAGTTTAAAGAGTGTTTGAAAATAGGAAATCCGGGCCGTGGCAAATTAAAAGCCGGGACTATTCGAGATTTTTCAAATTTCTGATTTAAAATTTTCAGACTCTTTTTTTTAGGCTAATGTGTTTTCGCTGTAAAAATTGTATTTAAATACTTGGTATTTTAGATTTTCTTGACGATTTTTGGTTTCAAGTAAAATTGTTAGGCAGTTTCAATTTTCTGATTTAATATTTTATCTATTGTGCTATAAGTACTTAATATTTTAGATTTTTTTTTTTTTTTTTGGCGATTGTTGATTTCCATGTTGGTAAAATGGGTAGACTGGGTTGGCGATATTTTATGTGTGTGTGTTTTTTTGACATATTTGATAAAAATCTAATAAACTTAAAAATTATTCCGATGTTAAACACTGTACATGTATTTTAACTAAAAAAAACTATTTATTTTTGATAGTTATTTCTTTATTTGAAAATGCTATTTTTATGCAAAATACACATTTTCATTAAAAAAAGGATTATTTAACCAGATCCGATCATCCGGGAAGAACCTGGTGCAAAACACCATAAATCATTTCTAATTTCATAATATGCAAATGTGCACTGGTACATGTATCTATATGTTAGTAGATGGAAGGAAACTGGATTACGTTAAATATGTAATTTGTTTAATACTTTTTTCAGGGGGGGGGGGGGGGTTAAATTACTAATATCAACTATTTATAAGACTGTTTCTAATACTTCAGAAAACCTTAAATCACATTGAAATGCTTAAAATAAAAATTGCTGCATGAAAACATTTCATTTTCAAGTTTCATCTTTGCCGTCGCCAACATGGCACGGTGATCAGAGTGTCTGCTCTAAGAGACGCGGAATAAAGAATCAATCCTTACATCACGGGTTCGATTCCGACAGTGGGACGTTGAGACCGGTCCTTCGTAAGAGACCGCATAAAGCCATAAACCGAGGTCCCGTGCTACAGTAGGTGTTGGAACGAAAAAAATCCCTCACTGCTCAATGGCCGTAAGTGCCAAGTATAGGACAAAATTTGCAGCTCTCCACTGGCAAATTGTGGCGTCTCCATATGAGTGAAAAATTCTCGAGAGGGACATTAAACAGCAAACAAACAACCAAATTAAAATCATTTTAGCCTTTTTGAATAAAATGATAAAATTAAGAGTTATCCTTCAAGGCTGAGGATCGGATATCCTTAAACCAAGCAACTTACGCGTGATTAAAGTTTGACACAAGGCTTTGCATTAATAGTCCTATAATTACATGTATATGTGATAATACTTTAATTAATTTATATTTTATCAAATGACATGAAGATAATGAACAAGTGTTTCGGATTTTTTTATGTTTGACTTCCGGGAGATCAAATCCGATTTTAATGAACCATTGGCGTCGGAAGGAAATTGATAGTGGGGTGGCTAATTGAAATAGAAAAAAAAATCAAACCTGAAAAAAAACTTGACAAGCAAAAAAAAAAAAAAAAAAAAGAAAAGAAAATCGTTCTCTCTCCAAACCTGAAAATCCTATTTCGGAGGGGGGGGGGTTTCGAACATCTTTCAGTACCAAATTCTTTTAAACACTACCAATTACCCTTCTTTCACTACAATGAATCGTGCCTGTAGAAAGTGGGGAGGGGGGGGGCTAGACCTACGCCCGAATTTTCAATGCCTATATTATGTCTACCTTTGTAAAAAAAAAAAGGGGGGTAATAGCCCCCCCCCCCCCCCCCCGGTTCCGACGTCTATGTGAACCGTTTTTTCTTAAACGTGTCATTTCACTCAAAAGATGCCTTTCAAAGAATGAATAATTTTTAACATCAGAATAATTTAAAAGTTTATTAGCTTTCTGTCAAATATGGCAAAAAAAAATAAAAAATAAAAAACAAACAAACAAAAAACAACAAACAAACAAAACACGTAAAATGTCTACTTGATTGCCTACCCGATTTACCAACCTCACGGGCGGATTCAGAGAGGGCCTATGGGACCCCCCTCCCCCCTTGTGTCCAAAATATACACAAGATTTAATAAATCTATTGTTTTTTGGTTTGGCTGTGGGCTACCTACCCCGACCAAAAACTTGTCGGGCCCCCCTTTTCAAGATTCCCGGATCCACCACTGAACTTGGAAATCAACAATCGCCAAGAAAATCTAAATTACTAAGTATTTTAAAATTAAATGCAATTTTTACAGCGAATACACATTAACCTGTAAAAATGAGTCTTAAAATTTCAGCACAGTTGATCAAATCAGGAAGCTGTATAATAGAATCAGAAATTAGAAAAATCTCGAATAGCCCCGGCTTTTAATTTGCCACGGCCCGGATTTCCTATTTTCAAACACTCTTTAAACTGGAACTCCGCGCATTTTTTTAAATAAAAGGACCAGTTTAGATGATGATAAAGAAGTTACCACTGCATAACATGAAAGACTAATGCATATAAAGAATTGACCACATCATATAACAAATTAACATCATCATATAATTAATTAACCACCTCATATAAAGATGTTACCACTGCAAAGCATGATTTAAGGAATATATATAATAATTTTACTATATATAATATAATGATGTTAGTACTGCACATAATAGATTTTTCACTTCATGTAAAGGTGTCGCACTGAATGAAATTAACTTGGCACTCCACATGCAGTGGGTTTCATATAATGTAATGATTGCTTTATCACACAAATTATGTTTGTACTGTATATATTGAATTCATCACATCACAGAAAGATTTCAGTAATGTATATAATGGAAAAACCACTGCATATAATGATTTTACAACATAATATATCGATATTATCACTTCATTACATTATTTAACCACTACATATAATGACATTGCAACTGAATATAATGATAAAACCACTGCATACAATAAAGTTATCAATGAAAATAATGATTTTATCACTGTATATAATGATAAAACCACAGCATATAATAAAGTTTTCAATGAATATAATGATTTTACCACTATATATAATGACTTCACCACTTCACATAAAGGTTATCCCACCTCATATAATATGAAAATGACCTTCAGGCAGCTATGGCGTTCCATATATTACTGCACAAAACATTTAATTCTGATCTTCTACATTGGGATATTTTTCACATACCTTCATTCCTGGAGTATACAGAGTTTATGTTAGGGTTTTTGACTGGTGTCCCCCCAAATGTTGGTGTGAGATAATGCCCGTTCCGTCGCTTGGCACGGTATGTCCGAGTCACCCTCCGGGGAATCTTTGGCATCTCAATAAGTCTCTTACAGGGTGGAGTTGAAGGAACTGGACCAGATTCTCCACTTGACTGTACAACACCACTGTTAATGGATGGCAACAAGTTTTTGTGACTTGGTTCAGAAAGACACAATTCTAGTTCACTGGTGCAGTTGTCTGGCTTGTTCTCTGGTGCTCCTGGTTCGTTCAGTCCGTGTCTGTTTAAGGTGATCTCTTCAACATGAGCATGGATGAAAGAACTGCATCCTGTAAAATTAACATGTATACAATGTGCATATAGTAATATTATATTTCTTTACAGAAAGCCCCCCCCCCCCCCCCCCGCCCCCAATATAAGACCCGTAGTACGAAGGAAGGGGGTCGCTTTTTTTCTTAGAATATTCTTTTGCTGTAAATTTAATAATTATGGAAATACATCACGGCCTTATTTATTCATATGCAAAATATTACAGTATATGACGATAAAATGTATGCACATCAATTAATATGAATGTTACTTCTTCAAGATTGGTGCATGTATGTTAAAGTACATATCTAATGTCAATATACAGATTACTTCGTGTTTTCCCCCGCATTTCTACCCCCCCCCCCCTCTTTGCCAACATCTTTCCTTAGGAATTTTGGGTATGGATATAAACCCCTTATTTTAAACAAACAAAAATTCATATGCCTGTCTTAAAAAAAGATATTCGTAATAATGTGGATATTTTATATTTGTTGGGCTGTGTCCTAGTCTGTATTTCTCTAACTGTCGAGCACCGTTCATATCAAGTCTTTAGACTACTTGTTATCGCTTGTGCCTTTTCAAACTTTGTCAGATAAATAATGGATGTATTGTTTTAATCGAGATTATCACAGCAGATCGATAATCCCCTTTATACACTACATTACTTATGACGTCTGCTTCAGTTTTATCTCTGTTTAAACATTACTATGTAGTTCTGATTACGTAAGATATGATCTTTCTAGATTCTGCAAAATCTAAATAAATATCTGCAACCAATTGGTCAGGTTTTCGTCCCTTTTGCATACCCAGTGAAACGAATACCATGTTTTCCGCGAAATGAACACTCGAGTTTTAAGTTCTTTTCAGTGAATGCACAAAATCCAATTCCTTGTGTTATATTAAAAATTCTGGTCCCTTGTGTTAAAATTTAAGCGTTCTCGTTTATTTATGCTGATAAATAAACTATTTTAAAATATATCATTCACTCGCGTTCAACACAATATATAGCAAATACTGTGCTCCAAATGATTGCGACTTGCTCCTGACAAATATTAGTTCATTTGAATATTAAGCTTGGTAAATATGAATCTTGTACAAAGAAAAATAATATATCAAACGTTTTTTAAAGAAATAATTTCCTGGACTTTATCATTTGGTGATTTCCGAATAAATAAATAAATAAATGCTGAAATTGCCTACAAGCCATGTGGGAAGATCAACAAAATACCTAGCAGTCGTTGACCATAATTTTTAATCATTAATGATATTTTCCATTCATATTGATTTTCTCTTTGTGTACCGAAAGCAAAATTTTGCAGGTAAATCCTTTAGTTAGTTGCACGTTAATTGCAATGGAGACATTGTTACGTCACGTGGCCGTGTCAAAGGTCGTTGCTACGCGCGCTTTAAATGGGAGAGTGTTTCACTTTCCTTTACGGAGTTTTAATACCATGTGCTAAGAAGAAAACTTTTAAATTGGTAAAAGAAAAAGAAGGAAAAGTAAAATAATGGCAGCCGATGTTGGCGTTAAAGGTAAATATTCATTTAGATTTAAATGAAAATTATCTTCAATAAACGAACTGAAAGTTTCTGGAATTGCTTCGAAAGCGAACATCGTCTTTTTTGTATATATATTTTTTAAATACCTGGATTACATAATGTTTACATTTATTGAGATGATCTGATAAAATCAATACTTTAGTTGCTTGCCAAGACTTATTTTCTGTAGAATTTATTAATTGAAAAATAAAATGAACGATAAATTTAACTGTATATCCAAGAAAACAATTGGTTTTACATTAAAAAAAAAAGAGAGAGAGAGAAAAGTGAAATGGGCATTTAAAGGCATTTAACAAAGCATTGCACCGTTTAATCTTTCATGTACAATAATCTTTAAACAACTTAATATCACATACACATTCTAATAGATCGTATTGTGACCCTCAAATCGGTCAAACAAGGAAATCCCTTAATGCACTGTACTTGCAGATAAATTAGTCTAATATCAAAGTCCCCTTAAGAGATGAAAAAAATATTGCAATATACAGACAAATGAAATTGGGAAAAAGTGATTAAAACAAAATAAATGCTGAACAAAAGCTTTAGATGTTTGTTGTTTCTGTATATTGAAAAGCTTACAATAGTATCTACTGACGCATGATTTTGTGCATTTAAAATTACCCATGCAAAAATGTTTTATTATGGTATAAGAATTTGATACTTAAATTGAGGTGAAACAACAGTTTTGACAGTAGATTTGTGGAGAGGTATTAGACAATGAAAGTCTTCTAGATTTGTAATAGGGATCAATTTTCAAACAATATCCCCACCCCTATCTTATGTCAAAAATATCCTAAATTGTAAACCCACAAGCGATTATATTTCAGTGTTAAGCTACTACATCATTAAATTATCGTTGCACTGAATACACCATTATTTAAAAATCCCTTAATACCCCTATATGTTGATTTGCTCAAAATGGATAAGGACAAAGGATAACCAGCAATTCAAAGAATTGCGGCCCCCAGCTTGTGGTGTCTTAGTGGTTGGGATGCAAGTATTTTTGGCATATTGTAACTGTCTTGTTTGTATGTCCTTGAAACTTGTATATCAAGGTCATGAAGTAAAAAATGATCTACTTTTCTGAAAGGTGATGATAAAGGTAATGTACATGCAAGATATGATAGCCCTATCACCTCTCAAACAGAAGTTATAACCAATGTAAAACAAAAAAATGAAAAAAGGTCAGGAGGTCAAAAACCAGAGTATATTCAGAAAGGACTTGAAGGTAATGCACATATCAAATACCAGTATAAATGCCTTATCTTCTCTCATTCAAAATTTAGCAGCAATGATAAAATTACTGAAAATTAGGTTAAACTTCAAGGTCAGGGGATCAAAAATCATACATGTTCAGAAAGCCTTGTCATGGGTAATCCACACGTCAAATATGAATGCCCTATCTTCTTTTTTCTAAAGTTATCACTATCAGCAATGATAACATTTTTGAAAATTAGGTCAAACTTCAAGGTCATCAAAGTCAAGGTCATGGGGTCAAATATCATATCAAATTTGGAAACTTCTTGTCACAGGTAATGTTAAAATTTGTGAAAAGTAGGTCAAACTTCTAGGGGTCAAAAATCATAGTATATCTGGAAACTCTTGTCACAGGTAAATGTACATGTGAAAAATGTAAGCCCTCTCTCTTCTCATTCTAAAGTTATGAGCAAGGTAGAAGTAATGTTAAAATTTCTAAAAAAAAAAAAAAAAAAAAAAAAATTCAAACTTCAAGATCATGGAGTCAAAAATCGTACATGTAGTATATTTGGAAAGTAATGTACATGTATTGTACATGTGAAATATGAAAGCCCTATCTTTTCTCATGTAAAAGTTATGACCAAGATTAAAGTTTTTGTGAGAGCTAGACTGGCAGATGAATGAGATTTAATGTCCTCTCACTTTTTCGAAAGTGGGGGATGAAATATTCAATCATTATATTAATTAAACTCAGTCAATATGTCTCTATTTTGAAGTGTTCTTTGACATAATTTTAGATAATCGTAATACACAGTTAATGTTTGATGAAGATGAGGAGGAAGGTTTGTAATGGTGTTAATGGTGCCGGGGATTTCTCTAAAATGTACCTTCTATAGAGTGTTTCTCTGATATATGTTATGATTGGTAATCTCTCTTTACTTTTTCCAATCTCTACATCTGTAAACTATATCATGTTTATTGCATTGGTCCATGACTTTAAAACAATTTGTATTATCTTTTTATTAAGATTAAAAAAATTAGAAGTAGGTACACAACTTTCTGAAGCTTAATTTACACCCCCCACCCCTTCCAAACAAAATTAATAATAAAGAAAAGGACACTGGAAAATTGGGGGGGGGGGGGGATCTGTGAATATAAAAAAGCTACATTGATGTGTCACTTGCAAAGAACAATAAAAACAATTTTTGAAAAAGAGAATAGGAGTTTAATTGATCTTTATCCTTTTTCTCTTTCACCACGACTATTTCTTTAAGTCCATTTAAACTCTTTCCCCCCTTAATTTTCCAATATTCATTAAGCTGTTTTTTGTGTCATAACCTAGCTTACAGATGACTTGCTGTGTCATTCACTCTGAATTTTAACTTTTACATCACCCCATTGTGTTACATTGTATTTTACTGCCTGCACTCTCTTTCTACTGCTATTAACAATTCAAGTCTTCAACATATTGAAATATTAATGAAACAGTCCCTCAGACACGGTCTATAAAACACCTAGCCCCTACTCAGCATATTGTCTTATCAGACTCGACAGACTAACACCCTATACAACCACTGAGAGAAGGCTTTGTTTCGCTATGGCTATGGTCCAAAATATTTCTATACAAGTGTGTTGCACTGATTCCATGGTAGAAACAAGCAGTGTACAGAATTAAGTAGAAGTGTTTGTCTACATGGTTTGGGATGCTGACCCAGTGGCGTAATGCATTTCCGATTCGGTCGGGTCTCGACCCTGAACCCCATAGTCAAGGGTTTTACATTGGTTTTGGTGATTTTGACAGAGGTGTGGAAATGAAAATAATTGTTTTCAATTTTTAATTCTTATGACATTGGCATGTTTTGGTCTAACCGAAATAAAACTTTTTATCTCAATTTTTATTTACAGGTGAATATGAACGAATTAGGCAATCTGGAAGGTAAGGCAAGCTTTTTTATGCTTTTAACTTTGTTTACAATAATACCTCATTGCTATTTGTATTTTTGAGCACAATCATTAGATAACTGTTCCCTGCTCAGATGGTTATAATAAGATGTCAAAGAATTCTGCCTTTTTAAATTTACACAACAGTCTCGCAAAAAAATTTCAATCTAAGCAAATGGCTTTTTAACGACCGATCTTTTTATCCTTTTGTATGTAAATATAATAATTCATCACCCCTTTAACACCATATGAACAGAGAAAATATTTTGAGTACACTGCAATTTATATTTTGGGAAAAGCTCTATTTATGCAATAAAATTGATTTTAGGATATGCATTCTCAATTTGCAAAACATGTACTTTAAATAGGTTATTCCTCAGGTAATTGATTTTTAAAAATATTGGTATCACTCCACTACCACCCCCTTAACATACTGTAACAGTATAAAGTTCCTTCAAACACACAAGCACCTAAAACTTTTCTATATTAGTTTTAACACAAATCTTAAATCCTACTTTGTTACATGTACTTGCATGATGCTGAGCTTTTTTCTTTCATTCTTTTAGGGGGGGGAAGGCTACATATAATGTATGGTGTTTAGGAAGAAATTGGGGGGGGGGGGAGCTCAGGTTTACAAAACACAGCCAGCCTTATGGCATGTCTAACACCCATTTGGAACAGTTGCTACTACATTGTCTCCCATTTAAGATTAATGTCTCTCCAAATATTTGCCCTTTCTTTTGTGTGTTTGCTGCACATACACACAAAGGTCAAATTAGGTGGCAAAAGATTTATGTACTTGGCAACTGAAAAAAATGAAGTGATTTTTGATTGACCCAAGTGTAAACAGTAGGGCAATGATCACACAAACCAGCCTATTAACCCGACCATACAACAGAATAATGCTTCCCGATTTAGAACATTTTAAATGACCAACAGAGAGAAATTGCTAAAAATGCCTTTGGGACCTGTGATTGTTCAAGCCTTTTTTTCCATGATAATAAATTTCATTCTTATGGCCAGGTTATTCTTTATATGGTTGACAGATTCCAGCTTTAAGAGCTGCTAAACCAATTTAAAATTGTCGTTTACAAGTTTTAGTTTTAATATGTAATCCCCTTTCTGGATCTAAACTGGTTGTCACATGCATTCTCTGACACCACAATGAAACAGGAATCAAACTCCTCCATTAATGCAAAGAGTCTGCCTGACTCATCTTTAATTCATATGGCAACAGCAAATTGTGTACAGGTTGTTTCCATTTAACACATAAATTATTTAAATTTTTTCCAAGCCCCTGCATGTGAACAATTCCGATTAAGCTTAATTGATTCATACCTTATACCTGCTGCATACAAATGTATCCATGAGTACTTCATTTAATCAGAAATATGCCTTATCTGTCATATTTAATCGAAGATGTCAAACATTTTAATCTATCTGACATAACCTCCACAGTGTCATTTAAATAAATTTAATCAAATGTTTAATATGTATTGCACCCCCGAAATTTGATCAATTTTTTCTTATTCCAATTTAAATCCTGGCTTTTAATTAAAACAATGCTATTAATTTTGGAAGACCTACTTGTCTGACATACTAATTGAATTTCATAAAGTGCATAGTGAAAATGCATCTATACAGTTACTATAGATTCCAAATTTTACTTGGTACTAAATAATGCAAAAGGACTGGTAGACGGAAAAATAGGAAGAAGATAAGTTCATGAATGGATTGTTCAAAAGTTTTTAAACATAGTTACATGTATTTTGACAATATACAAGAGAAATATTTTATTTCATGCCTGGTGCTCTCATGAAATTATACGATAATAAATTCCTCAAGTATATATTTAGGAATCTACAGTATCATCTTGTGTAAAAGAGAAATAATTCTAACCAATTTCTAGTGTTCAAATTCTTCTTCATTATAATATTCAAACTAACAAGAATATTTCAACCAATAGTATGCTAAAATTATAAAGCAATCATGAAATCACAATTGCAATTCTTTTTTCGAATTCCATAAAATATCAATTATGTTTTATTTTAATTAATGAAGTAAAACCTTACTAGATATATTTGTGTATGTATTTGTACTATAATTTCTCTCTGAATACAATATGATAGTATGTCATTTACATCAATATTTTGTTGTTGATTGTAACTTTGCAACATAACTCTAGTAAGCTGCAAGCCTGTAGCTCTCTGGAAAAACAAAATTCAGAAAGACATACCATTAATTGAAACAAGAAAGTAGTGCATTTAAATTCCTTTAAGGAAGAAGAATATACAGGCTTAAGAGATCAAATCAAGTTTAGTGAGTATTAATAAATCCAATGCCAGCTTTTATATAAGTTACATTTATAAGTTAAAAAGATAGTGTCAAGATAGCATTAAAAGTTTCAAGAGCATGTAGTAATCAGAAAAAATACCTGAAAGACTAAAATCAGTTTTGAAAAAATATTGTTTTGTTTATTCTATGTATAAAAAGATTTTCCTTAATAAATCACCCGATCTTAAAATCATGGTTTCGAAAATATTTCGACAATCTTAAAGGTTCTAGGCCCTTCTCTATAGAGATTTAAAGTTTTTATGCCCGACGGAAAATGAAAGACTGATCATGCTGATCTAAAACTTTTAATAATACAAATGCATTTTTAAATATTTGCAGTAAGCTTAATTTGTACAATGGCTTTCAATCCATGTTCAGAACAATCCTGAGTTAAAACACTATTTTCTATTGTTTCAATAAAACATTAGCTGATTATCGTTGTGGAAAAAAATATCATTGTCTGTACCCGACTATAAATTACTTTAACTTTCAAATGTGCTAAAAGGTTTTTATTTAATCAAAATTACACAAGATAATGCCTGGACTTTTATTTGAATGACATTAATAAAGTAACTGCCAATTTTAAACACCCGTGTCAATAATTCATACATTAATTATATACAATGTACCTGCATGGGTCTAGATGGTATTGACCATGCTAAGAGAGCTGTCAATCATGAATATGTAGGTTTCCAATATTCCAATAGTAAAAGACAGCTCATTGACACCATTGCTGTATTCTCAGTTAAACTTTTTGGCAATGGCTACAATGGATTTGCTTGTGAATCCTGATTTTTCTCGGGAAGATAGTTTTTACCAACAGGATTTAATTGTTGGGTGAGTCTCTCTAGGGACCTTTGTTTTTCTTCACATAAGTTTTTTTTAATTTAAATAATAAAAAGGAAAATTTTGTACATGTGTAAGAATAGTCACAGGATTTGATTTCTGAGAGATTGAGGGTAGGAGAGAGATGTGTAAAGGGCAAGTACTTAGTCTTAATCATGGTCTACAATCATGCATTCCATTATTGTTTCACTACACCTACAAGAAGTACAATTCAGAGGTTTGGGGTTTAAAAGTGATAAAACAAGGGTTAAGGGTCATTCATACTTCAGAAATATTTTTGCAGACCTGGTCAATTTTATGAACAAGATTTGATAATGAGGTGAGTATTATATCAATGTTGTATCAATGGAAACCTCTCATTAACTCATTCATATTATGCTTCCCTCTTCAGAATATTCTAGATTTCTTGGCCTGTGAATATATACAATGTATATCCATTATCCTCCTTTGTCTCCTAGATAGATGTGCATTGCAGGACATCAAGAGAAATCATTAAAAACTCATTTATATTACTCCTGTTAATCATTTAAAATTTTTCCGCTGTGATACAATGAGTTTACCAATATTAATTCCAATATTACTCAAAGCTTGCCTCCCCCCAACCCATCCATCCACCCCTTTCCCCTTAAACACACAGACCAATAATATATAATACATTGTTATACATTTTTTTATCAAGCAGAAATATATTGTTTTACCTTGAATTACTCCAGTATTTGAATTCTTTTCTCATACAACAATGTCCTGAACAGTGATGAATTTATTCTTAAAGTTAATTTTTGCCTTTTTTGCACAAAAATTCATTCAATCATTGAATTTTTTTTTAAATCAAGGTTTAAGAATTAACCTTTGGAATGTGGGCAAAAAATGGATGGAATATGCATCCATTTGCATACATCCATTTTCCATACATGCTTACTACCTCTTCATAACCTTGACCTTTCAACTGATTCCAATACAAAAACTTTTTAACTTAAAAATGTAATAACTGTTATACGAGATATTATATCTTCCAACCCTTAATTCTTCTCCGTTTTTGACATGTAACCTGAAGTTAATCAAATCCCTGACATGACAGGAATCTACAAGTCATAAATTGTATAGGTTTTTTTTTCAATACTAGGAAATTTTTTTTATTAGTGCGCATCTAAATTTATTGATTTCAACAATATGTGACCTCTGCTCTATTTTCATGGGAATTTGTGCCATCTGATATTTTCTATTATAGTTGAACTTTGGTATCTCAAACACTAATATTTCGAATACCATGGATATGTCAAAGTGATTTAGAAGTCCCAACCAATTATTCTTAAAGTATTTTACCACGGAAATCTTGAAGTTTTTTTTTTTCAGTCCCATCGAGTTCGAGATAATGATGTTTGACTGTATTTAGAATGATCGATTATCATCTCTATGGCATGGCTCTTGAATCTAACACTTAAAATATTTAGAAGTAGTCATTCTATTGTCAATTTAGTCAGAGGGAGTTGGTATTTACATTTGTCTTACTGAATGCATCATGTTGCTCTTAAAGAATGATGCACTGCTAAGTTTATCTGAATTCAAAGTTTAAGATGATTGATCAATGTTGTATGATTATGACATTTGAAGAGGAAATCAATGTTGCATCACATTAGCTTTAGCTTCAAACTATACAAATTTACCATTTTCCCCTCATATTTATCAATCATGAGAAATGCATGAATATAACAAATAACAAAGCTCTTGCCACTAAATTAATCAATTTATCATGATAATTTTTTTTTTTTACAGAGAAAGATTACTAGACCTTTCACGTCCCAAAGAAATAAAAATAGGATACTTCACAAATGTCGGGTGAGTTCTAAAAATTGTATCATATAATATTTTCAATAGTTATCTTGAATGTTTCTAAGTTATCAAACTAACGATCTTTGTATTTTAGCCCTAATGTTATGTGGGGGACCCAGGAAATGCTTTGGCCTGTCAACCCAAACATTCAGAAGGCCAATGATAGAGTAGAACAGCTGGCTACACCTAAAAAAGACTTCTCCACGACCGAGTCTAAGGGCAGGTATGTAACTAGAGTAATAAATAGTCAACTGATAGGCAAAAGGAAACCAAAAAGAAATCATCGTGAAATCTTCCCATCAGGAATGGATGGCCTAAATGAACCTTTAACAGTTAACTTCTGGTTTGCAAACTAGATGAATGAACAGAAAACTTAGGGGCAAAACAAGGCTACTTTTACTGGGTACATTAGGGCTGTCACGAGTACCCGAAATAACCGAGAACCGCGGTCCAAGTTGTTCGGTTCGGTTCCGGTTCCATTTTTCCGGATTTCGGTTCGGGTCTGGTTTATATATTAGAGTCTGTTCAATACAAAAAATGGCGTCGAAATCAAAGGAATGATGACGATAACAGTGATAAATAAACATCACAACTGAAATCTACTTCATTCCATGACAGAACACTTGTCACGGAAGTATTAGATAATTATCAAAACGAGCAGGAATGGTCAGGTTGTGGCTAATAGTAGGCCAAATCACCGATGTCTAGACGTTCGCATGGTTAAGACTTGTTTCCAATGTAAATTTAATGTAACAAATAAAGATTTTTCAAGTTAAATTCATGAAATAAAGGTTTAAAATAGATGTAAATACCCAACCCGAAAAACCCGAAACCGAACCGAAAATTTAGAGAACCGACCCGACCCGAAAAATTTTGGAACCGTGACAGCCCTAGGGTACATGTAGTGTAATTCCTACATAATTACATATCATACATTTGTGAGGTAAAAAGGGGGGAGGGGGGGGGGGAACAGACAGACATACAGACGATGCACAAAAGGATGACAGGTGAGGAAAACAGAAATTGCAAGTAAAACAATCACAAACAGAAAGCATTTAATCCTTGAGCTTTTACATTAATTTAAAGGACCAGTATTACTTAGACTTGGTAATTCTAAATCCTGACGAGGGCAGATGAAAGGTTAAAACAATCAGCTCAACACCCCTAACAAATCCCTTTATACACTAGATTAAATGACCAACATCAGGTAAAATCCCGCTTAATCCCAATATCCCCACTCCTTCTGTGCAATAAATACAGTCTGTCTTAGTTAGCAACAATGTCAGCCAGTCCTTCACAACATAAACTTTATACCTAATATGGAATTTAACAAAATTGATATGTCATGAGAAAGAAAAACAATGAGTCCTTTAGATGAGGATGACGACAATGATTTGCTTTCCCTGATTGAGAGACATCGAGATGTTTTGAATAATCCCAGCTCTGGGGTTCCAAGATCAGGTTACAAACTTCAGAAAAACTATGAGTTTGTTTATGATAGAAATGCTCTCAACTCATTTTCTAAAGGATTACATTACCTTAGAAAGTAAGTAAAATATGTGCACGATCAATGTTCCCCTGTTGGCTGGTAACAGGCAGGTCACAGTCTATTAAATATTAGTTTATTGTATTCATGCAGTTGCAAAGTAATTCAACAGAAAACTAAGAGGATTGTTCTGCCCTTTGTAGACCCCTGTTCTACTACAGCTGTGGGAGGCCCTCAATGATATGGGAAGCACCTCCCAAAAATCTGCCAGAGGCCTCACAGAGGGTGCAGCAACTAGCTGAAGCAAAACCATTCCATCCTAATTACAAAGAAGACAGGTGGGTCATTAGTTATTTTGTTTGATTTAGACATTTCTTTTCTTTACAATTGCAATGTAGCCTTAGAGAATCATTGTGAACCACTGTTATATGTCAGTGTAATAGGTAATTTTAGACACTGTAGTGTACATAGCATGTTTTGATTAGAAAATAGCTTATATGCTTGAAAATCTTTTAAATCAAGTCAAGGTACAAATCCTCTTCAATTTCAAAGGAGGTTTAGAATGAGACTGAAGTACATGTATTGCATGCTTTGATGTGTTTTATAACAAGGTACACATGGTACATGGTGTTTTATTACATCTTTCCTTTCCATGTCTTCTGCAACACAGTTAGTCATTGTAATGAATTGATGACATTTGTCACGTATAGATTGTTTTGCCTTTTCAAAGACAAATCTTGATATATATCTAATATATACATCTCTCTTCTAAATGCACAGTTCATATACATATTTTTTAATAACAAAATGACAGCAATAATGAACTCAGGACATTTCCAAAAGAAAAATCAAAATCTATTTCTAAGAATTTTGTTGACTCTTTTTTCAGTAGAAATTACCATATTAACAGACCTATAATAATAAATGACCCATATTTACTTGTTTGTTTACATGTCAAAGGAGAATGTTCAGAGTAATATTTCTCTTACAGGTCCTTGGTTTTTTTTCCCAATTTTATTAACAGGCAAGATTTATGATGAAAGTAATGTTTATTTTATTTAGAGGATTATAACATTAAACAGGTATTAAATTATGAGGACTCTACTGTGCTACTAAAATATACAGAATTTTTTTCCAGAGCCATATTTCTGGAAATGTCTTGTTGTTCTTTGTAAATGTGAAATTATACATGAAGGTGTAAGGTTTTATTTCATATAGCCTTAGAATTGTAAATACATGTAGACTGTACTTTTTAACATTTACACATGTTTGAAAATTCAAATCCCCACCAATCCCTTAAAAATAAGGCTGTGCTTTTCAACTGAAGCACAACTACTTCGTATTTAATCCAGTAAATCAGAATCAATCTTAGAGACATTCAAGATTTAATGTGATTTACTGATTAAAATTTGGCCCACATTTTGTACTTATTTGATTTCCTGGTTTAAATAAATACCACGTACCCCTGATATCTGTCATGACAGGATATTTAAGTTACTATAGATATTTTCAAGCAACAAGAAGCTGATCATTCATGGTTTTCTTCTCACAGGGATATACTTGGACCAGACGATATTCTGAAACTATTCCCAAAGTTTGTATTGTTGAAAAAATGAGATTCTTAAAGTTAAACACTAATGCTTTTTCCCAACTATCAATAACAAATTTCTTTGTTTCACAGCTTTAATGAATTTTCCTGGTGTTTTATGATATCTCTTTTAAATATAATCTTTAACTTTCATCAGTCTGAGAAAAAATTTTCGACTGCAATAAGAGCAATGTAAAATATATCTATGAATGCATGCTTTTAGGTGAAAACTTTCAGTTCAGTTGCAGCAATTCACGATTTTCAATTGCTTATAATAATTAACAAATGGTTTTCCAATGAAAAAAGCAGCAAATAACTGCATGAGCTATACCATAGGTATTGATTTTTTAAAAACTTACCATCAAAATGTTGTGCAAGTACATTTCATAACTCCTTACTGAGGCAGTAATTTTTCATTTTTACCTTTTAAATTATTTTGTTTAATCATCTGTTTATAAAACCATACCATTCCCCTCTCCTTATGTCTTTCTTGGTTTTTACATACATAACCATGTAGATTAGATACTTTACCTATTAAATATTAAAATTGCCGAATGTTTTAACATAATCAAGTGAATGTTACTATATATGTACACTTGTGCATTGCATGTATATATATGAATGTTCACTTTTTTCATTAACAGCTGGGGTCAGACATCATGTAAACTAAAGTGTTTATTTTCAACATAATAGATTGTTAAACAAAGTATGATCAAAACTGAATTATCACTCTTTTTTTTTTAAATACTACAGAGTTTGGATACAAAACATTTTTTACACATTGCAGAAGCCAGTTTTTCTACAGCTGTGGCAGAGAAAGTCCAATATGGACTGTCACAAAGGGGGCTAAGTCTGCTGGAGAGAGACCCCGTACGAACCAGCTAGCAGCCCATAGACCACCAGTTAAGGAATTCCAACCAGCTCGACAAATAGAAACTATTATACCTGGCCCTGCCCTCACTGCTTCTGCCTCGGAGCGGCTACAAGCACTAGCCACACCCAAGAACCGCTCGGAGGGACCCTTCAGACCTCCTCAATGGCCGGTATGAATCCCTCCCTAAACAGATTCTGCTAAAAGGCTTTGCACAATCAATTATAATTTTATAATTTTCCTTGAATACTGTAATAAAATTCCATAAATTTAATTCATGCAATAAATTTAGAGCATTTTTTCCTGGTTAAACAAGTTACATGTATTTTGCATCTTCCTCGTCCCCCCCCCCCCCCCCCCCCCCCATATATTTTTAGCTTGTAAATTTTAGAATCAGGAAAATACAATTCAGTGAATAAAACTTTTGTCCAATAGGTTCTTCCTGCTGCAAAGAATGCTAGTGCTAAAGCTAGGAGTGTTGAGCTTGCCAGACCTAGAGGAACTACAGATGGATACATGCTACCGAAAGATGAGATTTGGCCTATTTCTAGGGCTGCCAAACGCGCCACGGCATCAGGTCGTGTTAACGAATTATCAAAACCAGTGGTTCGAGCATCAATGGATCACGTGCAATTTAATCCTGAAGCTTTCATAGTAAAAGAAACTGCTCTTAAAGGAGTGATTCCAAAGAGAGTGTTTGACTTAGCTAATCCAATAACTAGATAAATGCTAATATTTTTTAAGTTATTGAATTACAATTAAGAAAAAATTACCAGTCAGTATTATAAAATATTCAGGTTGTTGGGTTTTCTGTTAAATGTTGCATGTGAGACTTTCATGAACAAAAAAATAACACCGAAGTTGGTCTAAAAAGAATTTATGAAAAATTATTACAATTCAAAATTATCTCTGGAGGGAAGGTGTAATTTAAATCTTTAAATTTCAACTTGAGAAGGGCTCCATGGTTTTTTTTTTTTCTTTAAAAGATAACAGTACTATCTTGTATATTAAGCAAACTTTTATAAAGTTTGATTTTTCCTTCATATAGCTCTGGCTCGTTTATCAGTATTCATTACTTATACTGTTTAATTATATCTGCTTTAATTACCAACAGTATTTCCGATTTTGTGCTATTTTAAGTTATACATGTATCAAGAAGACTTTGTTTTGTTGTGTTCAGTGTCTCATTCAGTATTAAAGTTCATATTTTGTCTTTGTTTATCTGTTCTTTTCTATTATAAGAAATATATAATAATATACATGTATATGATGATGTTTCAGAGGGAAAAAAAAAGTACAGGTATTGTTACTTCATTTGTGGAATTTGCTCTCCCTCTAATGAAATTTTGTTTCTATCAATCCTCTCAAGTGACAAAATCACTCAAACATCTGAATACCTTTCTTTTTTTGTGTCTCTGTGTACATTAATGTTGGAAATAAATGGTGAAAACTACTTTGTTGTACTTTTGTTACATAAAGCTTCTTGCTGAAGAGATTGCATTTCAACTTGATTTTACTCTCTTCAAACTTTGTATTCAAAACAAGACACATCATGACACTGTTTCTTTACATTTCTAAACTTAATTTTATACTGTGTAATGTTTGTAATTCATGAAGGCAATCATGAATTCTCACTCAATTTAAATGGAGTAAAGTACATCTATTAAAGTATATCCATTAAAACTTCTTTCTCTGCATGGCTCAAGCCAACAATAATATATATCTGCTTTCCCTAACCATTTAAAATTCATTAGAAAAAACACAAAGCATATATGTTCCATAGTTTTATTACTTTTCAAAAACATTCACAAAAATTCAAAATTTTAAAATTTTACAAAAGATCAATTTTTTGATCACTCCATGTCACAGAACTGCAGTTACATATATTATTGGTGTTGGCCACTGCAGGAAAGAGTTTCAATCACTTTGCACCTCAGTCACAAAATGGAAGCTGTTTTCACATTAATGTTTGATCCATACCTGAGGAAGAGGCTTTGGTGGCCAGGTAGGCATTGTACTGCTCTGGGATATTCATAAAGGCCTTGATTTTCCTTTTGATCTGTTTTGGGGTGTCTTGATAATAATTTCTTCTGTCTCGTGCCATAGCCTAGAAACACAAGATTTAATAAAATCATGCAACTTGTTGCAGCTACATGTACTTGTCTGGCAACAATCTGAGCACACACTGTGGTTGACATTAGAATGCAACTTTTTGCAATAGAGTGGATATGAATATTCAACAAAAAAAATAATAATAAACTGCATTGAAATTTAAGTCAAGAACTGACCTAGTAAGCTCAAATTTGTTCCAAGTGTTACTATTTATAATCTATAAACAAGAGGCTTCATATTGTTAGACCAAAGTGAATCCTATGTCAAACCTTGTAATCTTCTCCATACTTCTCCATCATATATATACAGTACTTTGTCTCTTCAGAGGACAGTCTCAATGTCTTCTCTAGTGGCACATTAGCCTCCTCCTCCAGCTCTACAAGGAATAAATATACAACTGTTAGAGTTATCTCCCCATCATATCAGCTGATGATATGAAAGTTCAAACATGTAACATGCATTTCTGAATAACATCTGGTAAACAATAATGTCAAAGATTTATTGCACCTGTGTGTATCTATTCAAAAATATTATGTATTAAATCATTAACCAAAGAAGATATAGAACACCTTACAATTAAACAGATTCAAACCTAAGTATCTCAAATTCAATGGTCAAGATATTGAGGTGTCAAAAAGTTCAAGATATTGGGGGTGAAAATTGAATAAAGTCACACTACAGATTCTCCTTGATAAAAGTATTTCCCAATTATGAAGGATATCAGTATTTGAGACACTGAAAATGAATTCTATATATCAAAAGATTCTAAATTACATGTATTTGCTTCAGTCTGTTTTAGTGCACAATATACATGAATATTCATTTCCAGTCATTAATTTACACCTTTCTATAGACTAATGTGTTACCCTGAACAACATGCTCCTTGGGTTGTTTTTTATGAACTTTTTTCTCTCTCATTTCACTTTCTTGATCATTTTCTTCATCCATTAAAAAATCCTGTGAAAGAGCATGATCTGAATTAAAACTGAAATAAATGCACGTACATTCAAGCCCTAAAGTACATGTAAAATGTGCATATAAAATTTTTCTTTGAGGAAACTGTATTCAGTTATAACTATTTAAAATTTTTCTTGGCTTAGCATTCACAAGAACTTTTAACTTTATACTGTATACAGGGTTATTTTCACCCTGTGTTATTTTCGCCCTTTCACACTTGCAAACAATTTTGCCCCATTTTAAATTTGCCCAGTCACAGTTCTGTTTAATAAATATTACTGTGTTTTTAGAATTCGTCCGTTTTTAAATTCGCCGACCTGTGAGTAGGGTGAAAGGGACGAAAATAAAATGGGGGCAAAATTTTCCCTGTATACAGTATAATGTTTATTAAATGTATTTATAGTATTCAATGTTGATTTAATTTCACTCATCTAAAGAATATACCCCTTTTTCTGAACAGTACTGAATACTTTTTTGGGAATACAGAAAATAAATTTTAAAAGGAATATTTGGATAATATAGACTTGTCAAGTAGTGACTTTGTTTCATTCATCAATGTTAGACAGATTTATCAGAGATCCAAAGATTAACAGTCAAATAATTTATAAGTTTATATCTGATAATTTTAGATCTTTCAAACATTTCAAATTTACTATTTTCTATCTCAAATAAAGAATTTGATACATAAACCCCTCTAACCCACCCAACCCCCAACCCCCAAAAAATACAAGAGGCCCAAGGGCCTTAACGGTCACCTGAGTATGATAAAACAATTTCAAGGACGCATAGAGTATAAAATGAACTAAAAGGTGAAGCTTTGTTGCCCAAAAGCAAGAAAAATAGGGTGATCATGATCAACAAAATAATTGGTCTTAATATTCATTAACAGTTCATAAATTAGGTTCTAATCTGTTCCCCATTTATCACTATCACTATACAGTATATTAACAAATTATCAATGCTTCTGTACTATTTTAATCCTTTGTTGAAATCTCTTACATTGGCATCTCTTGGTCTTTGATGAATATTTAATAAGACAAGTTATTTTTGTCTCATTTTTATTTATCTACTACTTACAAATCTATCTGATCATTAAAACTATGAAAGTACTTTTTGTATTATACAATAAAAGTTTTTGCATAATTATCTTATTCTATTAACCTTTCAAGTACATTATTTACAGTGATAAATTATCAAAAGTAAATGGCAAAGGGGAATAACTCCTCTCAGTAGAATACAAACTAATAGAGCCCTGGCCAGGACCAGAACACTTGACCAAATGGTCCAGATGTTCAAAAATCTGGTAAAAATTCCCTTCCTTATAAAAACTTTTACTCTGTTTGCCTGAGATATGCCCAGGTGCGGAGAAGATTTTTAAATAAATAATGCATTTTTACTACAGATTCACTATATTATCAATAGAGCCCCCCCCCCCCCCCCCCCAAAACACCAGAGCTTCTGACCCTGGGACCATATGTTTGCTCATCATCACTTTGTTTATCTGCTTAACACTAAGGAGCAAACAGGATTATTTAATAGAATTAATGCATTTGCTCTAAATTATCAAGAGCCCCACCCTCACACCAGCACATCTGACCCAGAGGTCATGAAATTCACTACTCTGGAAGAAGCACACTTGCTCATCATAACTATACACTTAGCTTCTTTGCTTTTTTAACCAGAAGAAGAAAAGAATATTTTCAAAGAAATTTTGCTTTTTCACTTTATAATCAATAGAAGCCCCCCCCCCCCCCCACCAGAACCCTTAAACCTGGGGTCATAAAATTCACAATTTTGGAAGAGGCATCCTTGTGTATCATGACAATGTACTTAAGCCTGTTTAAGCAATACCCAGGGGCAGAGAAGAAGATTTTCAAAGAAATAATTCACCTTCACTATAGGTTCTATATAACCCCGCCCTAGCACCAGAACTCCTGTCCCCGGGGCCATGAATTTCACAATTTTGGAAGAGGCATCCTTGCTTATCATAACAATGTACTTAGTTTGTTTAAATAATACCCAGGTGCAGAGAAAAAGATTTTTAAAGAATTAAAACATTTTCACTTTATAATCAATAGAGCCCCGCCCTAACACCAGAACCCCTGATCCAGGGGCCACGAATTTCACAATTTTGAAAGAGGCATTCTTGATTATCATAACTATGTATTTAATGTGTTTCAATAATACCCAGGAGTAGAGAAGAAGATTTTCAAAGGATTAATGCATTTTCACTATATAATCAATAGAGCCCCACCCTAACACCAGAACCCCTGACCCAGGGGCCATGAAATTCACAATTTTGGAAGAGGCACTCTTGCTCATCATAACTATGTACTTAGTTACTGAATTTAATACCCAGGAGTAGAGAAAAAGATTTTCAAAGGATTAATGCATTTTCACTATATAATCAATAGAGCCCCGCCCTAACACCAGAACCCCTGCCCCTGGGGCCATGAATTTCACAATTTTGGAAGAGTCACTCTTACTCATCATAACTATATACTTAGTTAGTTTATTTAATACCCAGGAGCATAGAAGAAGATTTTCAAAGAAATAATGCACTTTCACTATATGATCTATATAGCCCCGCCCTAGCACCAGAACACCTGACCCTGGGGCCATGAATTTCACAATTTTGGTAGAGGACTCAATGCTTATCACAATGATGCCAACAGTTTGACTGCTTGATGTCCAGGAGTAAAGAAGAAGATTTTTAAAGATTGCATTAATTTTGGTGGTTTTAGCCCCACCCCTCAGGCCCCAGGGGGGCAGGGACCATGAAATTCACAATTTTTGTTCCCCTTCACCCATAGATGCTATATGCCAAATTTAGTTGAAATTGGTTGAGTGGTTTCAGAGAAGAAGCTAAAAATGTTCAAATGTTAACGCACATCGCACGACGCACGACGCACGCCGACGGACAAAAACGGATAGCAATAGGTCACCTGAGTGACTCAGGTGACCTAAAAATACAGTAAAACTTGTTTAATCCAGACAGCATTGGTTCCAAAGGAATTGGCCATATTAGACTACACTACAGATTAGACAAGATTTTAAAAAATTGAATTTTATTGTTGGGACTGATTTATTACATCGTATTAGGCAAGATTTCGGATTACACAAGTTTCACTATACTGACTAATTATATATATGAACATAGTTGATACCTTTGTTTTTGGAATCTTTATAGTTTGGTTGGGATCAGCTGAAATTCCCATCTCTTCTAGGTTTCTTCTCATTGACTTCTTAGGATCCCATGCCTTTTTTATCTGAGCACTGTATAAATATCAACAAAAACAGCCAGGTCATTACAAATGCAGTTGTATTACAATTACTGTTTAAAAAAGTTCAAATTTAGTGTAGTTATTTATTCACACAAGTAAGTATACATTCCAAGGATATGTTGAAGAGAGGTGAAAGTCCAAACCACCTTTCCTTTATGTATTTTAACATTGATATCTCAAATCCTTGGATATCACAATTTTTCTAGTCTCATCAAGTCCACGACAATGAGGTCTGACTGTATATAACATACATGGGTCTAAATTAAAGTGTTTGCAGATTTCAGACTACTCAAAATGATTTAAAGCTAAGATAATTTGCTATAAAAGGTATTTCAATCCTGTCAAGTCTTAGCTAAATCCCATAATTTAGTGACGTATGATGTATGTATATGGGTTATTTTAGACCTTTCACTCTTGCAAACAATGTTCCCATGTTTTAAGTTCATCCCCATACAATGTTGTTTAAGAGAGTCCATACACAGGGAAATTTTTGCCCCATTTTATTTTACCCCCTTTGTCCACTTTGTAAGTTGTCAAATGTATAACAGGGAAAATTCAAAGAAGACAGTATTATCCCTTTAATACAGCCTTGTCTGAGCAAAGACAGGGCAAATTGTTTGCAGATATGAAGGGGCCATAATAACATAGGCTGAAAATAACCCTGTTTTAAGTAAAGTTGTCTTCTTTGAATTCCCTCTGGTTTAAATATGCCCAATTGTGACAAGGCAATAGGGTCGAAGATAAAATGGAGCCAAAAATGACTGCATTTTTAGGAGGAATGTACTCCATCATGTGCATGTAATTTAGAATTAAATATCTAGGGGTGAAACGATATGCCAGGGCCTCCTTCACAATAAGATACATAGCATATTATTTTAATGGTTATTTCAATACGATACATTTTGAAAGAAAGAAAAAAATTCAACCTTGTTTTATGCTTTGTTTCACTAAATCCAGTCACTTAATTGACATGCAAATTGACTAGAAGAAATTGATAAGAATGAATTGACTGTTCAAGATTATTTTACATACTATCAGTACTAAAGAATTTAAGGTATTAATATTATTTATGCCGAGTTGTGTTTTTTTACATAATCGAAAATGGAGATTTTGCTCTGTGTATCAAATTGATAAAAAATACCGCAATGAATCATTTCATCCCTATAAATATCAGGTGTTAATTTTATGCTATGATGGTAAATTATATTACAGAAACAAGGTACTATGCTGCTGGGGCATAACAAACCTTTAGATTATAGCAGGTTTGAACCAATCTCTCAAATGGGATATACTGTTGCTTTTTTGTTATCTGGAACACCAATAATAGAATACCAGGGACTCAGGAAAACCAGCTGGCAGTCCCAACCTTTTTTTTAATACAGTTGAACTTCGATATCTGAAACACTAATATCTCGAATACCATGGATATGTTGAAGTGATTTGGAAGTCCCGACCACTTATTCTTTAAGTATTTTTTACCCCAATATCTCGAATCCTCGGATATCACAAAGTTTTTTCTTGGTCAGATCAAATTCAAGATAACAAGGTTTCACTGTAATAGCGAGCGCAGCGAGCGGCACGAAGCGCCACTCGTCACTGCGAGCTCTTTAAGCAACGCCTGGGCGAAGAAAAATTCGGATTTTGCACATTGATCCAAACGAATTTTTTTCCGCAGTTACCTGTGGTCCCATAATGCTTTACGAATTGCATCTCGCTGCAAACAACGTTTTCGCGGTAACAAGAAGTTTCAAGAAAAAAATAAACTCACCTTGATTTGATGGATGTATAGCAGATAAATAGTAGATTAAACCTTCTTTATTAAAATTAGCACTGTTCACACTTCGTTTTGGTAATTACAAGTGACGTCATATGACGTCAGAGTATAGATGTACTAAATGTCAAGTGCGATTTGCAGAACCCGATCAAAATAATACTGAATATAGGTACATGTATCTGCGCTCGCCCTTAATGTCGCACCGTCAACATATTAACTTAAATGCATTTCCATTGCAAAAATTGAAGAAGTTTTTGGCCTTAAATATTGTATATCTGTATACTTATGCATTGAAAGCAACAACTTTTGGTAAGCAAGTTTTTCTATAACACTAGCTATGCAGTTTATGAGATTGATCCCCAAGACGTTTATTAGGATCTTTTGAGGGACCAATCTTCTAAATAGTAGGGATACAAAAACATGGTTACTGAAAGTAGTCGCTTTTTAGGTATTCTTATGCCAATTTACAATATCTTAACTAACAAAAAAATTTCATTTTTTGCATCATTTTGGGGAGATTGGTCCCAACCTGTCTAATATGTGCATAAACAACTTTGTACAAGACTTTATCACCAGACCTTTCACTTCTGTTGACACTCTCTGGGAACTCTTTAGAGACTCCACACTTAGCATCATGAACCGACATGTTCCTCATAAGCTCACACGATCCAGGACATCAAACCCTTGGATCAATACAGCTAGCAGACGTTTATCACGCAGGAAACTACGTGCATTCCACAAAGCCAAGGCAACAAAGAAGCAGTGTGACCAGCAAAGGTACCTGTCTCTTAAATCAGAATGCCAGCGCACTATTCGTCTTGCCTATCAACAATACATGAATGACATTATCACCCCCAGTGCCTCAGAAAATCCCAAGAAATTCTGGTCATTTATTAAGAGCAAAAAACAAGAAGCCTCTGGTGTAGCACCATTACGGAATACGGACGGGCTCATAACCAGCGACCCACAAGCCAAGGCGAATATATTAAACGAACAGTTTAAATCCGTATTTACAACGGAGGACACTAGCCGAGCTCCAGACAAGGGTCCCAGCCCATTCCTAACAATGGACAGCATAATCATCAATCCACGTGGTGTGTACAAGCTATTAAGTAACTTACAACCACACAAGGCTACAGGACCAGATGCCATTTCAGCACGTTTTCTGAAGGAATTGGCAGAGGAGATTACACCTGCATTGACCTTTCTATTCCAAACGTCTTTGAATTGTGGATGTGTACCAGATGACTGGAAGATGGCCCATGTAGTCCCCATCTTTAAGAAAGGCGACAAGAGTGCAGCGGCAAATTATCGTCCTGTATCACTTACAGCAATTTGCTCCAAGATCCTGGAACACATTCTCCATTCTAACATCATGGACCACTTTGAAAGGAACTCTATCCTTACACCAGCACAGCACGGATTTCGTAGTAAGCGATCATGTGAGACTCAACTTATTGCCACAGTACAAGATCTTGCTAGTAGCCTATCGAATGGAAACCAGATTGACGTCATCTTACTGGATTTCGCCAAAGCATTCGATAAGGTACCACACCAACGTCTCCTCCACAAACTGAATTATTATGGGATTCGTGGCTGCACTCTACAATGGATAGAAAGTTTCTTATCAGACAGAAAACAGCGAGTATTGGTTGAAGGGATGTCCTCCAACATAGCAGACGTGAACTCCGGAGTACCTCAAGGCACAGTAATGGGTCCCCTATTATTTCTTGCCTACATCAATGACCTCCCGGAGGTGGTAACATCAAATGTTAAATTATTTGCAGACGACTGCCTCATTTACAGGACAATTCAATCAATCAATGACACAGTCCAACTCCAACAGGACTTATGTGCACTTGAGAAATGGGAAAAGGACTGGCAGATGACCTTTCACTCTCAGAAGTGTACCATTATCCACATATCTAAGAAACGCCATCCAATTAAAGAATCATACCAACTGCATAACCATACCCTGGAAGATGTCCCAAGTGGTAAATACCTTGGTATCACAATTAGCAAAGATCTTTCATGGCGCGAGCATATTAACTCAACTTCTGCCAAGGCCACGAGAACAATTGGATTTTTAAGAAGGAACCTCAGAAGTTGCCCACAGGCTATCAGAAGCAAGGCATACACTACGCTAGTACGTCCAGTATTGGAGTACGCGTCAGTGGTTTGGGATCCTTTCCAACATCATTTAATCCAACATCTAGAAGATGCTCAGCGCCGGGCAGCAAGGTTCGCCACAGGTGATTACTCATCAAGGGACCCAGGAAGTGTGACCACCATGCTATACCAACTCGGCTGGGAACCACTGGAACATCGGAGGGCCCGGAACCGAGTGATCATGTTCTACAAGATCTACCATCACATTGTGGAAGTTCCGGTACATCATGTGCTACATGTCACCAATAGCAGAACCCGTGGTTCTATGGCAAACAAAATCCGCCAAATCAGCACCAGGGTTGATGTCTACAAATACTCATTCATACCAGCAACTATCATAGCATGGAACAATATACCAGCCACAATTAGGAATTCACCATCAGTGGACACCTTCAGACATGCAATACAGTCCATCAGCGTGTCTGATATTCTACACCACTAAATTGTCCACTTTTAAATTTTTATCCCTTTTAATACGGTGTAAATAGATTTTTAGCTGTTCACTACGGAATTACTGGAGTTTTAACACTCAAATTGAGTTTACTCCATCAAGGGAAGAAGAAAAAAAAGAAGAAGAATACACACCATTCGATGCTTGGCAACTTCTTTGACTTCTTCCATTCCTTTCTTCTATTCTTATCATAGTTGAATTTCTTTCCCTTTCTTTGTTTCTTTAATTTACCCATATTTATATACCATTATAAGACAAATCTAACCAAAATTTGTTTCAAAGTTTGTTATCAAACACTGGACACGTGCTCAAAACCGGAAGTAAGGTTTTTTTTTTTTTGGATAAGCCGTACATAAAAAATTGTTCAGCTATGTTCAAAGGTAATAATCGAAACATTTCAATAATAGATTTTTTACATATATCAAAAACCAAAAAATAAAATAAAATAAACCAAAATCTTGTTTATTTGCAATTGTAATTATTACGACTTAATTAGGATCGTCTTGCCTTCAACTGTTCACTGTCCCGAATATCCTCAACAATGTCAGATGAGGATAAAAAATATGCCTATCTTCCCTCAAGTAAACAAAGAGTTAAATATTTAGATCCACCAACAGGAGGAAGACCATACATAGAAGGATTTGAAAGTGTATCCGATGTTACCCAGGAAAGTTTCTCGGAGAAATTATTTGCATATTCCAAGAAAAATCCTTTTGTGATAGCAGGTATAAACAGACATTGCGTAATCATTGATCTTTATCAATTTTATTAAAAAAAAAAATCACTGCACTCCAAAAATCTTTTACAGGATATTATCAAAATCTCAAATAGGTAATGATACTTGCAAAGATGCAAATACAGTTATTGTGGCAAGCTGTTAAAAATGTAAACTGTAAAACTGTATATCCCATTGTTATTCCAGGTTTTGGTGTTTGTTTTTATGCCTTTGTCAACGGAGTTCGGGCTGTCAAGAATAGGAACGCCGCTCTATCTGAGAAAATGATGGCTATTAGAGCCGGATCAGGGGTATTCATCATTGCAGCATTATGCCTTGGAAATTACTACCATAATGGAACATTTTTCCCTACAGCTAAAATTGAGGAGAAAGCTGAGCAAGAGAGGAGGCGAGCCAATGTGTATTATATGGCTATGAAACGTAAAGAGGAGGCAGAGGGAAGTGGGGGAGGGACCGCAACTGTCAACACATAGACACATATAAAGATAACTGGGGGGGGGGGGGGGGGGAGAGTGACTTTGTACACTTTGAAATAAATGCACAATATGTATCATGTATATATATTATTGATCAATGTTTTGTATCAACATGTCTTCTGTAATTGTTTAATAAAGCTAGGAAGTCAGCAAAGATACATACTCTTTAATTACAGTCTGTAGTGTTATGATTACATGATCTCATGTAATGGTATGGTCATATAGCCTTAAGCAAGGTAGGAATAACATATGAGCATACCATTTCTATATCATGTGCTGTAGAATAACTGTTAAAGAGAACACATTGTATAGAAAATATTTATTTATTCTTAGATCTTACCACTAAACACTTAGATTATGCACATAATTGTCATCAATTCAAACCATCAACTCTCATGCATGCAGCACTTAAACAGAAGTGAATTAAGTCATGATGATGTTTTTTATGAAACAAATAATTTTGCTACTGAAATATTATTTCATTTAATGTACATGTATAGTTTTGTAATGATCAATTTTCAAGTTTTTGTGGATGGCTTTGTTGTCAGCAGTGATCGCAGGCTTCCAGAAGACTCAAATGGCATCTGATGCTTGATTCCACCTACACAAAAAGGAAAGGTCATTATAAGTCATATCAAGATAAAATTTCCTTGGTATATAACAAGATTTTCTGCTCACAGTTGGGGATGTATTTCGCCACTTTCCAACATTGGTCAATCAACAACCTATCATTCCCTAAATTGTAGAAATATTCTATAAACAACCTGTATATTTTATCCACTTCCTAACCTTCATTAGTGTTTATAATCATCTCTACAGATCAATAAACTCGCTATTGTGAATTTGTTGTGGGATTGCAAAAAATTCACAAGTGAGTTTATTGGTCTGTAGAGGCAACTATAAAGAATTAGGAGATGGATAAAATAATTATACAGATTGGTTTAAGGAATAACTGTCTAATTTTTTGGTTTCATGATGTGATCAATCGATTGGCTTGCGAGATAATTTGCATAAACGCCGAAGGCGTTTATGCATAAAATTATCACACAAGCCAATCGATTGATCATTGTCATGAAACCAAAAAATCTGACAGTTATTCCTTATATTTAGTACATGCTCTTGATTCTGCCAATTTACGTGCTACAAGCCCCCGCTTCTGTCTCTATTTGTGCTGCCCCGTAAGGCCGTTCAGTGATTTTTTTTCACCAGGCCTATCGATGAACCAGTAGATTTATGTAGAAATAAAGTATTTTTACTATTTGAAATTTTGTCTCGGACAAAGACATTGGAAATGTAAATATGTAGAAATAAAGTATTTTTACTATTTGTAGTTTTATCTCGGACAAAGACATTGGAAATGTAAATATTATAGAATATGTCTACAATAAGGGAATGAAAGGCAGTTGATTGATCAATACTGGAAAGTGGCAAAATACATCTCCAACCATGCGCAGAAAATCTTGCGCCGTAAATTGCACCATATTTGCATTAAAGGATCTGTAGCGTTATGTCAAAGACTAAAATATCAAACCATAAAGCTACAGTTCTGCAGTGAATTTACAAGATAAATGTTCGTGGGGATGTATATACGGTAAGGGTAACCCACGACATTGGTCCCCTACGCACAATGATGATTCCACAGTAGCTTTCCAGGGTTCGACACTCGTCAAAATTTGGACTCGCCATTTGGGCAACCTTGGTACTGATTTCAGGTTGCCCAAATGAATTTCAGGTTGCCCAAACAAAATATCAAATGAAAAAAAATGTGCATTTGTTTAAAATTTGTTAAGATAACAGAAGTTGTGCTTCTGTATTATAAAATGTACACCAGACATTTTTGGAATGCCAAAAGCTGTCTTCCAGTGTTTTATCAAACAAAAATAACAGCCAACAAATATTAATAAGTAGAATCAGAATGCTAATTAGGCTTTAAAAATTATGTTTGTTTCATGTAACATTAATTCCCAATGAATCAAGGGTTGGTAGGTGGGGATTTTTTTTTTTTTTTTTTTTTTTTGCTAATGTACAATCTCACCTCACATACTAACACAAAATAAACTTTCTAGTTTAAAACATTCATTTTCTCTTACCATAAAGGCCTAAATAAATGGGGTCAAGCATCCCTGGACTGAATTAACCAGGAGTGATGTTTACACTGGACACCCAACATGGCTGTCTAGCAGCAGAAAACGAACATTAGAAAGTTGTGGGGGAAATGCTAGATGTTACAATAATGATCATTACCCTTTATATTAATGGTGATTGTTGACTAAGTTTACATATTTTATATCTCAAATAAAACTTAATTTAACACTTTTGGTAAAAATTACATCAGCTGATTGATCAAACACAAATTTGACAGAAAGAAAAATCCTATTTGAATGGGTCGGTCGGGTTACAGGAAACAATGTTTTCAAGGCCTTATAAAGTTTCTTTTAAAATATTAAACAACATTATTGAATATTCCCAACTCGTCCCAGGTCGTCATTTGGGCGAGCCACACTGAAAATCAGGTCGTCCAAAATCATTCCGGGATGGAAATGACGAGGTGACGAGCGTGAATGTCGAACCCTGGCTTTCAATTTCTTTGACCAAAAAAAAAAGATTTAAAAAGTCAAAGTCATAAATAATACTGACAATTTGCAATTTTAAAAGCATAGAAAAGCTCACCAGAGATTATAGCTCAAATGAGATAAAAATCTCACCTTTAATAAGTGCAACTCTGAATGCATCATATCCTATTGTGGGATCCTGCAACATCTCTGTACCAACACTCTCATTGGTGTCTGTTTTACTTATCTCAAACTTGACCCACTTGTAATTACTGCAACGTTTGGCCCCAGGGGAGCTCTGAATGAGATTCTGTACCACTGGGTGGGTCAGCCCAAAGAAATCTGCACCCCTTCCTGAGGGTTCAAGTATCTCCATACCTCTGTAAGGGAAGTAACTCTGATTAACTTATCTCCTAATTTATAAATACTGATATACCCTATAATAAATTGAGTACTTTTAAAATACAAGGACTATATATGTAACAATCAAGTGAGAAAAATGCAATGACTAGATCAGGATTTGAATCAAGGCCCCTTGAGGCGTAAGTCAGGTGCTTTAACAACTGATCTATCTTGCCACCAGTGCTCAAACCTGTCTAACTGCCACATTCCTCCCTCCTTAAGTTTTTGTCCCCAAAGACTACAACCCTGGCTATTCCCTGGTCTTGCACTTGTCACTTCCAGGGCATGGCATGACACCAAATGTAACCAGCAAAGGGAGAAAAATGTGACAGACAGACAGGATTTGTGCCTGGGTTCCCTGAATCACTAGGTGCTCTACCGAGCTATCTGGCCACTGCCTAACCACCACACACAAATCATCAAATTTTGTCATACTACATTATTCTTATAACTTGAAATGCCAAGAAAAAAGAGAGCTGAATTTAATAAAACTTGATTGTGAAGTATAACAAGGAACATATTTTGGTTGGCAATTAAATCTAAATATTTATTACTGTAGAACTTTTTTTTTCAATTTTTTGTTTTGTTTTCTTTTTTGCTACCATGTTTATATTTCTACTGACCTTGACCTATTAATCATGTTGATCAGCTGATTGTGACATTCTCCAATAGAATGGCTGCTTAATACCAGATCTTCATCATCATCAGCATCTATTTCAAACTGCAAAAACCACAATAAATAAGTTAGTGTCAAGAAATCTTGAAAGTTACTAAAAGAAAAAAAGTCATTTACCATAGAGACCCAATTTTTCTTCTGTTGATTTATATAATAATGAAAAATTCTGAAATTGGTGAATTCTAGTTCATCCATTGCTATAGCTCAAAGCTTTCTGATATCAATGATAGAATATCACAGCTTAATGAACATAGAAGTTTAAACTCCTTATCAACTCTTAAATAAACATGGAAACATTGTACTGAAACCTATACGATAACACAATACTCTCATGAAACTGAAAAAGTCATACATGTATATATCAATATTTGGCCTATTCTTTTTAAAGAAGTGGAAAGGCATACCCTACATGAAAAATGAAAAAAAAAACTAACTTACCAGAGGCCCCTGTACACTGCTGGAGATTTTACAGGTATACAGGCACTTTTTGTCTGGAAACACAGTGGAGGCATAGTACCTTGTTGTACAGAAACCTTCTGGAAATATACACTGGACATTGTGGAAACTAGGTCTGTCTACCACAATCTGAAAATGGTGTATAATTTCATTGGTAACTTAATGTACATGTAAAAGAAAAACAAAACATGAACACTTTCCACTCTTGACACATTTAAATTATTTACATCAAATTTGATTTTAAAAATAGTGATGCATATATTAGACATTAAAACCTTCCTCTGCATTTTAAATTTAGTCCTCTCTGGACAGTAATCACAAAAGACAAGCTTCACTTCACGGAAACTGGCTTCTCAATAATATTTTTTTCTCTTTAAAAATTAGATGTAACTGGAGATGTCCAAATAGGACTTATATCCCCATAGTCCAAAATATCTGACATTTTCCAGGCATTTGATTCTATTTGCAAATATTGAAAATCAAGTTCAGCTGGGGGCAGGAAAATTTCCACTTTTCATAATGGGCTGGTTCTGACTTTTGCCTGGTATGTCAAATATTAATCGTGAAAAATGCCTAGAAAACGTCAGATATTTCTGACTAATACCCCCACAATCAGAATGGCTCACTGTAAAAAATCTCTGTACAAAAATGTCTACAGACAGATGGACATGGCAATTCCAGTATAAAAATGTTAATGTCCTGTACTTTAACATAAAGACAAGTTCTCATCTAAATATTACCTCCCCTAAACTATGCAGAGTCAGATCCCCCATTATGAGGGGAAAGATGGGTCTGCCCATGGAGTCTAACTGTAATGGAGGCACTACACGCTTGGTCACTTGTGACTTGGACTTCTTGGGCTTTGTCTGCATTGTTTCTGAAAATGATGAACCATGGAAATATTATTACCCACACTACATGTACTATGAATTTAAAAATACATGATTATGAATCATATAATATATTCACAGTCGAGAATGTATCATGTGTGTAGAATTACAAATGGGAAAGCTGCCAGCTGGTTTTGGTAATGTTTATACAAACATTCACTTAGATTTGCTTTTGGTTTATACACTTAAATAAACTAAGAATATTTCAATATTAAATTTGTATATAAAACTTTCCAAGAAACATACAAACTCTGAAGTGGAAAATTTCAGAATTGATATTACATTGGTAATTATAACAAAAATTCTTATATATATATATATATATATATATATATATATATATATATATATATATATATATATATATATATATATATATATATTTTTGCATTCCTACAAAAAAAGTGAAGCTTTGGGCTTCCTCATAAATTATTTTTTTTAAACACTGATAAAATACACTTCAGTATCTTTATTTTTTGTGGTATGTGTTATTGTACTATTTTGAGTACCCAATATTTCTTTGGCTACTGTGGGCACTGCTGTTGCTGATTTCCGTTTGTCTGTCCCACCAGAAGACTTCTTTTTGGACTTGCTCTTGATGATTGATGGTTCTGGATTACCCTCAGCAACAGATATCATAGACTTACTACTACTGCCACCTGGTGATACTTTACCAGGGGCAGGTAATCCATCTTTCAGGGATTCGTAGTGAAGGAGTTTTCTTAACAGAAACCTTCAACGAAATATATCTGTTAATTGTACAAGTTTTTTTTTTAACTACAACATTGCCAAATGAGCATAAGAATTTTGGCAATATGTATCTTTTTAAAGCAATGTTGTCTGCATAATTTCTGCAGTTCATGTAATCGATCTCAAATTTGCTTTTCAAGCATATACTGTACACTGCATGTACAAATAGCAATCAAGGAAATATCAAGAGTAAATTTTGTTTACTAGATATCTTATAAATGTATTGATTTAATTTTTTCAATGAATATCTGACAAATATATTAATTCAATTTATATGAATATGGCTAGCCACTTTACCTCCTTTCTTCTTTAGCTTTAGCAATCTTTTCCTCAACATGGACCACTTCGTCACAGATTGAAGCATTGACCTACACATATGTTTAAATACAAAGGAAATGTAAAAACACTGCATGTAACAATTTACATCTACCTGTACATATTCAATACATGTTGGGAAAAGCAATGACACTTTAACCATATCTTATTTTCACACAAAAATTTGAGAGTTGCCTTCTAATTTTGAATTTGAAAGCTACAAGCCAATCAATATAAGTGAATCATGAATTTAATTTTCATCTCATTTCAAGCTAAATTTGCAACTCTGAAAAATGTTGTTTTGTAAATACACATTCACATACTAATGTCATTTGATAAGTTTTTTCACCAACCCCATTTTTGTTATCTAAAACACGTTTTGGAGTCCCCATACTTACAAACATTAAATCTTTGATGACTTTTTTGAGTCTTTTCCATCGCTTCAGATATGGATTCACTGGCACAGTTCTGGTTACAACTGCTGGTTTTGTTCCCACAACAACTCTTCAAAATAATTCATGAATACTTTTAAGGTTTCATTAGTCATTCAAATGCAATCAAAAATACAGGCCGGTGGGTAAATGGTGGGTAAAATTAGGGCTGGTCGGTTAACGGAAACACATATTTTTTTTAGCCTTACCTGCCAGCTTGAACATTCTTCAAAATCATTCCATGGGGTCCTTTAATGACTTGTGTGACATGCGGATTACTTGTACTGGTCCCTGATCCACTCATCATAGGACCAGCATGAGAGGTCTTCAATAAAGATGTTCCAGCTGTGGTATTTATCAACTGTGTAAATTAAATCAATTTCAAATAATTAGTTTTGTGGTCACTTTTAGGGGGACTGTAATAAGTATACCAATATAATTATGTAGTAGAGGTACTTTTATTAAAAATTATAAAAGTTGAAATGATTTTAAATGAAATAAAATAAATATAAACTAAATAAACTATTAAATATGTTATAAATGCATAAATGATAAGTTTTCTAGTAAAGTTTCATTCTGTTCATTCTTTACTAACATGGGTATTTAGTGACATAGATATACACCCCTTTGAATCCACACCTGTACATATACTTTTACATGACCACACACATATCTATTGGTCAGATTTTGAAATGGTTAGATTTCATTGGTTGTAAATTTGGTCTTTGTGGGGTACTGAGTTTTATTCAGATTTAGCTCAAGATTTCATGGTGTAAGACATACAGTTTAAGCTGCTGACTTTATTTATTTCTGAAGACCTAAGACAGTTCCTGAAAATGTAAGTTTTACCCTTTTATGCCTTAAGATATGTTTTCCATAATTTATGTGAAATAGGTGGAAAACAGAATATTTTACTTTTAAATGTTAACATATTGAATTATCTGTCTGTATAATCAGATGTAGATAAATCTGATGGAGTTTTCTTATTAATTAATTTGTATATATACCTAGAAATATTTTGATGTGAATATTTTGGTAATCAAACTAATTTAAATATCTATTGGTTATGAGAAAGGTATTTGTAAAGAACAAATCCCTGATTATTTTATTTGTTGTACATAGGTAACACCATAAGTAAACCATATAAATAATTGAAATTGGAGAAAGTTCAATTCCATAAATTGGTATGTCTATCTGTATATATATATTATGATTTGTAAGAAACATAAAAGAAAGATAACTCTTCACAAGACTGTTAAGAGTAATTATGTTGTAAGAGTTAACTCCCTTATATAGAATATCTTCATTTTATCATATCGAGTTAAATTGATAAATATGATAATTAATTGTAAAAGGGAATACAGATAATTTGTTATATTTTTATGATCAGAATATTAGATAATTGATATATTGTTTGTACATATTTTTATGATGCAATTTGTATATTGCAGGACATTTCCATATTATCCATTTATCTATCATCAACTATGTCACCTTAATAAAAGAATAATTTAAAATTTACAACTGAGTGTGTTTCCATCATTGCCGGGAATACCTGCTACAATTATATATCTAGATACTTTACTTTAAACTATGACATGCCATAAAAATTCAAAATATACTGATAAAAGATGAAACCCATAGATCTATATGATCTAAGTCCAAGGAATTTTTACAAGCTAACAAGAATTTGATGTAGCATTTTAATAATCCATATGGTAGTTTAAATGAACTACATCGTTGAAGTGAAACTACATGGCGCTGAATATAACTGTTCTTTATTGTAAGACAAAAGGTAGATTGCTCTCGTCAGGAAAGATTTTAGCATGTTTGGGAAAACTAAATGTTCAAAATGATTCGAATTTCCTCGACACCATAAACTCTCTATACACATGATGAAAATTCACCTGAGATGGTTTCCCAGTAAGAAGACTAATATGACTGTGGGATCGCTGAGCAACATTTTCATGTGACGCTTGTTTGTTGAGGTCAGCTTGATACTGCTGCAAAAACGCTGAATCTTGACTAAAAATTTTGTTCGGATCCATTTTTTCTTCCTTAGGTGCACAACAAATCGTTCGTAAAGTAACTCGTAAGGTAACTCGTACAAAGATTCTTGACCCCCCCCCCCCCCTTTCTTTCAATTTTATTGCCTATCCATTATCTAAGTTCCACCACAGGGGCTTGCTCCCGGCGTGTAATAATTATTTATTAAAAAAAAATCATATACGTTAATACTAAAACGTATATGATTTTTTTTTAAATAAATAATTATTACACGCCGGGAGCAAGCCCCTGTGGTTCCACCTCTGGATGCTGAACTTTAAAAAAAAACTAAAACAATAGTGTATACCTATTGATATGCAAAAAGATCACAGATACTTGGGTCTTCGTTTATAAAGACATATAACATGTAGCGGTATCTCATATTTTTATAAACTAAGATCCAAGTATTGTGGATTAAATAAGAGATTAATCCTTGATATATACCAGGTACATGTATATAGATGAGTTTTGTTTGCAATTATTTGTTTTGTTATGTCGTTGTTGTTGTTTTTTTAATTTGTTTTGTTTTGTTTTAATTTGCCCCCCCCCCTTTTTTTTGGTTTTTGATTTGTCTTGTTTTTTGAACTTTCTTTTATTTTGGTGAATAAGTTCAATTTAAAATTTTCTTCAATTTTTTCCAAAGTATAACTTACGTTACACTGTATTATAAATTGTCATGCAACAAGGACATAAAGTTGGAACAGTTTTAACTCGTTTTTGATTCCTATTAGGCCCTATTTACTGTGCATTTAGGATGACTTATTTAAATGAAATAATGAAAGCCAAAACATCTGCGGTAGAAATAAAGCGTCTGAAACAGATTCCTATCCCCCCTTTTTAAACAATGTAATTGAACTATATAACCCCACCCCCCTTAAAAAGGAGTTTGTACAAATAAGACACTGGTGCTGGGAACAAACTTTCAAATTCACAACAAAGAGTGAATTTGGTAGGTTTTTCATCAGCATATAGAACTATAGATGCTGGAGTGGCTCAGGGATCTGTACTTGATCCGTTCTTGTTTTTGTTATACATCAATGATATAGCTAAAAATATATCAAGTAATATTCGATTGTTTGCTGATGATACTTCTTTGTTTGCCATTATAGAAAATAATATTACTAATCCAACAATGCCCCTTACTCAAGATCTTGAAAAATTAATAAATTGGTCCAAAGCTTTGGCTGTAGATTTTAATAGTGAAAAAAACTGTTAATGTTGATTTTACAAGAAATCATATAAGTTATCCCTGCATTCAGTTTGGATATGGAGGTGATTATATAAAACAATAAAAGACTCATGTTCATTTAGGAGTACAATTTCAGGCAGATGTGTCTTGGAATAATCATATATAATGTAATTTTAGTTATAACGCGGTATTTGATTGGATAAAAAAATTACTTTGGGGTGCCTACGTCACAATTACTTGCGTCAAAAACGTATCGATCCGCCTGACGTTACCTTTAAATTTTGTACAATTTGAAGTAATTTTTTATGCGCAATCATCTTTTTTCTTACAATAAATGAATGAAATAAATAGCTACCCAATTTATACGGTATAAAGTGGGTTGGAACAGTTTACAATTTGAAGTAATTTTTTATGCGCAATCATCTTTTTTCTTACACTAAATGAGTGAAATAAATAGCTACCCAATTTATACGGTATAAAGTGGGTTGAAACAGTTTACACTTTTTTTATAAACCGCTTCCCAGTTTATAAAGTGTAAACTGCCCCAACCTACTTTATACCATATAAATTGGGTAGCTATTAAATTCATTACTTAAATCAAACATATATATGAAAGGGCATGTAAAAGACTGAATATACTTAGGTTATTGAAACATAGTATAGATAGAAATTCACTTATAAAATATTTTGCTTTCATAAGGCCAATCTTAGAATATGTAGACATTGTGTGGGATAATTGTACACAAAGTAATTCAGAATTGCATGAAAAAGCTCAGATAGAAGCTGCCAGGATTATTACTGGGCTTAGGGTTAATTCTTCAAGAACTTGTTTGTATGGTGAACTTGGATGGGAACCATGCATTATATCTTAGAAGAGAAAAACACAAACTTAAGTTAATGTATAAAATAATCAATGGTTCTGCACCTGATTTATTTGTACGAATCGATTCAACCCTTTTTTCCAATTCAACATGCATACAACCTAAGGTCTGGATGTAATACCAGTTTTTTAAAACAATGTCTTAGTATAATAATTTTACTCCCTCAATTATAAAACTTTGTGAGAGTCTTAGTGAAGATGTCAAAAAACTCTCCATTATTATCTATCCTTAAAGCAGAACTTAAAAGTTGGCGAGCAACTCAATCTAATTAAAACTAGATGTTCCGAATCCGCTACCTCTTCTCAAACGTTTGAGAAGCGGAAACGGATTCGGAACATCTAATTTTAATTAAGTTGCAGGCGTCGATCCAGGAATTTTTTTCAGGGGGGGGGGGGTCTACTCCAGTCAGAAAAAAAAATCCAACCCAGAAAATTGACAAAAACATGATAAACCTATTCCGGGGGGGGGGGGACTTTTAAAGCTTCATACCTATGACTTTTCATACCAACATAACACATATCCGCGTTTATTAGGGGGGTCCAAGGTCACTTTTAGTTGGTTTAGTATATCCATTTAGTAACTCGGCAAATATATATATATATATATATATATATATATATATATATATATATATATATATATATATATATATATATATATATATATAAAATCTTTCTAAAGATTGATTATTTAAATAAAAGGGTGTAACTAAGCGTACGCAAATGCTTCCCCATCATTTTCATAAAAAAGAGAAAACTTTAAGCTAAAAAGAAACATACATTTTTCTTTGAATCCGGTGAAGATCTGCTATTTTTAAATGTTAATTGATATTTATCATTATCTACTTCATTTTTACTTTTCACAACATACATGCTTAAACCCTGTTTTAAAACTAATTTGATACGATATCCATAAATTGACAACTTGAGTAAACATATCATACAGAGAAGATTTTCTTTCCATTCACTATTTTGTGATTTATTTTCTACATTGTATGTACAATATACTGTACTTTTAAGCATTCCCGATCATGTAATGTATGTTTAAATAGTGGATAGTAAATAGGTCTATTGAATACATATATAGGTATCAACATTTTATATTATAAAGGATCTTCGTTAATTTATACAATGTGAGCCAAACGCACATATGTATTTGCACCACTCCTTTGTGGGGACGCGAGTCAATCAATTCAACAGAGTTATTGACAGAGCTACATGTAGTATCTTTGAAAAAAAAAATCATGTCCTTTTTGAATTTATTTTTGAATTATATGTGCATGTAAGTACTACAGCATTTTATTTCATAACTCCTTTACATTATCATAATCTTCATAAAATACCGTTAACACAATCAGTCATTTATAAGGAAGATATTGCGCAAATAACATCGTGTTAATGTACGTGTACTTTGTGTCAAGAGCGTCTTGTACATATAGTATTTGCATGATATGCCTTACCATGTAATTGTATACATGTATTTTATGAATTTGGTCCAATAGAGAGAAAGGAAGGTGAAATTTGACGCTTTTATGTTTTTTTTTTTAAATATACAAATGCATATAATAATTTTTCACAAATAATTGTTCATGTTTCCAATATACATGTACATGTATATACTAGGTTTATTGCTTTGAAATAGTTTGAATAAAAAAATATCTGTTAAATTAAACTGTAATATACATCAACCATTTTCACACAGAACATGACAGTATATTTTTATTCGTGAACTTATCCATAAAACATGCAAACTAAAAACGATGTACATATTCTCAAAATAAAATTAAACAAATCAAGGGTCAATGAACAATATCATTAATTTTGTTGGAAAATCTAGGATATGGAGTACATTGTGTGTGTATATATATATATATATATATATATATATATATATATATATATATATATATATATATATATATATATATATATATATATATATATATATATATATATATATATATATATATAAAATCTTTCTAAAGATTGATTATTTAAATAAAAGGGTGTAACTAAGCGTACGCAAATGCTTCCCCATCATTTTCATAAAAAAAGAGAAAACTTTAAGCTAAAAAGAAACATACATTTTTCTTTGAATCCGGTGAAGATCTGCTATTTTTAAATGTTAATTGATATTTATCATTATCTACTTCATTTTTACTTTTCACAACATACATGCTTAAACCCTGTTTTAAAACTAATTTGATACGATATCCATAAATTGACAACTTGAGTAAACATATCATACAGAGAAGATTTTCTTTCCATTCACTATTTTGTGATTTATTTTCTACATTGTATGTACAATATACTGTACTTTTAAGCATTCCCGATCATGTAATGTATGTTTAAATAGTGGATAGTAAATAGGTCTATTGAATACATATATAGGTATCAACATTTTATATTATAAAGGATCTTCGTTAATTTATACAATGTGAGCCAAACGCACATATGTATTTGCACCACTCCTTTGTGGGGACGCGAGTCAATCAATTCAACAGAGTTATTGACAGAGCTACATGTAGTATCTTTGAAAAAAAAAATCATGTCCTTTTTGAATTTATTTTTGAATTATATGTGCATGTAAGTACTACAGCATTTTATTTCATAACTCCTTTACATTATCATAATCTTCATAAAATACCGTTAACACAATCAGTCATTTATAAGGAAGATATTGCGCAAATAACATCGTGTTAATGTACGTGTACTTTGTGTCAAGAGCGTCTTGTACATATAGTATTTGCATGATATGCCTTACCATGTAATTGTATACATGTATTTTATGAATTTGGTCCAATAGAGAGAAAGGAAGGTGAAATTTGACGCTTTTATGTTTGTTTTTTTTTAAATATACAAATGCATATAATAATTTTTCACAAATAATTGTTCATGTTTCCAATATACATGTACATGTATATACTAGGTTTATTGCTTTGAAATAGTTTGAATAAAAAAATATCTGTTAAATTAAACTGTAATATACATCAACCATTTTCACACAGAACATGACAGTATATTTTTATTCGTGAACTTATCCATAAAACATGCAAACTAAAAACGATGTACATATTCTCAAAATAAAATTAAACAAATCAAGGGTCAATGAACAATAACATTAATTTTGTTGGAAAATCTAGGATATGGAGTACATTGTGTGTGTATATATATATATATATATATATATATATATATATATATATATATATATATATATATATATATATATATATATATATATATATTATACTAGTGAATATGTATTAGTAGTATGCACAAGACTGTTCTGCTACAATATCCCGATCATGTGGGCCTCAGCAGCTTTATACACCAGTGTGACTCTAAAACAAACAAAAAATCAGTTCGTAACAATACATTCAAGATGCTGCACAGGCTCGTAGAACGCGGGGTGGGGGAAATTTTTCTGAGTATAGTATTTTGCTATACCAAATTTTCCTTCAGATGCTGGTTGCCCCCCCCCCCCTCCCCCCCACTTTTATGCTGATCCAAGGTCGAGCACTGGAACATATTTTAGGATTTGGACGGTTAATTAGGGTTTCTTTTTTGCTTGTCAGATGTTTGGAGAAGCCCCCCCCCCCCACTTTTTACTGTTGTTACGGGCCTGCTGCAGAATTGAATGAACTTTACTATATAATTTGGTTCTAGTCATTGTCAAATAATTTAGACTGTGCACCACTCTTTTTTTTTTTCAACCGAAGTCGAAAATAGAGTACTTCACCACCACGTACCCCATCCCCAAAAATGCAGGGATTAATCAGGGGAGGGTGGGGGTTGGAGTTAAAATATTATTATGAAAACGTCTTCTGACCGCCTTAAAGTTTCTGTCTTTGAATCTTGTATCAAAAAAAAAAAAAAAAAAAAAAAAAAAAAAAAAAAAATTGAAATTAAACAAAGTCTCATCGCCGCATGCCAAAGGTTTTCGTGTCCATGTATTTCTAAATAAAAATAATAATGAACAAAACAAAATTTCCTGACTTGCAAAGATAGTGCAGCTGTGACAAATTGACGGATTTTGCTGCATTAAAATTATCTCCTTGTTTTTCCAGAGGGATTTGCCCCCTCCCCCCCCCCCCAATTAACTTGGCAACCCCAAGAGGAGATACAATCTACGCAATAATTATAATATTTCCACATTCATGACATGTATTAAACCATGCATGGTTACACTCTTGGTTTCAATAGAGAATGTAGGATCCGAAAAAGTATCTTAATTGATTACCTTGATTTAGGAATGCTGAGTGTGGTCGAAAAGAATTCCATGAACTTTTCTGTGTATCCCGGATTTTTGTCGGCGCTAAACACGCCTAAGGATTGAATCTCAATCAACACACAGGGCGAAGAATCTTCGTTCCTACACATACGTTTGTCCGAATTCAAAATAACATGAATTCTCTGGAAACAGAAAAAATACGTTAAAATACGGCGTTGTAGGTTAGAATTAACTTCCAGTGGTAAATAACATGTATCTCGAAGTCAATTATATTATAGAACAGCAAAGAAGAATTAAAAAATTGTGTTTTTTTTCTGCCAAATTGACGGTGTATCAAAATACTCATAGGCGATGTATTATCTTTAAAAATAAACCTGTTTTATCAAATGGTTGTCCACGACTTTCAGCAAGAAAATACATTAAAGTCATAATTTTGCGTATTCCAGACCATGAGATTTTCATATGTGCGTTGCTTTTTGAAAAACTTAATTAATGTGTCGTAACGCTACAATTGCCCCCGTAGCCGTAGGCAGCCCAAATTCCAAATGCAATATTTAGTTTTAAATTAATTTTTTTTCTAAGTTCAAGGGGCATAACTGAGATAAAAACTATAAATGTTAATCTTATCAAGGTGGCTAGAGCTTGCATCGATGCTTATAATACTTTTTATATTAAGACATTGTATCACAGGACGGCAATTTAAGTGTTTTGTGAAATTGTTTGTATAGATCGATTTGGTCAACTATGATCATAGCCAAGTGGTTAAAGTATCGGACTTGAGAACTGCAATTCCCAAATTCGAATCCCACTTGGGCTTTTGTTCATATTCACTGACTTAAATTGTTATAATTTTTAATTTTTTTAACCAAAGAGGCAAATTCAAATGTAAACAGGAAGATAACCAATTAACCATGATATCACCTTCATTTTCTGACCCTAACAAAGAAAATTTCACAAAATATCTAATTTTTCCTGAATACATGTCTCTGCCAAAAATCATCGGACCATGATCAAATTCAAACTTGACCTGTATTTTCTGGTAAAATACCTGCACATGCAATTTCAACCTTATACATACATCCTACAAAAGTTAGCGGAAATTGAATACTAGAATTTCTTATTTTTTTTCTAAGTTCAAGAGGGATAACTCTGTCAAAAATAAGAAGGCCCTTGCAACAATCAATCAAAAGTTATGGTCAAAGTTTTTTTTCTTCCAAAAGTAGGTCAAATGTCAAGGTTAACGTCATGAGTTTAAAATATTGGTACCTAAGAAAAGGTCTTGTCACGAGGAATACACCTGTGGAAATACTGGAATATGACAGCCATATTGCACCAAAAGTTCAAAAGTTATGGTCATGGTTAATTTTTTTATCAAAAGTAGGTCAAACTCCAAGGTTAAGGTAAAAAATATTCAAACCAAAGGGAAGGTCTTGTCACAAGAAATAAACATGTGACATATGAAAGCCTTAGCACCAACTCTTCAAAAGTTATGACCAAGGTTAATGTTTTTCAAAAGTGACATGTGAAAGCCTTAGCACCAACTCTTCAAAAGTTATGACCAAGGTTAATGTTTTTCAAAAGTAGGTAGTACTCCTAGGTCAAGGTCAAAAGGTTAAGAGGTCAAATATGTTGGTACCCAAAGAAAGGTCTTATCACAAGGAATACACATGTGGAAAATGAAAGCCATTGCTCTAACCAATCAATTGTTATGGCGAAGGATAAAGTTTCTCCGAATCTACGATTAAGGGGCACAAATCGATTAGATCTTTAGATGCTATTTTAAAGTGGCACAGGTTTCTACAGGCCTATGTATTAGATTCGTACTATATGATATCGAATCTTCCGACGATTTTTATCCCTAGCAAGGTATCGTACATGTTTACGTCCCATTTGATAACCTGTCTATTTTTTTTGTCCAAAATATGATTAAACACTTTTAAAATGTTAAGAAAATGTACCTCTTTGGGTTTGTTCAGAACTTCTGACACACATCTGGAAGTTTTAACCTCGAAATCTGCAGGGACCTCCTCATCCTTTAGATTAGTGTACAGAAATACCATCGGCATTTTGACTTCCTGTGATTTCTGTCGCTAGTGCTCAGGGTCGCTCTTAATAGATTATATAGGGGAAAGAGCGACTGAAATCACTGGCTTCTGCGCATGCGTAGGGATTTCAGTCGCTTCAAATCGAAGCGGTGCTCTGTTGGTTTCAGAATTTATCAAGACTGACATATTTAACGTCTGTAAAACTAGTAAAAGGTACATTTTGATGCCGGTTTCATTTGAAATACATAATTTAAGTGTAGTTTAATTATTCTAGAGGAAAAAATTGGGGAAAAGAATTAATTTGCATTAGTTATGAGCATCAGTGATTTGAGTCGCTCTTCAAAATGGCCGTTTCGAAATTAATCAAGACTGACACATTTAACGTCTGTTAAACTATTAAAAAGTACAATTTGATGCCGGTTTCATTTGAAATACATAATTTAAGTGTAGTTAAATTATTCTAGAGGAAAAAATTGGGGAAAAGAATTAAGTTGCATTAGTTATGAGCATCAGTGATTTGAGTCGCTCTTCAAAATGGCCGTTTCAGAATTTATCAAGACTGACACATTTAACGTCTGTAAAACTATTAAAAAGTACAATTTGATGCCGGTTTCATTTGAAATACATAATTTAAGTGTAGTTTAATTATTCTAGAGGAAAAAATTGGGGAAAAGAATTAAGTTGCATTAGTTATGAGCATCAGTGATTTGAGTCGCTCTTCAAAATGGCCGTTTGCAATTTTTTTATGCTTATGCGATATTTTAGTTTTTCTATTTACTTCTATGGATATATAATACATAGTGTAAAAAGCTTGTGCTATCATTGCTAGACATCAAGATCACGTCTAATTTCATTTCATGCTAACAAACATTGGTATCTAATGCAAGATTAAAGGAAATTCAATTTCTCCAAAATCACATTTTGTTTTTCTTTTAAGGGCTTCAAATGTCTATTTTTTACAAGACCGTTTCTAAGACTTCAAAGAACCGTGAATCATATTCAGATGCATAAAATGAAAATTGTTGCACGTAAAGATCTCAATTTCAAGCTTCACACTCACACTATTTAAAAAAATTAAAAAAATTAAAAAGAATAAAGTTAAGAGTTATCCTTCATGGCTGTGGATCAGATATGCTTAAATGTAACCTTAAAATTTCAAAACTAGGTCATGGTGACCTACTCTCAATTGAGACACTTTAAGAACCAAAGATGCATTAACTCATAAAGTTCTATGATTCTAAGCTAATTAATATCTAAAATATTTAAATATAGCCATATAATTCTAAAAGTAAGTCACAGTGGCTCTGTAAAAATTTGAGGTGTAAATTGATGTGTTAATTAAAAAAATGACCAGCTGACATATATTTATCAACCGGCAATTACCACACATACTTACATAGTTGCAGTGGGGATAATTTTCTTTTATCTCATCATATGTCTTTTCATTTTATCGAAATACCTTCTGGGATGTGGTAGTGGAAATGTGTAATGGCAGCAATTAATTACAAATTTCGATGTAATTGAAAGTAATGTGTAATTAGCAAAAACTACAATTACATATGATTGTTATATGATTAAGGTATTCAATGTATAACGACCATATTTTGTACCTAATAAATGAATGGTCCGAAATGATTCATCATGGTAGCATTTTGAAGGTGTTATGAAATAAACATGCTCCACCATAGGAATTTACAAAATGTTATTTACTGTCCAATTTATGAAAATATGAAATAATATGAATCATTTGTCCTCAATAATTCTCTGATATGTCACAGGAAATTGCAGTTTATTTGATAATTATAATATTAGGTGGCATTGAAGAGATGAATTTATAGAACACTTTTGCAGGAATTTTGCCCATTTAAGTAAATAACAGTGATTTATGTTCATCAGTACTTCATTGACTTTGAGCATTTTTCCTGGGGGTAAATGCAACGCAACCTATGTTGAAAATGTGATAGATAAGCTCAATACTTACACCTTTACATACTATAATTTTCTCAATGTCCAAAAAATATTTTCCTCTAGTGTATAGAGGGTCCTTAAAATGTTCATTAGACCATGCATATATCAAGCACAACAATACAATAACAGTGGTTTATTTTATATTGCAGGTGAAAGAATGTGATAGATGTCAGAGATCTGCCAATGCTGCCCCATCAACAGCCCCTCCCCTGCAAGTCATACCAGTGGCTACAGATGTCTGGAACAAAATTGGTATGGATGTGGTCAACTTTAAAGAGTCTGTAGATGGTTATAAACATGTTATTACTATTACAGATTACTTTTCCAAATGGATGGAAGCTGTAGCTGTGCAAGACAAAACTGCAAACACCATTGCTGCCTTCCTGATCAAGACCATTCTGCGCCATGGTGCCCCACGCATACTGGTGACTGACAATGGCTCCGAATTCAAAAACCACACTCTTCAAGAGCTGACCAGTACCTATGGAATCAAGCACATTTTTACCACGCCGTACCATCCCCAAGCCAATGGCCTTGATGAGAGGACCAACCAGACACTGAAGCAGAGTCTGCGGAAAGTAGTCCATGACAATGAAGACGACTGGCCAAAGTACATCGACCACGTGGTTTCAGCCATAAACATGACCATACAGGCTTCCACAGGCTACTCACCAATCTACTTACGGGAGTTACGGACACCCAGGATGGGGTTTCAAAACCAACTTGACGAAGATATGCATAGCATCGTGTTTAACCTGGAGGTCCACCTAATTACACATTATAAACTTAAGTTTTATATTACCTATATGACTTTCATAAACTTCACACTCCCCATCTCCACTCTAATAATATCCATAATTTGTTGTATCCACAGACATGACTTATTTAAGTATACCAAATATCTCTTAGACTAACATCTTCATTGAACATAACCAGATCGATATCTATAGATATTAAAACTACCTTATGTATAAAATTGCTTTGGTCGTAAAACACAATTGACCTCTTAGTTGGATATTAAGTTGTATACACAGTATAGCAGGTCCAGAACAATCAGTACATTTAGCTAAGTAGCTAGATTTAGCTACCATAGCTTTATTTAGGCTACTTCAGGTAGCTTTATTCAGCTATTTCACTACAACTTTTCATAACTTTGCTTTTTATTTAAATTAGATAAATAATCACAAGAACATGTCGACTAATATTTATACTATAGGATATAGAGGATATTTAAAAAGCAATCTAAAGCAGAGATTGTTTAAACATTGCTGTGTTTAAACACTTTTTACAAGCTTAAGCAAAAGATGTATTTCCATTGTTCAGTAACTGTACAAAGTGTGATTTTCTGCACAGCCTGAGAAAAATGCTAATTTAAAAAATAAGTCTATTTTATAGCTGAATAAAGCTACTTCAGGTAGGTAAATAAAGCTATGCAGGTAATTTTGGCTATCTAGCTAAATCTAGTGATTATACCAGACCCGTACTCGGCTACTCGGCTCACTGTACAGGGCTCATTTAAGAATACAAATAAATCTTCATCTATCCCAGAACTATATAGAATTTCAAAACCAAATGTAAAGAAAATAAAAACAGCATTTCTTCACCTTTTCTTCATCAAGATAAAGAATTACTCACGGTCCTAGCTTACATGAAAATGCATCGATATATTAGAAACACGATAGAGGAAATTCGATTCACAACTTCGTCGAATTAGTCTTTGACTGGTACAGAAAGATCATTATTTATATTTATTTATGCCCAACTCTACTTATCAACGATAAAACGTTCATGTCTTATTATTTTTCTATTATCAACACTTTCTTACTTTCAGCTGTGGAATCATAAGTGATACGTGCCAACCGAACGTACGGCACTCTGGCATGCCGATCTCGATGATTCTTGCGTGTAAAACTAATATATAATCATATTAAATTTCTATCCATTTTTTTTTTACATAAAACATTTAGCACTATATATATCATGTAATAACAAAAACAAAATTAAGGGTCAAAATGAGCTGATTCTCCGATGAAAAATGGAACTAAATGAAGTCCATATGCCAATCTCTACATTTCGAATGTAAGTGTGCTTAATACAGCATTTTCGGGATTTTTCTTATAAATATTCAATAATACAGTATTGTTTGATTATCTAATAATTTCATAGCATCAGTATTCTTCAATTAAAATACAGATTACATTTATTTAAGGTATTTACGACTATATATGGGTCTGATTATGCGAGCGCCGAATTGTCAAGGTACCGCTAGGTAATTCTATTTTTAGAGCGACTCGGAGCACTAGCGATAGTTTTCACTGGTACACCGGTATCAACTTTTCAGTGCGAAAGTATATTGATTGATTGATTGTATGTTGTTTTACGTCCCATTCGAGAATTTTTCACTCATATAGAGACGTCACCATATACCGGTGAAGGGCTTCAAATTTTGACCTTTACTTGACAATTCGGCGCTCGCATAATCAGACCCATATATAGTCGTAAATAGGGCCATTGAGCAGTGAGGGATCTTTATCGTGCCAACGCCTGCCGTGACACGGGGCCTCGGTTTTTGAGGTCTCATCCGAAGGACCCGCAACTTTCACTTCAAAGTGCCGAGCGCATGGCGAAGGAACAGTTGCTACCCATTTTTTATCGACTTAGGTCTGTCGCGTCCGAGATTCGAACTCACGACCTCCCGATCACAGAGCGAGCGCTCTACCGACTGAGCTACCGTGAACGGTGCGAAAGTATAGATTATCTAGCTCACATATCATACATGTTATGGTGTACCATGTATATGGAACGCCAAATTAACATATATTCAAATATTTGTACCTATCTTCAAATAATTGTACCTATCTTCAAATGAATTGAAGATAGGTACAATTGAATTAAAGATAGGTACAATTGAATTGAAGATAGGTGTAAATAGTTAAATACCTATCTCTAAATAATTATACCTAGGTACAAATAAATTATACCTCATATGGAGAAATGGTGTTCATTCTGCTGATTTGCATATCGACCATTTAGGAACTATAATGGCGGCCGAATTTATAAAGGTCTATATAGAGAAAATACAAAAAATCGCGAAATTTTATATCCTAGCTATTTCGGATAAAGTTCTTCCGCCGATGGTTTGATTCTTCTTAATATCTTCTACCGTAAATGACAAGATTGTTGATACCAAAGTGAAAGTTGCGACCGCCTTTTTGATTTGAAAATTCGAAGCGAGAGTATATTGTTTTAATGAAGGAAAGACAGAATTGGTGTTTTTATCATTTTTTATGAGGAAATGTAAGTGTTCATTACAAGTTGACAGAGTTCTTCCGCCGATTAAGAGGTGAAGGAGAGAGCCTATTTTTATAAAATACGTATGTTTTACCATTCCATTAGGAGTTACGACCGCCCTTTGAATTTGAAAACGGCAATTTTTTGCATCAGTGTGACCTGCTTATATCGGGAAAACGGTGTCCCGAGTCGTCAGCTGTTATTCACACAAATTTCTACCCATATAACTATGAAAGAGCCTTGGAGAAAAAACAAAACGAAACAGGCTTGCAGGTTTTAACATAAAAATTTAAAGAAATGGAATTTCGAGTATATTCAGTATCTCATGAATATTAATGAGAAATAAATCACGTGGAAGCAATCTCATGAATAAATTGCACACAATTTCTCCATATGTATCTTTAACGGAATTACACCTATCTTCAATTCAATTAAAGATAGGTTCAATTCAATTATACCTATCTCTAATTCATTTGAAGATAGGTATAATTGATTTTAAGATAGGTACAATTGATTTGAAGAAAGGTACAATTGATTTGAAGATAGGTACAATTAGAACATATCCACAAAGGATTTGAAGATAGGTACAATTCAATTATACCTAGGTTCAATTCATTTTGTGTTATTGAAAATAATGAACGCTCCCTAGGAGACAATATTGAACATGGAGGGAAACGCACAGAACACACAGAGCGACGACAACGAGGATGAAAGGAGAAATAAAGATATGTTAAAATGTGCAAAAAGCATTACATACTTATTAAAATACACATGTATGTCAATAAGTGAGCTGAAAAAATATATATACTCGAGAGATGTCGGAGATCGGTAGACGTAACGGAAATGACGTATAATGAAGGGAGTAGTTATTATTGCCAATATCTTAGTAATTAAAGATAGGTTCAATTCAATTGTACCTATCTTTAAATCAATTATACCTATCTTCAATTCATTGCATTTGTACCTATCTTCAAATCAATTGTACCTATCTTCAAATGAATTAAAGATAGGTATAATTGAATTATACCTATCTCTAATTCATTTGAAGATAGGTACAATTGATTTAAAGATAGGTACAATTCATTTGAAGATAGGTACAATTATTTGAAGATAGGTACAAATATTTGAATATATGTTAATTTGGCGTTCCATACATGTACGGTACATATTCAATTTATTTTTACTATTTTTTTTTAATTAAATCTAAAGTCTTTAGCTCTGAAAGTTACAGTGTATCGACTCGTTCACAGGAAACATGAATCAGACTGTCAAAATTCAGTTTATTAATTATTTTTCTACTTTCCAACATTAAAGTTGGTCAAGACACGTGGTAAGGTGTAGTCGAAAACGGCCAGGTAAATACACTGTATGTGCGGATCCATGAAATATTGGGGGGGGGGGGGGGGGGGGGGTTCACACCGACTAAAAAAATCGGAAATTTGTTGAAAAGAAACACACACACTTAACGAATTCCCCACATCTTTAAATCCTTTTTTCGTGGGAGCGGGTAGGATTAGTTTTATTCCTTGGTCAATTTTCTTCGGATACATCACTCACCTTACCATTACGAGTTCTTTCCTATTGGGGGTGTTTGTCCAAGGTAAAATGTTCGTTATCTTACATGGAAATTTAACAAATCTTCAAATGGGGGGGGGGGGGGGTTCCGACCACCTTCTCCTCTAGATCCGCTCACGCGTAACTTTAATTCCTTGAACCGGTCTACTGGAGAAACCAAGTTTTTACTTGAAGGGAACACTATCACAGTGGAGACATGAAAGTTTAACTAATGCATACATTTGATTTCATATGCATAGTACTCTGAAAATCAGGAACCGTTTATTAACATAATCAGATCCAGGGGTTGGTAGGAAGTCATCACTTTCTCAAAAAATATTTTTTTAACAAGAGTCTGTCATAAAGTCATCAAATTCATTAAAAGTACACATAAGCCAAAAGTATGCTGTGAACAATTTTGTTTTATTCAACAAGAACGGTAAAATCAAAACAACTTTTGTATAGAGAACAAGTTCTAATTCATACTCTAACAAGAGGCCCATATTATGCAAAATACACTCATTAGGGAGACATGGCGACATTATAAAATGCTTCTGATAAAGAAGGTTTTAGAATGTCAGACATAATGTAGCTCTGGTTTTGGTAATCTACATTTATTCTGCTTAGAATAAGGTAAAGATCGCAAATTACTGAAAACCAACGAAGTTTTTATGTACTAATCAAAAGTATTTATCCTGACATAACTTTAAAATCTCTAAACAGAAGCTATATACCGTTTTGTTTTTTTTTTTCCTATCACAATTTTTGCGAAAATATGCCAAAACACTGCAATTTTAAATTTTCATAGTTCTATTTTTAAGATTGTCCACATGATTTTATAGAGTTATCTATGTGATTAACATGGTTTATATGGTATGCTGTCGGTGACAATGTATTGCCAATTAATTATTCTGTAATCTAATAATGCTTGAAAAGAAAGCAAAAAATTGGTTTGTTAAAAAAAAAAAAACACATTACATGGTATTCAAAGACACCAAGAACACAGAAAAGTTCTGAATCTTAATTTTCTCCCTCTTTTAATGGTATAAGTTGTATTTGTATTCAACAATCATGGTCCATAATATATGAAATTCAACAAGAAATAAAATTTATACACTTGTACACTGTACATGAAATAATACTAACATTTGCCATATAACAGCCTCATAAATAAATATTAACAACATATATAGCCAACTTTTTAACAAGAACAGCATATTAACAGTATTTTAAGGAAGTATAGCACAACTGCAAAAAACATTACAATAGGGGAAAACAAAAATATATTAAGGATGATGAAAGACAGGCAGTTTGCCATAAAAACTCTCCCTGTCGCATTTTGTATTAAAATTTTTTGCCTTGGAAACTACATAATGTATACAGAGGTGTTTATACCCCATTTTGTATTTTTCAGTAATTTAAATGGTTTCTGTCCATACTTTTGGGGACTCTTCATTTGTACCTAGTAATGTTATTTTTCTAATTTTCTAATATACATTTCATTAAGTTTAGATATGATCATATGAAGGTTTATGATTGTTACTATCCATTTTGTCAGCATGTAAACTGTATCATACATATCAGTGACAATCTAAATATAAAACAGTGTACTAGGTAATTAGGGTCTTTAAGTGCATATCTATCATTGCTGAGGTATTAATATGAAAAAAAAAAATTGTCCCATAACCAAGAAGCCATATTCTACAGGCCAATCTCTAATCCGCATTTTGAAACAAAAATCAGGAATATGGAAGAATTTCCTTAATGTTAAACAGCTCTCTGTGTATAAACATTTTTTTTGCTTTGCTTATATAAACTTTTGGATATAACATGATTTAATCTAATAAAAAATTGCTTTTTTGGTTTAAAGTCACTGTGAAAACCTGATTGAACAACTGACATATAGTTTACCATGCAAACGGATTAATGCCTCCTTAAATATATCAATAACAGAAAAATGTGACAAGCACATCATAACAATAAATAAACAACATTAACAGCTAATCAACAACTTTGTAATAAACAAATACAATTGTTAACATACATAAAACAATAACTTGTGCATGATTTCATTCATTAGAACATTAATTTTGTCTCATGATATGTCATGCCTTAAACAATTGAAACAAGTGAAAAGATATAAGCCATGCAACAAAACCTACCAATTATCATTAATTTTTGATAAACATTGGAACAACTACTCTGATTTAAATAAAAACAATAATGAATGCCCATGAGTTGATAAAATAAAACTCTGGTCTTTCTGCTTGATCCTCAGAAATTGTGTCCCCTCTGGATAAGCATCTCTCCATAAGGCTCCCTCTGGTCAACATATACATTCCCTTTGGCACATAAATCTAGGGTAAAAAAAATTATTACTTACAGATAAAACAGCATTGCTTATGATCATTTTATGTACAAGTAAAATATATACAGGTATGTCCATAACCAGGCCTTCTTTTTTTCCATAGTATGATCTTTGAGAACACATATTCATGTAACTCTAGAATATTATATAATACACAGGATTATCTACACTAGATTAATGCAGTAAATTGTAAAAACTGTTTATATCCACTGTATGACATATTTTATACTAGGACACATTCATCCCATTGATTTATTTTACGTATGTACTGGGAATTGTTCATGAAATGAGTTCATTTTTTATTTGCTAGTGAATTGCCCATTCTGTTTTGCTACTTGGTTAACTATTTTCGATTTGGTTCAGTTCCAATTATCCTTAATTACTTGCATGATCATACTACTGGAGAACATGAAAAAAATTATATGGAGGCAAGTTATTTTGTATTGATTGATAAAATCTGCCCGAAATTTAATTATCAATTTGAAGTATGACTGGCTACATATGAGAATTACTCTTTTGCTGAAGGTAATGGTCCCTAACAAACAGACTGACAGACAAGATAATAATTTCTCTTCATGCATACCTATTGACTTTCTTAGTAGCAAGTTTGATTAAGACTAATTTCAAGTCTCAGTGTACATCAGTTATATAAAGTAAGGGGAAAGCAATAGATTCTAGATTGAAACTAACGAAGCAAGGCGTTGAACATGGAGGCTGCTATTTTTCTGTCATAAAAGTGTGGCGGGCAAACTTCCTCAAATGTTGAGTAATCCTTCTCACTTGTGTTTGAGTTGATTAACCTATAATTGAAAAAAAAATATTTGACTCGATCAGTATGTCCAGATTAAAGAATGTCCATGCAAAATCAAGGCAATAAGAAAAAGCAATAAAAACCAAACTCTTGTTTTAATAAAAAAAATTCTTTCTCAATACATTCTACAGTATTACCTGAGAAATCTACTTTCTACTTGTGAGAGCTTGGAGATAATTGGTAACGGTGTGTCCACCATAGGTATTTCTGACTCCTCCTGCACCACTGAGAGATTTCGACTGATCCTTGAGAATGTGTCAGACACAGAGTGCTCTGAGGGAGGGACCAGAAGCTCCTCCTCAATGGATCCCCGAGATCGGCTCCTCCTTTTTCGACTAGAAAATACATGTAATTCTTTATCTAGTTTAAACATTAAAAATCACTTACAGGGGCAGAATATCATAAGAAAATTGTAAACAAAAACAGAATCAATTCATCAAGTAATGAATAAATCTTTAAAAACAAAAAAAAGAAGACAAACAAGAGGCCCATGGGCCTTGAATCGCTCTTCTGATAAACTGTACAACCTATCACTTCTATTTGAAGCCTCGAAGTATCCTGTATATTTAGATAAACCCTTGAAATTCCAATTCACACTCTGAGAACCCAAGATGATTCTAAGCCAATTAGTACCTGAGAGTTGGTCATGGTGACCTACTTATCACTTGTCATTCTCTGAAGACCCATCAACTAAGTTTGATGATTCTAAGCCAATTAATACCTAAAATATTTTTTAAAATTATAACCATAAAATTTTATAAGTAGGTCAAAGTGACCTACTTTTCAATTGTTTTACTCCAAGGACCCAAGATGCAAAAGTTTGATGATTCTAAGCCAATTAGTACCTGTAATATTTAATTAAAGCCATAAATTTTCAAAAGTAGGTCACCGTGACCTACTTTTCAGTTGCTGTACTCCGAGGACCAAAGATACATCGACTGACAAAGTTTGATGATTCTAGCCAATAAGTACCCAAAATATTTAATTACAGCCATAAATTTTCAAAAGTAGGTCACGGTGACCTACTTTTCAGTCAACCTACTCCGAGGACCAAAGATGCATCAACTGACAAATTTTGACGATTCTAAGCCAAATAATTCCTGAAAATATTAAATACAGCCATAAAATTTCAAAAGTAGGTCACCGTGACCTACTTTTCAGTTGTTGTACTCCGAGGACCCAAGATGCATCAACTGACAAAGTTTAATGATTCTAAGCCAATTAGTACCCGAAATATTTGACTAAAGCCATAAATTTTCATAAGTAGGTCACCGTGACCTACTTTTCAGTTGTTGTACTCCCAGGACCCATGACGCTTAAACTGACAAAGTTTTATGATTCTAAGCCAATTAGTACCCAAAATATTTTATTAAAGCCATAAATTTTCCGAAAGTATGTCACGGTGACCTACTTTTTAGTCGTCCTACTCCGAAGACCCATGAGGCATCAACTGACAAAGTTTGATGATTCTAAGCCAATTAGTACCCGAAATATAATTAAAGCCATAAATTTTCAAAAGTAGGTCACTGTGACCTACTTTTTAGTCGACCTACTCCGAAGACCCATGAGGCATCAACTGACAAATTTTGATGATTCTAAGCCAATTAGTACCCGGAATATTTAATTAAAGCCATAAATTTTCAAAAGTAGGTCACGTGACCTACTTTTTAGTCAACCTACTCTGAAGACCCAAGAGGCATCAACTGACAAAGTTTGATGATTCTAAGCCAATTAGTACCCGAAATATTTAATTAATGCCATAAATTTTCAAAAGTAGGTCACTGTGACCTACTTTTTAGTCGACCTACTCCGAAGACCCAAGATGCATCAACTGACAAAGTTTTATGATTCTAAGCCAATTAGTACCTGAAATATTTAATTATAGTCATATAAATTGAAAAGTAGGTCACTGTGACCTACTTTTCAGTTGACCTTTTTTGAGGACCCAAGATGCATCAACTTACAAAGTTTTATGATCATAGGACTTAAAATGTCCAAATTATGCCTCTAAAGCGCTTTGAAATCGAATGCCTGCAAAGTTCAAAAAGTAGGTCACTGTGACCTACTTTTTAATAAATATGTTTTATGGCCCCAAGATGCATCATCTTACAAGATTTAATGATTCTAAGCCTCCCCGTATTCGAATTAATGACCTTAATTGTTTTAAAAAAGATTAGCCATAAAATTCAAAAAGTAGGTCAAGGTGACCTACTTTTTAGTTGACGTACTTTGAGGACCCAAGATGCATCAACTGACAAAGTTTGATGATCATAGGCCTTAAATTGTTCAAAATATGCCTCTAAATCATTTTGAAAAAGAATGGCCGCAAAATTTAAAAAGTAGGTCACCGTGACCTACTTTTGAGTCAACATGATATGAGGTCCTTAGATGCATCAACTGACAAGATTTGATGGTCCTAGTCCTTATAGTAAGCAAAATATCAACATTTTAATAAAATGTAATTTTTGGTCAACTTTGAAGTGACCTTGAGACCACGCCCTTTGCCCCAGGGTAAATCCCCGCGCAAATTTTAATCTACAACATATCCTCATCCTTTTGTGTAAGTTTGGTGATAATCTGCCCAGTGGTTCTTGAGAAGAAGATTTTTTAGCAACCAGTACTTTTGTTTCTATTTTCCTAATTATCTCCCCTTGTTAAAGGGTCACAACCCCAGTTTTAGTATAAAAGGGAGCCCTTGGGCCAAGGATACCCTGTGACAAATTTGACAATAATTGGCCAAGGGGTTCTTGAGTTATGGCCCATATTCTAAAAAGTTTACGCACACCGCACAAATGGCCATAGCATTAGCTCTTTGAGCCTTTGGCTCAGAAGAGCTAAAAACACATTAATTCTTCTTGAAAATAAAGGTGTGCTGACAAATGTAGATCATTATATGTAACACAGGAGCTTGGCTGTAAATAACAGTTCGTGGGACAATTTCAAGTTAAATTTATTCTCCTAAACCAAAATATTGGTACCTGGGGTACGTTTAATAACATATTATATACATTTTATACAAATTAGTCAGAGGTACCCTCCCCACTTTTTTTTTTAAATTTTGCCAACAATTACATGTAGCTTTAGAAAATTGACCTGGCAGTGGATCTATCAGACAGCGAGTCATCCTTACTCCTGGCAGACAGATGAAGCTGGATAGGGGTTGTGTCCTGGAGACTTTTTTCCATTGATATTGAGGCATCTCGGGGGATTTCCATAGATGGCATTTCATTCTATGAAATATGCATATTAACTGCTTATCAAGTGTTAAAGAAAAATATCTCTCCAAAATGTTTAGTTAGATACAATCTCTCATTACTCGCTCCTCTCCAACTATTTACACAGTTTGAGTATGATCAACTTGAAATGATAAATTTCCATTTTTATATTATATAAAACAAGTAAATTTTCAATTTCTATGAAACACTATATTTAAAAAATTACAAGACAATTCTGACTTTTCTCTTAAAATTCAAAACAATTTGTGTTCAAGATGCAGTCTGTCACTGTTGCTTAATTGATAACAAAACTTAATAGTTTCTCAGGCCAAAAATTTTAATTCAATGTGGCAGGCAGGTCCTTTGGAAGCAGGTGGTACACCTTTTTTTTTTTTTTTTTTTTTTTTTCATGTCAGTCATTCAACAAAATGATGATATCAACAGATTCTTACTTTTCTTGTTCTCTTACATTAATTATAATATGTATTCAACTTTGAATAATGTTATTCCAAACATTAAAAGTTAATTAATAAAATACTGTATTAACAAGAAATATATTGTTTATCTAATAAAACCTCTATCTATTAGTATTCATGAAAAGGGTAATAACTCGATTTTCTTTAATAGAAAATTGAGTTATTTCCTTTCTCAATATGTCAATAAAATTGATCTATGTGGCTGTGCCTGAGAAACTACTGATTTTTGTATTTTTGCCTTATAGGGACATTTTTACTTACTCCCATACTAATATCTGCCCTGACTTTCTCTGGAGAAACTTTGTCTAGGGGGATTTCCAGTTGTGGGGGCTGTATTTCTGTCATCTGTATATCTGGAATCTCAGGCTGCACATCTCGTCTTTCCACTTCTGGTTCAGACAGGAGAGCTCGTCTAGATCTTTTACTACGTGTAGATTCATCTCCTAAACATAAGCCTTAAAATTTCCAGGATGGACACTATATTTGGGATGGACTGACAGGCATGGACAACCTGCTCTCCCTCCCATCCCATTTCACTAGCAGCATGGGCAAGGGGCACAAAACTAATTTTGCTTAGTCTTGAAGTATTGTATTTTATTTATATACAATTAAGTTACAGACTACTATCATTTTAAATCAAATTCTTATTCAAGTTTTCCTTATACAGATTGTATCTAACTCAAACTCACTGAATATACTAGGCACAGTCCAGAAAGGAGTCTCAATATCAGACTCGGTCTCCAACACCCCTGGCCTGAGATTACATCGCCACAAGTCGATAAGGGGAGACAATCTAAGGCACTTGCTACCTGGCTGATTGAAAAGAGTGGCACAGTCTGATCGCCCAATGACAGGGACACTCTGGGATAAGAAAAGGTATTTAAAAATAAGGTTAATTCAGCAATAGAAATATGATTTTCTTAAAACTCATTTATCTTTATAACTGTCCTAAAAGGGATGCTATGGATTACAATTAAATTAAAGAATCTTGTTAAAAATCACTTTTCCACAGCTATAACTTAAAGACTGCAAAATTTAACTCTTTATTTTTTCAGAATTACATGTACTATAAATTCAAAATACTCTGTATCACTCCACATTACAGAAATTTAGTAAAATCAGAAGAGACTTAAAACTTACAAATGGTTTACACAGATCACTCCCTGTCTGGAGATTTTTCTTCATCTCAGTTTTGGGAATCATCATGTTCTCATCTACTATTAAGTGACGTCGTCTCCTTTTCACCGTCCTCGGACTTGGAGGCAAGGGGGCTAACTCTAGTGACATGTCAATCCGTCTCTGCATTAAATATAATTGCAGTGTTTTGCTTTTAATTATTGATGTTTTTGCTAAACAATTGTGAGAAAAATTTCTAACAATCTTTGCATTGTTGTTAGAGATTACTTCCATTCAAGGATATGATTCCAATGAATTGACCTTCCCCAGTACCTTTTCTACAATATCTCAACACAGTCTGCTCAAAAGTAATTATGCAGGAAGCATGTACAGACCCTTTTTTTTTTCCCCAATTTTCCCTTTATTGACTGTAATTTATTATTCGACTAATAAACAAATAAATGATTAATTCACACAAAAGTTAGCACAAAAGTAAGGATCTACAAGAAAGAAAAACAATGATGTACTATATAACAGTTCTAAGTGAATTTCTAGTGATGAAACTATATGCCCCTCACCCCCACCCCCAAAATATATACAACACAGTGTAATAGCTACAAATTGTACTTTTCTTGAGCTCCGATAAGGTTCCTCCTCAGGTGGGGGCATTAGAGTGACCTCTGGCTGTGACCTTGGTCGAAGTTCACGAATAGCTGGAGGGGCTTCAGGGAGAAGCTCCTCAGCCTGTCCTCGGGGTGTCTTTTCTTTGGGTGACATAATTTGTTCTTCAAGTTCTTTTGCCTCTTTGGTTGTCTTTTGAGGGGAAGAGAGACTGATTAATGCTTCTGATGCCTTTACAGAGCTACAAAATATTAAGCATTGATAACATGGATGAAGATTGTAGTGGCAAGTCCTAAATTACCACACAGGGAGTTTCTTTAGTGGGTGTAAGATTTGGCATTTTCCTTGCTCACAGATATATAGTGATAATTTTGGCAGAACTTAATTTAGCCGACATGGAGTTGAATGACATTGCAGAGGGAGGAACTTTATCCCACAGACAAGTTTTCTTTACGTTTTATGTGTCAGAATCATGATTTATGCAGTTGGAATTTATATTTAAGTAAAACCAAAAGGAAGATATGATGTATAACAATTAACACTGATCAAAGTTATATTTCTTGTTCTCTGTACATATACACAAGGGTGCATATTTAGCAATAAATTTTTTTGTGTTTACATCCAAATTGCTAAAATAATTAAGCCAAAATTATCACCCCACTAATCTAGATGTTGTTGACACGGTGACCAATCAAAGGGCTCCACTTTAGCAAAGGACATTAGGATGAAAGACCCTTTATCCAAGGGCATTCTTTGGGTGAAGTTTGAGCCAAAAACCTTAAGCTCAATGTCCATGAATAAACAAACTTTTCAAAGGTATACATGTACACTATAAAACAATTTTCAATATACACATGTAATCATTGTGAAATTCATGCTCCTAAATTGGTTAAGGTGTGCTGCCTTTGTGTAACCAAAGGAGCATAAATTTCCCAATTCAATGGTTCATTTTAATCATGCAAATAGTTTTCATATGACATATTTTCTCTCTGAGTTATTTCCCTTGGCCGCCATCTTGGTGGTCAACATGTTGATTTTTCCTCTTTGTCTTACCAAATTTAAGAGGGTGTAGCAGAAAAATTTAGGGAAAAATCTTTATAAAACAAAAATTATGAAATAAAGAAGGCTTTTATAACAATTAAGTGTATATTTTTCATAAAAACAATGCTTCCTACCTCACAATGGCCAGTATAAAATGTAAAAGTTGGTTGAATAATATACTGAAGGAATATGAGCATGTTGACCTCTGATATGGCAGTCAACGGGAAATAACTCTTGCTAATTCAGGCCTACTGAAATTCTGTCTATTAATATAAAAAAAAAGGAGTAAAGAAAATTTTTCCAAGATTTCAAAACAGGACCAACTTAGCCCCATAAATTTATATTAATTACTGTGGTCTATACTATGGACATGCACAAATTTCTTAATTTTGATAGAGGGCTAATCATGCAAACAGCATGCCTGTTAGATACCAATGAGTAGAGAAGAAAAATTTTGTAACTGTATTTTGTAACTGTATTTTCCATATACAGCATGACCAAATTATCCTGAGCCTAGATAGGAATATATCTCATACCATCCTGACTTCTTAAGAGTACGGTACTTCACATGATAAACTGTCAATTACCTCTCCCCCAGAGGAATAGCAACATCAGGTTGATGTGAAGTGTCAACAGGATGGAGAGTGTCCATTCTGGCTGACTCATTTAGCAGGGCTTGAATGTTCTGCTCATCAAGAGGAGGCAATTCTGTCTGCTCAGCAATCTGAAATAAAATTCATATAGTGTATCAACTTTCCTTTAAACAATTATTATAACAATGCTTTATTGTATATCATCAAAGCTTTTAAAACAAATTTCATATTTGTTAATTTTTTCCCATGGTACATCAATTGCCCATACTGGAATAAATAAAGGGCTACCAAAACTGGAATGAAAATTTATGCCAAATTTTGATTCATAAATGTAATCCATTTATATAATTCTCCTCACTCAGTACCTCACCCTGTCCAATCTCTCCAACTCTGTCCAATGCACTTACCTTTGGAAGATTAGGTATATCAATCTCCTTCAGAGTAATTTGGTCCAGACTTGATACAGTGTGTGGAGAACCTAGAGCTATAAAGAACTATTTCTATTAGCTTTATTCTCTCTCCATGAATATTCATACATTTGTGATGGATATAAATTCCAACTGCAACAAAGTGCAACTTTGCATAGACCTATGAAATTTTTCCATATTTTTTTTTCTTTTCATACTTTGCAAGATGAAAATTAATTGTTCAAATATTTCTACGTAAACCCAGAATTTTGTCTGGGATATCCTTGCTATTTTATAGAAGACTTGTAATCTTTTTTTTTTAATTTAAATTCTCTATTCAGGGGTTGGTCCTCTCACCTGATTTTAGGAAGCTCTGTTCTGACTCAATTTGAATTGAGGAGGATGCTTCTGAACCTCTGTGGCGCCGAAGGCGTTCCATGCTGGAGTCACTGCCAGGGGAAGATAACTCTGTCAACAATTTCTGCACATCTTCATAGTCCTGGGAAGATCCATCAAAATAAACATCTAGACTATAACATCAGATTTCAAGAATTTCTACCTCAGTTGTTGAGCTTTACATGTACGACTTTTATGTACAAATAATATAGAAATTGCTCAAGTTTTCTTTTATACTTTATTATAAAATAACAAATCATTTTGACTTGTTTATCATATGAAATAACTAAATGCTCAATGAAAAAAAGGAAATAAATAAGCTTACCAATAAAATTGGTTGATGTTAAATTATAAGAAACTGAAATGAAACAAAACATAAATAGCTAACCAAAACCTCACAAGAAAAATAAATCTTTTAAAAATTAAATCAAAGAATACAAGAGGCCCAAGGACCTTAACAGTCATCTGAGTACAATATAACCCTTTAAAAGATCCTTGGAAAGGTATAATAGCACAAAATAAACTGAAAGAAAAGGCTGATCAGATCTCAACAAAATAGTTTTTCTGGTAACCAGCAACAACTCGGGAACATCATATATGCTAACTACATCCTCATCAGATCATCACTGACACCAAATTTTACAATAGTGCTTTAGAATAAAACACAATGTTCTCAGAGTACCTAGTCAACAATAGCCTCTCTTGGTCTTTGAATTATATTTATACAGATATTTTTGTCCCATTTTTATTCATTTATTAAATAAAAATCTACCTGACTATTAAAAATATGAAAGTACTTTTTATATCATACATTATTCTAGTATAATTCTTTTATTCACTTACCTATCAATTACATTATTTACATAAATTATAATTATCTTTAAGCAAATAAAGAGGGGAATAACTTTTCTTAAAGTAGAAAAAATATTCCCATACATGATCATGATAGAGCCCCATCTTAAGTCCTGGACGCCTGTCTCAAGGGCCATGAAATTCACAATTTTGAAAAAAAAAAGGTGCTCTCTTTCATTATAACCAATTAACCATGCACAAAGTTTTCTTGCTAAATATTCAAGAGCAGAGGAGAAGATTTTCAAAGAATTAATGCATTTTCACTATAGGATCAAAAGAGCCCATCCTAACTCCAGAACCCCTGACCCAGGGGCCATGAATTTCACTATTTGGAAGAGGCACTCTTAATCATCATATCTACACTTAGTTTGTCTGCTAAATACCCAGGAGCCATGCAACTCACACTGGAAGAGGCACCCTTGCTTATCAAAACTATACACTTAGTTTCTTTGCTTTATAACCAGGAGCAGAAAGAGGATTTTCAAAAATGCTTTTTCACTATATAATCAAGAGTCCCCCCCCTTCCCCAGAACCCCCAATTCCTGGGGCCATGAATTTTGCAAAGATTTTGGAAGAGGCATCCTTGTTAATCATAACCATGCACTTAGTTTATTTAAATAATACCCAGGAGCAGAAAAGAAGATTTTCAAATGATTAGTGCATTTTCACTATAAAATCAATAGAGCCTTGCCCTAACAACAGAACCCCTGACCCAGGGGCCATGAAATTCACAATTTTGGAGGAGGCACCCTTACTCATCATAACTATGTTCCTTGTTAGTTTAATACCCAGGAGCAGAGAAGAGAATTTTCAAAGAATTAATGCATTTTTACTATCTAATCAATGAAGCCCCACCCTAACACCAGAACCCCTGGCCGAGGGACTATGAATTTCATAATTCTGGAATAAGCACTTACGTTAATTATAACCATGCACTTAGTTTGTCAACTAAGTACTCAGAAGCAGAGAAGATTTTTCCAGGAATTAATGCAAATTCATTCTATATAATCAATAAAGCCCTGCCCTAACTTTAGAATCCCTGACCCCTGGGTTATGAATTTCGCAATTTTGGAAGCACTCTTGCTCATCATTACCATGCATTTAGTTTGTATTCTAAATACCAAGTAGCAGAGAAGATTTTCAAAGATTTATATGCATTTTCACTATAGGATCAAATTACAACCATGTCCTAATACCAGAAGTCCCAACTCACTGGCCATGAATTTCACAATTTGGAAGAGGCACTCTTGCTCATCATATCTATGCACTTGGTCTGCTAAGTATTCAGGGGGAGAGTAGAAAAATTTTGAAGAATTTATGCATTTCACCATATCATCAATAGAGCCCCACTTTAACACCAGAATCCCTGACCCTGAGGGCATGTATTTCACATTTTTGGTTACTACAATCAGCTCAAAATTGGACTGCTTGATGTCCAGGAGTAGAGAAGAAGATTTTCAAAAATTGCATTAATTTTGATTGTTTTAGTCCTTCCGCTCAGGCACCAAGGGTTGGATTGGGAGGGATGGGCTTGGTGCAGGGACCAAGAAATTCACAATTTTTGTTCCCCGTTACCCATAGATGCTATATGACAAAATTGGTTGAAACTGGTTCAGCAGTTCCAGGGAAGAAGCTAAAAATGTTGAAATATTAACACATGACGACAGTCGAAAACAGATAGCAACAAGTAGTGACTCAGGTGTCAAACCTAAAAATGCAAATCTGCACATAACCAAAGTAGAAGCTTCATCATAACACTATGCACAAAAGATAAACAAATTTAAGAATTTTATTGATCTTTAAACCCATGTTTCTTTAATATGAAACACATATCAAAAGTCCTTGTGTTTTCATGCAGTATCTTCCCTAAAAACAGGCCAAACTGACTGCTTCAATTGATAAAAATGCCACGACAAAATCAAAAAAAAAAAAAAAAATTGTTATAGGGTCAACAGAAATGTTATACATTAACATGAACCTAATAGCCTGTTACAATTGATCTCCAACCATTTACTTTGAAATAAAGACAAAACACTGTGCATGGACATAAACATTCAATACCTCATGATAATCTGTAATTTTGCCAAAGTATGGGTCGTAGAAGGGTTGTTTTTCTGTTGTCAATTCTACAATGTCTTGCATTGTTACATGATCTGGTCTAAAATACATGAATATGGTAGATTACTAATTTTAATACATTGTACTTTAAAAAATTAAAAAATCAAGTAGTGTCATAAAAATGTGAATGCCATACATATCCCTTCTTGAATGGATTAACTTTTAATTTTTTTTTTTTTTTTGAAAAAGTAAAATAATTCTACTTGTTATTAGTTCAAGGAAATTTATTTAACCATTTACCTGCATGCAATATTAAGATCAATATTTTCTGCAATATTTGCAGCTAGTCTCACTTTCACCAAGAAAGATGTGATATCCTCTGTAAATACAAAAGGAATGACACTAATTATTGTAATAGAATGTATAGAATCATTTAAAAAGAAAGTAATTAATCATAGCCATGCCTATGACAATCAAAATTGTAGAAACTTAATTGGTTTATAGTTTCAATCCATCTCAATACCCTTTTATTAATTCTCAGAAATGACAAGATATCTTCAAAGGTCGATCTGTACTATCATAATTCATAATCATGATTATACGATTATTCTGTGGAGATCTACATATAGTTACAAAAATTGTCCCTGAAGAAATTTAGACAGTCAATTAGGATGTACAGCTTCACTGCTTCATAAATTTTAAGCCTGAATGTACAGGCATAGAGAATTTGCTTAACCATGCATGCACATGCATGTGCACAAATTTATTTTCTGTCATCTGAGCTCATACTTAATAAAAGAAAATTTGAGTTGGTTTTAGTACCTACCTAGTAAATACTGAGTTTGCTTTTTGTACAGTCGCACACATCCAAACATCAGCTTGGCTGAGAGGTACAGGGAGAATCTGGGTCGGCTTCTCCCTCGCACCGAGGGTTGCTTCCTCACCATGATGTAATCTAAAATGTCTTCACTGAAAGCATGCAGATGGAAATAAAAAGAACAAAATTGCTTAAAAGTAGGATTTTAGTTTGTTTTTTTTTTTCAAATAAACAAGGTTTTAACAACTTTTCATTTTAAATTTTCCTCTCCTTAATACAAATTTCAAAAAAACTTTACCACTAAAGTAAAATTGACCCAAAACTCTTCAATTCAGAGAAATATCTCTTTTCAGTAATTCAACCTGAAAGCAATGTTTGTTGAAAATTTGCAAAGTCAGTAATCAAATTTAATCAGCTTGAAGTCTACTCATGTGACAAATATCAAAAAGGAGCCAAAACTGTAAGAGCATTTTGAGAGAATTCTTTAGAAATTTCTACAAATTAATAGTGAGCTAGCAATTTGTCCATGTTATATTTACCTTGGTGTGTAGTACATTTCTTTACCAAAATTAAATAATGGACCAAAACTGTATGATGAGAGCAGAGAAGCATTCTTGAAAGAATTTCACAGATATTTCTATTTTTACTAACAAAAGGTTCACGTCAGTGTAATATTTAGAGTAAATTACTTGTGTTTATAGATATACATTCATTTTTCTCTTTTTTCTTTTTCTTTTTTTTTTTAAATTTTTATCTAATAGAATTGTATTGCTTATAAACCCATATGTTATAATATGTGTAATATGCAATAAAGATTATCATTTATAATATTACCATGTTTTACATAGGTTCACTCTAGTAACATCTCTTCTCTTCAACACATGTTCATCTTTAATTGTAGCTGCCAACCTGTAGTAAAATAATTAAAGCATTTTGATTTATAATAATATTGTATATATTATTCAGATATGTCAGTGGCCCATTCCCCCTTAAAAGTTGCCTATAATTAGCCCTCTGTGCATGATTTGATTTTCTCTTAATATCAGTGACCACCAACTCCCGAGAAGTAGGTGAAATTAACATCAAGATTTGGGCCCAAAAATGTCTAAAACGTGAATTCCTTAGACATTGTACTAAAAGTTTGTAACACAATGTAGTGCAGTTGTCCAATATCGTGATGTTTTCAAGGATATTATTAAAAGGAAAGCTGATGTTAGCATCAGAACCTGTAGCTTTATGTTGGACCTAGCTGCAGACCTGTAGCTCTCTGCCTGAGAAAATTCGGACAGATAAACCAGTGAGCTACAGATCCAAGTGTTGTAAAAACCTTGATTCATGCTGCCACTTTTTTGTCGCTCACTTCGGGTATTATTTCTAGGGATATTTGGAACCGCTGACAGGTAAATAAAGTATTACCTGGTAAGACGGGGAGTAAAATATATGATTAATTATTGGATACCATATGTGAATTAGGGGAATGCATAAGATACAAGAAATAATACCCTAAGTGAGTGACAAAAAAAGGTGGCGTAAATCCAAGGTTTTTACAATGCTTTGATCTGTTGCTCTCTGGTTTATCTGTCCGAATTTTCTCAACCAGTCTGAGAGCTACAGTTCTGCAGCTATGTTGGACCCAACAGAAAGTAGCATTCTTGAATCAATTTTTCCATATTGCCAATCCACAGTTAATTTCAAGCTTTATACAACACAAAAAAAACACAATGCATTAAGCACCCATCAATTGCTCAGTATCTCGAGACATTCTGACAACAAAAAACTCACTGGTTCCTATAGCTCCTACATGTAGAAATCTAGAAGTATATTCTATTCTGTTGAAAAGAACATCATATTCTTTGGAAAATTATAATGATAACTTTTTCAAAATAATTTTACCAGACTGTCCCAAAAACACCCCCTCTTCTATTCAAAATGCTCTGATGATAAAACATTTTCTGCCTGTTCCACAACTTAAAGTTTCCCGCCTAAATAAGATTTCATTATATTTGTTAAACCAAACCCGATTCAATATTTTCGGGGGGGGGGGGGGGGACTATTACCACGTCTACAGTTGCTTTAGGCAAATATTTCATGAATTGAATTATATATAAATGATATCGTTTAGTGAGAAAAAATACTTGGATTCGAATGGGGGAAGGAAGAAATGTTGCGAAGAATATTTTTGACAGCGTGACCTTTGAACCAGGATGTTCCCTTGCCACTTGCGTCATATTCGAAGATGGAACGAAGATCGAGAGGTAGAGTGTTTACAGTGTTTATAATGACATTGTATTTATATACTGAACATTTCATTACCGATTTTTTTTTAAAATCATCATGGACATTCATGATAACATGTACTGTATGTATCATCCCAGACAATTACATTGCCCTACATACAATCATTGACGTATAAATATAATTAACTTAAACTACTTTGTATAATATAATATGTTGAATGTAAACGACATGTGACCATGAGGGATGGGTTCTGCTAACAGGCGCGGATTTACTCAAATTTGCAGGTGCATATGAATATATGAGAATACTGATACAGTATCATAAGTAAAACCCACATTCTCTAATTCAGTAACATACCCTTTTTCATATCACATCCTGTATCAGCCCTGGACCAATATCAGTTAATAGGACCTTCAGCTGTCTGGCTGATATTGGTGTCTCGGGCTGAAAGAAGATGTGATGTGGAAAAGGGTATGATCTATTATGTTTATTAGGCCAAATAAAAAAATATGTGTGGTTCTGGTTACCCAACCGTCCCTATTTTACACCCCCGACCCTAAACTTTTTTTTGGCAATTTTCATATTTTTTCTGGAATTTTCTCCGATTTCCGTCATCCGCTCCAGTATTTAAGTTTTAGTTTTAGCAATGGCGGCCTCCTTGCAAAACATTGTTTCAACACATAGTGCAAGTGTTTAATAGTGTTAAATCTAATAAGCAAGCTAGCATGGCGTGGTGGCATGCTTCTTTTCCCAGCTTCATTTTTTTTTTTTTTTTGGTATTTGCTAGCCAAAATTAAATAAATGTGCCTAACAGTGGCGAGATTCACTAATAGTTGCTCAGTTTAACCAGCACATGCTGATTAGCCCCTTTGTTTAATACATGCAAAGGTGTGAAGTCAGAATAGAAACACACACAGACAGCTGGGGAGGTAACATACCTTTGGGAGTTGGGGGAAGATAACATGAGAAAGCATTTGATTACATTGATTACGCAAGAATTAGCCTAATGTTTAAGATAAATTAATTTATTAATTATTAAATAATTTATATCAGGATCGTTTCTTTTAAACCGAAAATAGAAAAAAAAAAGCAGTTGATGAGTGACAAACAAGACTGCTGATTTTACCTGAATAAAGTCAACATACATAGTACCAATATATAAGAGAAATGAGCTTGGAAGTATGAAGTCTTCAATAAGGCAAAAAAGTATTCATTGTAAGAATTTAAAATTTTAACAATATTAAATTTTTATAATTCTCACACACATGAATGATTCTATGTCACCTTGCTTATGTGGTTTATTTTGTTTTAAACATTACTGTACAAAGTACAGGTGTCACTTTCCTCTGACAGCTCTTATACTCTATGTCCATTTTCTATTTTATTGTTCTAAATTTATTCTTGAATAAAATAAGAATTACACTGTATAAAATTAAGTCATTAATTTCATTTATAAACATGGATTTAAAAAAAGGATGTTCACCTCGAACTTTTTTTTTACCAAAATGAAAAAAAAGATTATTTGTGTTTTTATTATTTTTGATTTAGGGGTGCCCCCTACCAATGTTAACTAGTATATTATCATGGCACATCTAATTATGCCACTTGCAAAGCAGTGATAGGTATTATTTAGAAAAATTTAGATTGATAGATTGTTTGTTGTTTAACGTCCCTCTCGAGAATTTTTCACTCATATGGAGACACCACCACTTGCCAGTGGAGGGCTACAAATTAAATTTTGACCTACTCGACACTCAGGGCCATTGAGGAGTGAGGGATCTTTTTTGTGCCAGCACCTACTGCAACACAGAACCTTTGTTTATACAGTCTCATCCGAAGGACAGGTCTCCACGTCCCGCAGTGGGATTCGAACCCACGGCATAAGTAGTGATGGGACATCGGTTAATTTTCATAATCGATCATTGGTTGGAATCGATTACTGCTTCCGATGCGATTTTACTGATTATAATTGGATTTTATAGTTTTGTATACAAAAAAGCAGACTATTAAAATTATTTCATATTATTTCCTTAACATGTATTATAATATATGAAATATATAATATATTATTTTCTTCGTTGTTTTGCTTCTTTTACACTTTCTAGGCCTAAAAAAATTATGTTTGTTTGTTTCCTGTAACATTCCCAAAAAATCTAGGGTCGGTAGGTCAGGAATTTTTTTTTTTTTTTTTTTGCTTATGAATCAGGGGGTCAAACATCCCGGGACTGAATTATCCAGGTGTTATATTTACAGTGGACACCCAACATGTCTGCCTAGCGGCAGAAAACGAAGTTCAAAAAGTTGTGGGAGGAAATGATTACTCTTTATATTAAGGTAAATGTTGACTAAGTTGCATATTTTATATCTCAAATAAAAGATACAATTAATATTTTTTGAATAAAAAGAATCAGCTGATTGATCAAACCAAAGAGCAAACACAGATTTGGCAGAAAAAAAATCCACCTGGGGGTAAATTGAATGGGTCGGTCGGGTTACAGGAAACAAACATAATTTTTTTTAGGCCCTATATATGCACCTTTCGGTTCTTATATAGTCACCTCTGCATCGTGCTAGTTGGCTGGTATCAGATGCAGACGCCATTTTCTTTCATTAAGAAGAAATAAATTTTAAACCAGAAATGGATAATTCCGGAATGTATTGTATTAGAAGTATGTTTCCGATAATCGATTATAAAAAATTATAATCGATCATCGGAATCGGTAGCATATTTTCATAGACAATCGATGTTTTCTGATTATCGGTACAACACTAGTCGTAAGGATCAACTCCTTACTCCACGACTCTAGAGCAAATGCTCTAACCACTGCAGGCAAAAAATTTAGAAAATCCCTACCTACCTACCCTATTTTTTTTGGAGGTGTAACCAGAACCACACATATTTTTTTGTTTGGCCTTACAAAAACAATTAAATAATCATGCACTGATGACTGACATGTAGCTTAATTATTATATCAAAGAGCAGTATGCGTGATTTAAAAGTAAACAAATGTGACCAAAAAAAAATATTAGATGTATTTTCACAAGTACTGTTTTTAGCTCACCTGAGCTGAAAGCTCAAGTGAGCTTTTCTGATCACCCGTTGTCTGTCCGTCCATCCGTCCGTCCATCCGTCTGTAAACTTTTCACATTTTCAACTTCTTCTCAAGAACCACTAGGCCAATTTTAACCAAACTTGGTACAAAGTATCCTTGGGTGAAGGGGAGAGTAAATTATTAAAATAAAGGGCCAAGTCCCCTTACAAGGGGAGATAATCAAGAAAAGACAAAATAGGGTGGGGTCATTAAAAAATCTTCTTCTCAAGAACCACTGGGCCAGAAAAGCTGAAACTTATGTGGAAGCATCCTGGGATAGTGTAAATTCTAAATTGTTCAAATCATGACCCCCGGGGGTAAGGCGGGGCCACAATAGGGAATCCAAGTTTTACATTGAAATACATAAGAAAAATCTTTAAAAATCTTCTTCTCAAGAACCACTGGGCCAGAAAAGCTGAAACTTATTTGGAAGCATCCTTGGGTAGTGTAGATTATAAATTGTTCAAATCATAACCCCCGGGGGTAGAGCGGGGCCACAATAGGGAGTCCAAGTTTTACATTGAAATATATAAAAAAAATCTTTAAAAATCTTCTTCTCAAGAACCACTGGGCCAGAAAAGCTGAAACTTATATGGAAGCATCCTGGGGTAGTGTAGAATCTAAATTGTTCAAATCATGACCCCCGTGGGTAGGGCGGGGCCACAATAGGGAATCCAAGTTATACATTGAAATATATAGGAAAAATTTTTTAAAATCTTCTTCTCAAGAACAACTGGGCCAGAAAAGCTGAAACTTACATGGAAGCATCCTGGGGTAGTGTAGAATCAAAATTGTTCAAATCATGACCCCCGTGGGTAGGGCGGGGCCACAATAGGGAATACAAGTTTTACATTGAAATATATAGGAAAAATCTTAAAAAATCTTCTTCTCAAGAACCACTTGGCCAGAAATACTGAAACTTATATGGAAGCATCCTGGGGTAGTGTAGATTATAAATTGTTCAAATCATGAAACCCGGGGGTAGGGGCGGGGGGGGGGGGGGGGCACAATAGGGAATCCAAGTTTTACATTGAAATATATAGAAAAAAATCTTAAAATATCTTCTTTTCAAGAACCACTGGGCCAGAAAAGCTGAAACTTATATGGAAGCAATCTTGGGTAGTGTAGAATCTAAATTGTTCAAATCATGACCCCCGGAGTAGGGCGGGGCCACAGTAGGGAATCCAAGTTTTACATTGAAATACATGAGAAAAATCTTTAAAAATCTTCTTCTCAAGAACCACTGGGCCAGAAAAGCTGAAACTTATATGGAAGCATCCATTGTTCAAATCATGACCCCCCGGGTGTAGGGCGGGACACAATAGGGAATCCAAGTTTTACATTGAAATATATAAGAAAACTCTTAAAAAATCTTCTTTTCAAGAACCACTGGACCAATAAAGCTGAAACTTATTTGGAAGCATCCTGAGGTAGTGTTGATTCTAAATTGTTCAAAGCATGACCCCCGGAGGTAGGGCGGGGCCACAATAGGTATATTAAAAGGGGGGAAATCTGGTAAAGAACAGCATGGCCAAAGCTACTCAGGTGAGATGTGGCCCATGGGCCTCTTGTTAAAGGTTTAATCTACTAGGGGTGTGATATAAACCTGTATCAGCCCTGCAAATCCATATCAGCCCTGCAGGATTCGTCGGCTATTGTGACATTAGTCATATCGCATATATGCAAAAAAAACTGTATTTATCACTAAGTATAACAGAAATTAAGTATTTACTGGCTACACTGTTAACATGATCAATTATAAAATATGCATGTTTTGTTTTGTTTTGTTTTTTTTAATTTATAAATACTTTTACATTTGATCTACAAGGAATTGTAAATTTACAAAAACACTACGTTATATTTAGATGATATATAATATTAAAAAATATTATTTGTTGACTACTAATCTTCATAGTGTTCCAGGAATGGGTTTTCTGGTAAATAATGCTTAGAATTTAGTGTATATATTTATTTCATAAATCATTTTTGAGAAACTTTGAAATAATATCTTAATTTCATAAGTTTAGCTTTTGTTTTAATTAGCCTACATTACATTACAGTTTTATTGACCTTTGAACTTTACCAGTCTGTTTCCTGTGTGTAAAGTTGCACTATATATGACTCAAGAAACAGGAAGTAAGAGAAGCAAGATCAAGGATTGATATTGAAGAGTGTTAAACTGTGGAGAAGAATATGAATATTTTGAAGATGAACTTAATGACTAGCTGTCAGAATTAAACCACTTATGAGAACGTCTGCACCAAAATTATGGATAATTCTCTTCTGTGTAATAAAACACACAGAATTATCAGGTATTTTATTTACCATCTATCAATTGTATCCATGGTTGTATTTCTACACATAAGGAAATTTTATGAATATACTTCCCAGATCTTTCCATGAAAAAAACATGTCATATTTTCTGAGCAACTTGCACCTCTAATTCTGATATTGTATTTCTTTTCATTTCTTTTTCTGATCGAAATTTTTCTGTTGTCTGTCGGCGGCGGCGTTGTTGTTGTCGCACACAATTTCACAATTTCACCTTCTCCAAACTACTGGGCCAATTTCAACCAAACTTGGCACAGAGTTTCCGTGGGTGAAGGGGATTCAAGTTTGTTCAAATGAAGGGCCGCGCCCTCTTTCAAGGGGAGATAATAAAGAATTACTGAAAAATTAATAGCATCTTTTAAAAATCTTCTTCTCAAGAACCACAGGGCCAGGAAAGATGAAACTCATGTGGAAGCATCCTCAGTGAGTGTAGATTCAAGTTTGTCCAAATCATGACCCCCGGGGGGAGGGCGGGGCCACAATGGAGGATCAAAGTTTTACATAGAAATATATAGGAAAAATCTTTAAAAATCTTCTTCTCAAGAACAGCAAAGCCATGATGAGTCATATATATATATGGAAGCATCTTCAGATAGTGTAAATTCAAGTTTGTTCAAATCATTACCCCCGGGGGTAGGGCTGGGCCACAATGGAGGATCAAAGTTCTACATAGAAATATGTAGGAAAAACCTTTAAAAATCTTCTTCTCAAGAACAGAAAAGCCATGATGAGTCATATTTATATGGAAGCATCCTCAGGTAGTGTCAATTCAAGTTTATTCAAATCATGACCCCTGGGGGCAGGGTGGGGCCACAATGGAGGATCGAAGTTTTACATAGAAAATATATAGGAAAAACCTTTAAAAATCTTTTTCTCAAGAACAGCAAAGCCATGATAAGTCATATTTATATGGAAGCATCCTCAGGCAGTGTAGATTCTATTTTGTTCAAATCATGACCCCCGGGGGTAGGGTGGGGTCACAATGGAAGATCAAAGGTTTACATAGAAATATATAGGAAAAATCTTTAAAAATCTTCTTCTCAAGAACAGCAAAGCCATGATGAGTCATATTTATATGGAAGCATCCTCAGGTAGTGTAGATTCAAGTTTGTTCAAATCATGACCCCCGGAGGTAGGGCAGGGCCACAATGGAGGATCAAATTTTACATAGAAATAAATAGGAAAAATCATAAGAACATATAGAAAAAATATTTCTTCTCAAGAACAGAAAAGCTATGTTTAGTCATATTGATATGGAAGCATCCTCAGGTAGTGTAGATTCAAGTTTTTTCAAATCATGACCCCTGGGATAGGGAGGAGCCACAATGGGGGATCAAATTTTTACAAAGGAATATATGGGAAAATTTTTATTAATATCTTCTCAAGTACAACAAAGCCATTTGTTATATTGACAAGCCCCCCCCCTCCCCCCCGGTAATCTTTCCAATACTGAACTGATTTGTGCTTTTGCCAAGCCAATGTGCTCAGGTGAGCGATGTGGCCCATGGGCCTCTTGTTTCTCATGTGGCCAGATAGTTGGCCCTTTGTGAGTTGAACCCCTTTGAGAATAATGAAAGAGATTTATCAATGTTGTTTTAACTACATGTAAACAGTACCTTTCTCAGTTTCCGGGTTCCCCTTTGGAAAAAAAATGTCTCAATACTCCTTTTAGTTACAGAAAATTTCCTGATTAAACATAAGGCCATAACTATTTCCCGAGGTAAAGCCAAGGGAAATAGTCCAGGTCAAGGGGAACTGGAATCTTGCTAACTCCCGCAATGATATACTTTTCACTATTTTATCATACCGATACAAGCGTAAAATTTAGAGGATTCAGATAGCATGATTTCAAAGCAGGGATTAGCTCACTTGACCAACACACAGGGATTAGTCCATTCGCATATCATAAAAATCTGAAAGTAAAATCTAGAGGATTACTTATAAATGGGAATTAGCTTTTGAAGCCGGGATTAGCTCCATTCATAACAATTTCTAGGGAATAAGTCACATCTAATGATCTAATGTTATATAAAGGAAAAATCAGTAGATGTATAATAATTAAATATAATAGATGAATCCCTAAAGTTACTCATTATACTGTTCAAATGTTTTCAAGCCAAATTGATTACAGAAAAAATATTAACATCACATACATGTACACATAGTCTGTTTGTCCCAAATTGTCCTAGCTGTCCAAGTACAACTTCCTCTATCTCCATATTATGTGGCAGACACCCCCATCCCTTTCATTCTTCCTTCCTGCAGGTCTGATAAATTTATTGTGGGTTAAATTAGACAATATATGTTAGTAGTTTAATGAATGCACTTACTTTGTAAAAGTTTGCTTATATAATTTTGATCATCATGCTATAGTAAGGTTGGAATAATCTTGTATAGCTTTTAAAAATTTTATTTTCAGACATTGATGCCAAAATTACATATGCTGAATTTGGTGCAGGATTGAATCTGAGCTGTAATTGTTTTTCTAAAAATACCGGAAGTCAAATCAAGAGATGGTGTGACAATGATGGGTTAATTAAAGAATCGGGGGATGACTGGGGTCCAAAATTGTTTAATGGAGGTGAAATACTCAAAATACAAAGTGTCAGAAACCTGGACAAGAATATCACATACGAGTGTCGAGTTGTTGGTCAAAACGGATCCGAAGAGCACTGTCAAAAATATACTGTACAAGCTTTTCGTAAGTATTAGAAGTACATTAGTGGAAGATATCCCTCTGCTCTTTCTTAAGTAATTTTGTCAAATTTATAATGGCTAGAAGATGAAGACAGACTGAAATGAAAACCAAGCAAAATAAGTACCATATTCAATATTGGACAAAATCTGAGATGAATCATTTTATAAAAGAAACAAGATGTGTATATGAAACACTGATGCCCCCGTATGGCAACTTATAGCGAAAGTTAAACTTTCTCAAATGCAAATCAAATATGATGGTACTGTACCCAAAGTGTACTTGTACCGAGGAATATACCTGTGTAATATGAAAGCCCTAGCAGCAACCATTGAAAAGATATGGAAAAGGTAAAAGTTTTTCAAAAGTAGGTCAAACTCCAAGGTCAAGGTCAAAGGGTCAAAGTTGTTGTTATCCAAAGAAAGGTCTTGTCACAAGGATTACACATGTGAAGTATGAAAGCCCTAGCACCAACCGTTCAATAGTTATAGCCAATGTTAAAGTTTTTCAAAAGTAGGTCAAACTCCAAGGTCAAGGTCAAAGGGTCAAAGTTGTTGATATCCAAAGGAAGGCCTTGTCACGAGGATTACACATGTGAAGAATGAAAGCCCTAGCACCAACCGTTCAAAAGTTATGGCCAAGGTTAAAATTGGGAAAAATTTTGTAAAACTGGATCAAACTCCAAGGTCAAGGTCAAATATGATGGTTCCCAAATAAAGGTCTTGTCACAAGGAATATACCTGTGAAATATGAAAGCCATAGCTTCAACCAATCAAAAGTTATGAGCAATGTTAAAGTTTTTGCGGACAAACAGACAGACAGACAGATGGACTGACAGGGCAAAAACTATATACCCCCGAATCTTCGATATGGGGGCATAACAAAGTTATTAACCAATTTTAGAGTTTAGATATTAAATGTACTACCGGTAGTATGTGAAAAAAAAATACTGAGGATTAATAATGACAAACGTCTGTAGACTAGGATTAAATCTAGAAATGTCACTGTTACAAGAGACATATATCTGAAAAATTTTTGTTCTCAAATTAATATAAACAAGCAGGGCTTTCAAAAATATTAGAAAACAAGATGTGTTTGTGAAACACTGATGCCCCTGTATGGCAGCTTATGGCGAAGATTAAAGTTTCTTCAAATACAAGTCAAAATCCACAAAAAAGATAAAAAATGTTGATACCCAAAAAAGGTCTTGTCTCGAGGAATACACCTGTGAAATTTGAAAGACCTAGATACAACTGTTCAAAAGTTATGGTGAAGGTTAAAGTTTTTTAAATAAAAGTCAAACGTCAAGGTCAAGGTCAAAGTGGTTGGTATCCAAAGGAAGATCTTGTCACAAGGATTACATATGTGAAGTATGAAAGCCCTAGCACCAACCATTCAAAAGTTATGGCCAAGGTTAAAGTTTTTCAAAAGTAGGTCAAACTCTTAGGTCAAGGTCAAAGGGTCAAAGTGGTTGGTATCCATAGGAAGGTCTTGTCACAAGGATTACATATGTGAAGTATGAAAGCCCTAGCATCAACCATTCAAAAGTTATGGCCAAGGTTAAAGTTTTTCAAAAGTAGGTCAAACTCCTATTTCAACGTCAAAAGGTCAAAGTGGTGGTTGGTATCCAAAGGAAGGTCTTGTCGCAAGGATTACATATGTGAAGTTTGAAACCCCAAGCACCAACTGTTCAGAAGTTATGGCCAAGGTTAAAGTCTCATAAAATTTTGCAAAAGTGGGTCAAACTCCAAGGTCAAGGTCAAAAGGTCAAATATGATGGTACCCAAAGAAAGGTCTTGTCACAAGGAATACACATGTGAAATATGAAAGTCATAGCTCCAACCAATCAAAAGTTATGGGCAAGGTTAAAGTTGACAACAGACAAACGGACAAACAGACAAACAGATAAACAGACAAACAGACAGACAGGACAAAAACAATATACCCCCGGGATCTTTCAATCTGGGGGCATAAAAATAGGAGGTACCTTGTGGAAGCAATTTTTACTAAATATGTTATCAAATTTTTCTCCAATGAATATTTTGGCCGGTACATTCATAATTTCAGCCGGGTAAAAGTACCGGGTACTGGCACATTTTGAAAGGCCTGAATAAGTCTGACAAGACAAAAGTGTATTATTACCTTTAATACTTTAGTTCAGATTACCTTTGATACTTTAGTTCAGACTCTCGGTCTGTCAAAATAGTCTCTTTAGTTAATATAGTTATCACATTTATATTTTTCAACATAACAGGAGTTGGGCTTTAGTTATAAAGATTGCAGATTTTTTGTGATGGTTATTTCACTAATTTCTCGTTTCACACATGTTTTTGCTTAGTTCTTTGTTTTGGTTGTGCTTTACTTGATTTATTTTAGATGACATAGCAATATAGAGTGTTTTTTCTTCAAAAAGGTGTAAAACTTTTTAAAGTACTGTAGATTCTTTATTTTTCGTGAGTACTTTAAAATTCAGCCAAATGACTTGTACATGCAGTAGACATCAAGTCACAAAAACATGAGTCTGGGAGTTGACGTTTGATCTAGATTTTTTACGGTAGATCTACATGTATTTCAGCAATATAGAAAAAAAAGTGAGCAATTTTATTTCACAAGTGTTGCAATTAAATGAATTCCTTGCTTACGTAATTAGGAATCTACAGTATGCAATTTTTTTAAACATCAGATAACATTCCTATATTTATTCTAAGGATGGGTAGACTAAGATGGAAGTCATTCTGAATGCGCTTTCCATAAGCAAATATTACCTTCATGTACAATATATTTTCACTTTGTAATATTTAACTATAATAGCTCAATTTTGTTTAAAGGATGCAGACCAAACACAGAATCAATTGAACCTGAAAACAAGACCAATTTGGAGCTTGGCGACTCACCTATGTTCACCTGTAAACAGTACTTTGCATGTAACAAAGTGAATGAGGTTCATTCAGTATCAATGAGAACCAAGGCAAAACGCAGCAGAGTCCTACCATGCATTGTCAGGTATGCAACAAAAGTGGTTTGCTGTAGATTTTAAATTGTTCAAATCATGACCTCCAGGGGTAGGGTGGGGCCACAATTGGGAATCAAAGTTTTACTTTGAAAAATAAGGGGAAAAATTTAAAAGTCTTCTTCTCAAGAATCACTGGGCCAGAAAAGCTGAAACTTATTTGGAAGTTTCCTGAGGTAGCATAGATTCTAAATTGTTCAAATCATGACCCCCTGAGGAAGGGTGGGGCCACAATAGGGAATCAGAGTTTTACATTGAAATATATCATGTATATCAGTGTATATAGGAAAAAATCTTTAAATTAAAAAATCTTCTTCTCAAGAACCATTTGGCCAGAAAAGCTGAAACTTATGTGAAAGCTTCCTGAGGTAGATTCTAAATTGTTCAAATCATGACCCCCAGGGGTAGGTTAGGGCCAAAGTAAGTATTACAAGGGGGGAAATCTGGTGAAGAACAGCAGGGCCAAAGTTACTCAAGTGAGTATTGTGGCCCACCTTTTGTTATAATAATGAGATCTTGATTGATTTTGAAAATGCAACTTGCATTTTATTATCTTAAGTTTATTTTGGCCATCCAAAACTTTATGCATGGTGATAATGAATTGACTCAGAGTCAAAGGCTCAATTGAGCTTTTTTGATCGAAGGTTTTTTCTGTGTTTGTCTGCCATTGTTTGTGTGCCTTGTATGTGTTGTAAGTGCCTGCATTTTCAACTTCTTCTCCAGAACCACTGGGGCAATTTCAGTCATACTTGCTGCAAAGTCTTCGTTGGTGAAGGGATTTAAAATTTGTTCTCAGTCTTAAGAGGAGATAATTATAAGAATTAGAGAAAATATGTTAATCAATCTTCTCATGCAATAACCACAATTAGGCCAGATAAGACAAAAAGTTACGTAAAAGATTTCTCAATGAGAATTGATTCAAGATTTTTTAAATCATGCCCTTTGGGACTTGAGTGGGTTCATAATAGGGGGTCAGATTTAAACAGAAATACAGTAAAAAGGGTAAATCGTTAAAAATACATGTACAATGTATTCTTGTGAAAAGCAACAGGCCACAATTAGTTGTGTTTATTATACTTAACATGCAAGCATCCCTATGTAGTGTAGGATAGGGCCATTAAGATTTTGCATAATATTTGCATGCAAGATAAAAGAATTTGAAAAACATTCTCCAATACAGCAAGTCCACATTAGTCATTCAAATTGAAATAATATTGAAATAAATAGCATCCCCCTGTAGGTTCAATTAAGTTTGGAACTTTTCATTTACTCCTACAATTAAGAGCCATGGTTAACATCTGTATGCTCTTTCTGTAAATGGCATCAAGTCAAAATACTTACTTAGTCCTCTTTATGCTTTTACCTCTAGCATGCTGAAGTCAATATCCCTTGGAGCTATATTGTATGGCAACAATAATGGGGGTCAAAATTTCATTTTGATAGGAATATAGAGGATCAGAGTCTTTAAATATCTTCTGAAGAACAACAGGGCCAAGTGACACTGATGAGTGTTGCACCGGCTTGTCATGTGGCTTGTTGATCATTTACTAAATGTATCTAATATTTCTTTGTAGTGATCATGGATTAACACATGACTGCAAACTACAGATTCTAAATATAGCAGCAGAAGATTTTGGTAAAGCTGTTCAATGTGTTGTGAATGACAGTGGAATCATATCTGTATATGAGGCATTTCCATTTAAAAAAGGTGAGAAATTGTATTTAATGCATATAATTTTTATGCTCAAAGGTATGTGAATTTTGTAGGTAAACAAATTAATGTACAGAGCAAATTACTCCATCAAAAATTTAAGAATTCTCTGCTGTAGCTTGTAGGATTGACTAAATTCATTTGATAAAAAATGCATTGTGATATCTTTGAAATATTTGTTCATTCTTAATTTTGCATTCAGACTCTTTATAATTTTTAATGAGCAGTAGTTACTAGGTACTTAGTTGATTCTAAAATATGTGTCTGACATGTCTCCTGCTTAATGCAATATTGGCCCAAAACTTTGCAAGTCACTACTCTTTGTCCCATTAGTTTAAACTGTGAATAAAAATCGAAAGGATTCAGAAACAAATTACAAAACTTAAACTAGTCTTGTCATCTTAAAATTAATTTTGATAATCAGTTAATGATGTAAATAACAGAACCTTATTAGGTAGTACATGTACAAAATAAAAATGGTTTTAGGCAGTTAATATGAACAAGAACAAGGTCATAAAATTAAAAAAAATAAAAGGTTAGTGATGTTATACATGAAAAAATACACCCCCGCCCACAAATAACATAGGCTTTCAAAATGATGTTTGAATGGATTTTATTGGAAACTTTTATTACATTGCCTTCAGTATTATGATATTTTACCATGACAAAATGAACATCATAATAAGGAGATTCCACTGTCCAAGTATAGCCTAGGTAGCTATTAGATTTATTTCTTATAATTTGATTTTCAATCATATTAAGTGAAAAGAAAACAGACAAAAGCCTTTCAAAAATTACTTCAAATTGTACAAATTGACACATCAAGTGGATTAAAACATTTTTGCGACAGGTCATATTGTGAATAATGATTGGCATCACAAGTTATACAGTATAATTAAGTTATTTTTCTATCCAATCAAAGAAAATTAATTCATTATTAATTTATTCATTATTTTTTATTTTATTTTTTTATTTATTTATTTATTTTTTTTTTTTGCAGAAAAGATTGTCAATCTAAGGCAGCCATCTGAGATAATCATAGCATTGAGTGTAATTTTTGTTATGATCATTCTATTAGCCATTATTGTCATCAAGGTCTGTTTCTGCAATCAGAAATATAAAAGCAAATGCAAATGCCTATCACCACTTGATTACTTTAATTCAGGTAAGTATTTACTTTAAATGATGACAAACATAATCATTTTTAAAATTTAGTGTGAATACAGATAGAGGGAAATATTTGCCACGTACCATTTTATTTTTGCCCCTTTGCCCTTGTGGCAAGAGGGTGAATTTAAATGGGGCAAATTAAAGAGTATAGCATTTATCTCTTTAACACAATTATGCCTTGTTGAAAAAAAAAAATGTTTTTCAAGCATTATATAGCAAAAATAAAAATGGGGCAAAGATAAACCTGTATTCAATATTCCAAGACATATTTTCTCAAAAATTGAAATTTTTATGTTGCATAGACATTACTTTCTCATTTTTATTTCATTTTTAGAGAGAAATAGACTAAATTTAAAAAAATGTATGAAATTCATTTGTGTAAATACACTGTGTATGATCATTACTTCATTCTTTTATATTTAGGTCACCTGAGTCACTCAGGTGACCTATTGCTATCCGTTTTTGTCCGTCGTCGTCCGTCGTGCGTTAACTTTCGAACATTTTCAACTTCTTCTCTAGAACCGCTCAACCAATTTCAACCAATTTTGGCATAAAGCATCTTTGGGTGAAGGGGAAAAAAAATTATGAATTTCATGGTCCATTCCCCCCTGGGGCCCCGGGGGTGGGGCTAAAACCACCAAAATTGATGCAATCTTTAAAATCTTCTTCTTTACTCCTGGACATCAAGCAGTCAAACTGTTGACATGATTGTAATAAGCATTGGGCCCTCTACCTAAATTGTGAAATTCATGGCCCCAGGGTCAGGGGTTCTGGTGGTAGGGCGGGGCTATATAGATCATATAGTGAAAGTGCATTATTTCTTTGAAAATCTTCTTCTCTACTCCTGGGTATTATTGAAACAAACTAAGTGCATAGTTATGAGAAGCAATAATGCCTTTTCCAAAATTGTGAAATTCATGGCCCCTGGGTCAGGGGTTCTTGTGTTAGGGCGGGGCTCTATTGATTATATAGTGAAAATGCATTAATTCTTTGAAAATCTTCTTCTCTGCTCCTGGACATCAAGCAGTCAAACTGTTGGCATGATTGTAATAAGCATTGAGCCCTCTACCAAAATTGTGAAATTCATGGCCCCAGGGTCAGGGGTTCTGGTGTTAGGGTGGGGCTATATTGATTATATAGTGAAAATGCATTAATTCTTTTAAAATCTTCTTCTCTACTCCTGGGTATTATTGAAACAAATGAATACAAAATTATGATAAGCAAGGGTGACTCTACCAAAATTTTGAAATTCATGGCCCCAGGGCCAGAGATTCTGGTGCTAGGGCAGGGCTATATAGATCATATAGTGAAAGTGCATTATTTCTTTAAAAATCTTCTTCTCTACTCCTGAGTATTATTGAAACAAATTGAATACATAGTTATGATAAGCAAGGGTGACTCTACCAAAATTTTGAAATTCATGGCCCCAGGGCCAGAGATTCTGGTGCTAGGGCAGGGCTATATAGATCATATAGTGAAAGTGCATTATTTCTTTAAAAATCTTCTTCTCTACTCCTGAGTATTATTGAAACAAATTGAATACATAGTTATGATAAGCAAGGGTGACTCTACCAAAATTGTGAAATTCATGGCCCCAAGGTCAGGGGTTCTGGTGCTGGGGGGGGGGGGGGGGCTCTATTGATAATATAGTGAATCTGTAGTAAAAATGCATTATTTCTTATTTCTTTGAAAATCTTCTCTGCACCTGGGCATATCAGAGGCAAAAAGAGTAAAAGTTTTAATAAAGATTTTTGAACATCTGGACCATTTGGTCAAGTGTTCTGGTCCTGGCCAGGGCTCTATTAATTTGTATTCAACTGAGAGGTGTATTACCCTTTGCCATTTACTTTTGATAATTAATCACTGTAAATAATGTACTTGAAAGGTTGATAGAAAAGAAGAATTATGCAAGATTTTTTATTGTATAATGCAAAAAGTACTTTTATAGTTTAAATGATCAGGTAGACTTGTAAGTAATAGATAAATAAAAATGAGACAAAAATAACTTGTCTTATTCAATGTTCATCAAAGACCAAGAGAGTCCAATGTAAGAGATTTCATCAAGGAATTAAAATAGTACAGAATCACTGATAAGTTGTTAATATACTGTATGGCGATAGTGATAAATGGGGAACAGATTTATGAACTGTTAATGAACACTAGACTAACTATTTTGTTGATCCTGATCACCCTATTTTTCTTGCTTTTGGGCAACAAAGCTTCACCTTTCAGTTCATTTTATACTCTATGGATCCTCTAAATTGTTGTATTATACTCAGGTGACCGTTAAGGCCCTTGGGCCTCTTGTTTTATTTATTTATATATTGATTTTATAATCTCTATATTTTTCATTCAAGAATATAAGAATAATCCCCAAATACTGGTGTACAGTGTTCTCGAAGAGGATGATTTGCTGTCAACAAGATTGTTTTCTTTGAATGAGCTACTGCAGGATTTTTATAAATATAAAACTTATGATAAAGATATCAAAGAGGGAGAGAGTGAGTTGAGTTTTTTCTTAATTTGAAACTTTTTTAGGTCAAGTGAATCTTTCAAAAAAACTTTTGAACATTTTCATTTCTCTTTTTTGAAATGACCCATGCAAATTTTCAACCAGATTTGGTATACAGTATTACATCTTTGGTGAAGGAAATTATAAATTAGGAATTTCATGGTCCCTTTAGAGGCCTGAGGGTAGAGACTATAGATATTAAAGCATGCATTTTTTTAGAAATTTTTACTTCAGGATTTCCAGTGACTTGATTGAACCTTATCATCCATCAGATCACTCCTATAACCTTTGAACTAATGATGCAGAATTCAAAATTCCTCACTTTAGAACTACATCATACATGGAAAGTTTCCTTCCATGAACAGTTAAACAGTGGAATAAGTTGCTTGATTATACTAGAAATGCTTCTGGAATACTTTCATTCAAAATTCTTTTAAATTTTTATTTTTCAAAATAGGTAATGATTGAACTTTTCCATTTTGGAATATTAAAGCTATACTAGTATATGGCATATCTGAGCAAAAAAATGATAATACGAGATTGAGTGTAGATATACATGATATAATGTTATTTACTTTCAAATTAAAATTTTCATCGATTTTGAACTCGAATAACCTCATGTTTATATAATTAAATTGACTTTAAATGAGTCTTTAATTTAAATGTGGAGTCGGTAAATAAATTGGTTACTGTCTTAATTTTTTGATATCTTTGAAAAACGGTTAATTTAAATTGTGTAAGTTACAGAAAAGTCCTATCTTTATAGAAAGTAATAAATCAAATAGAAAGATATTTTAAATTTTTGTTATCTGAACTTATCAAAACTATGCCATATATGACTTTATGAAGGTATAATATAATACATTGTCAGTTAAGAAATAATGCAAGTAATTTGATGGCAGACTTATATAACCAATGTTTATCAGAAAAGCCAATGTGTGAATACTGTATTGATTCTGTTGAAGATGCTTACCATTATTTCTTTTGCTTGTCCAAAATATACATCTCCCTGATATGTACTATTCTAAAAAATCAAAAATATTATTGATTGTGATCAGATTATTTCTGAACTTGAGATTGTAGCATTGTAGAGATTTTCCAATATAAATTTTCAGTCTATTATGATGTTTTTTAGCTCACCTGAGCTGAAAGCTTTAGTGAGGTTTTCTGATCACATTTTGTCCTTCGTCTGTTTGTAACCTTTTCACATTTTTGACTTCTTCTCCAGAACCACTGTGTCAATTTCAACCAAACATGTCACAAAGTATCCTTTGGTGTAGGGAATTCAAGTTTGTTCAAATGAAGATCTACACCCTCTTTCAAGGGGAGATAATTAAGAATTAAAGAAAATTTGGTGATATCTTTTTAAAAAATCTTCTTCTCAAGAACCACTGTGCCAAAAAATTTGAAACTTTTAAGAAACCTTCTTTACATAGTGTAGATTCAAATTTGTTCAAATCATGACCCCCAGGGGTAGGATGGGGCAACAATGGGGGATCAAAGTTTTACATAGGAATTTATAGGAAAACATATTTTCAAAAATCTTTTTCTCAAGAATAGCAAAGCCATTATTAGTCATTTTGATATGGAAGCATCCTCAGATAGTGCAATTTCAATTTTGCTCATATCATGACCCCTAGGGATAGGGTGGGGGCCACAATGGGTATTCAAAGTCTTACATACAAATAGATAGGAAAAAATCTTCTTCTCAAGAACAGCAAAGCCATGTTTAGTCATATTGATATGGAAGCATCCAAAGGGAGTGTAGATTCAAGTTTGTTCAAATCTTGACCCTGCTGGGTTGGGTGAGCCATGATGGGGGATCAAAGTTTTACATAGGAATATATAGGAAAAAATCCTCAAAAATCCTCTTTTCAAGAACAGCAATGCCATGTTTAGTCATTTTGATCTGGAAATATCCTCAGGTAGTGTAGATTCAAGTTTGTTCAAATCTTGACCCCCGGGGGTAGGATGGGGCCACAATGCACAATCAGTGTTTAACATATTGATATATAGGGAAAAATTTTTCTAAAATCTTTTTCTCAAGAACATCAAAGCTATGTTAAGTCACATTGATATGGAACTGTCTTGAGGTAGTGTAGATTCAAATTTGTTCAAATCATGACCTAGAGGGAAAGGGTGAGGCTACATCTATAAAAGTCATGACACAAAGGGGGGGGGGTCACAATAGGGATAAAAGATTAACATAGGAATATATAATAGAAAAAATCTGCTGATGAAGAGATGAAGAACAGTAGGGCCTTATTGACTCAGGTGAGTGTTGTGGCCCATGGACCTCTTGTTTTCCCTTTCAGATATGATTGAGGCAGTTTTTCTTCTTTCAGATATAATTGGGGCATTTAGTGAATTGGCTAAAGAGAGCTTGGCGTTAATCATTGTGGTTGATGTGGGACTCTTGAAAAAAGATGAAGATTACAAAAATAAGTTTACCAATGTTCTGAATTCTGATGCAGCGAAGGGAAAATGCAGGATACGACCTTATTACACATCAGTTTTATACAACTATGAAAACTGTTGTGAATTTCAGGGTGGCATTAAGGAATGTTATCAAAAGAATGACCTAGAAAAAAAATTTGTTAGTTTTGACATTAAGGGTAATCAAACTGATGTGGAGAAAGTAATAATGAAAAAACTTAAAAAACGTCTACCTCCCATTTCAGCTTCTGATAGAGCTTCTAAATCAAAGCACAATTGTATTTCAAAAGTGACAAGCAATGGGAATTATAAAAGCTGTGAATCTGCAAACTTTTCTGTGAATAAAACGCCAAATTCTTGTCCAGATTACTCGAGAATGGAAAGCTACATGAGCAGTACAAGTGAGACACCTCTGTTCATTTCATAGGGCTTTCTACAGATAAAATGACATTGTCTATGAGTACCAGTTATTTGTCATTCAAAGATTGTTCAACCATACAAATGTTCTAGGCTTTAATATTGCATGTATATATTTTTTCCGGTGATTATTTTTGGTCCATGGAAATAAGATGTTTAAAAAGTTCAGGGGAAATATATATCTGTTAGGTAAAAAGCAATCTCAAATGTGTGATTTTTAAAGTTTTCCAGTCAGAGGAAGTGATATATATAGCATCACTCTTCTCTAGGAAAATTATTTGACCTAAGTCCCACACATAGTGCTAATAAAGGCATATACAACTGTAATGGATGTTACTACATGTTTATGGTTGTATAATTATGAGTTAAATGGCCATTTTCTATCCAGAGTTGTTGTTCCTGCCATGCTTCCAAATACACCTCTGTCAATGCTCATTGTACAAGATTCTTGTACAAGTTTTGAATGGTGAAAGTTTATATAAATAGATAATAATAATATTAAAAAAAACATTTGTAGAGTGGCCTATATAATAAAAATTACCCTAAGGGGTTTAACAATAAGGATATACTGATATAAATGTGCAAGATGTTAATCAAAATTTTGAATTATTGTAATTATCAAATTGAATAAAGATGACAATTTGTCATTTATTTCAAATCTATCATCACTTCAAATGATTTATTTTTAAAGTTTTGAAGGAACTATTTTGCAGAGTAAAAATTGAAAAACTTTTTTAAAAAAATCCTTTTAAGGGTAAAATTCCATTGATAAATTTTCCGAGAACTTTGTAAGTTTTACATGTTATATATATGAAATATTTCAGACACTTGTTATAAGTTCAGAATCAACAAGTCTCTAATGATAGATGGCCAAATAATAGTAAAAATCATCATCATATAAAATAAATAAACTTCACGCATAATAAAGATGTATCTCTGATAAATGTAGAAAAAAAAATTGAGGATATATATCTTGAAAGTCAAAATCTAACCGAATCTCAAATAAATTTTTGTACACTGCAAAATATATGATTATTTACATCAGTAGATAAGGAATCTTTTCCTCATAATAAAAAAAGAGTATTAACTATTGTCAAATGGTTAAATTTAAGAATATTGTTGACTAGGTCATTTCTTGGCCTCCATATTTCTTAGATGCAAAGCTTGACAGCATGAACAATTGGGTGAGTCTGTTATAATTCGTTCATAGCTGTGGTTGTTGTCATACCATATAATCTTCAAACTTCACTCACAGGTTATTAGAATTGACCTTGGCCATAATTTTTTGAGCAAAATTTTAAGCAAATGAAAAACTTATTTGTATTTAGGAGAGTGATTTGTCAAATAAAAATACAACTTACCTATAAAGGTTCTTTCATGGTTTTTTTTTTTGTTTTTTTCAGTTAATTATTTAGATATAGCACAGCCTCCTCATTTTTTGTTTAATTTGAATAATTCACTAGATGTGATTAAAAGTGGTACACACATTCATGTAGCTTGGCTGAACTATTACAGTACGTATTCTATATGTTTGTAGCTGGCTTATTAAGCAGTGTGTATTGTATTGATCAGTGCATTAAATAAATCCACAACATTGTTTGAGTTTCATTTTCTTTACCAACATCCAGCACACATTAAAACCAAATACTTTAAGGTTCAATATCCCTCTGTTCACTTATATAAAAACTTTCTTTAACGCTTATGATCATCCAAAAGAAATCTAATTCATAATTTAAATGCACACAATTTTAGCATACCTTGCGGGGCAAAATTTGACATAAATGGCTTGTAAACTTGACAATTTTATAAAGGAATAATAGTTATTTATAACAGTAAGAGTTATCTCTCTTATCAGAGTATCAATGAACTTTAAGACTGTGATAGCTTGTTTAAATTGGAAAGCCTGTTTGAGATAATATATGTGACATCACGTGCACATTTAGATGACTATTTTTTAAACTGAGTCAGGTCACTGACAAATAAGTTGATGTTAAAGGGGTATCAACAATCTCGTTCAAAATAAGGTACTGCAGCATAATACAAATACACATCATAAAGAAGAAGCCATAACATATAATCACAAGCACCTGACGTTGTCTAGTTTTCTTATTGTAAATAATCCCCCCCCCCCACCTAATAAAAGGGGGGAAATAAACAATGTCAGGTGCCTGTGGATACATTATGTATAATGTAAAGGCACGATCTTATCATAAAAATCCACCACATAAGGCAGATGTGACGTTCCATACCCCCCCCCCCTTCCCAACTGTATTCAAGTGTCAAAATGCTGGGCATTTTTTTTTTAGTGAGACCTGTGTGGTTACTTTGTAGTAAACGAATTCAATTGCTACATATATCGCTGTATAGGATTTAAGTCTTCCCATAAATGTATTTGCTTAAATCACCTTCATATTGAGATGATGGAAGTTTAAAAATACTATTTTTCTTTCCTTCTTACAATTATACAACTTGACAGAAATGGTAACCTGAGTTTAAAATATAGCCTTACTCCTCACAAACATTTTTATAGCTGTGTAGGAGAAACTCCAGACGTATTGTTCTACAACATATTCAAGAAGTGGAGTAATTCAAATGTGGATTCTCAAAAACTCCAAAGAACTTTTGGAAATTAAATTTTAAACTTGAATTTTTTTTCAAACACCAAAGCATTAAAACATTTCTACGCTTAATACAACGAATGATAAATTAAAGAACAGACTTGTTGACATAAACAACAGTTACTGCTTCCTCAATAAAAATGGAACGCGTGTTTTTCATGTCTTGTGAATGGTTATCTACAAAATCTGTTAAAAATCAATCTGATTTTACATACAAGTTCTCTGAAGAACTCCAGCATCTTTTAAACGTCGTATTTAAAGATACTGGAGTTCTTCATTGACGTTGTCTATGTAGTCTTTGGATGTTTTACTGACTATAGACGATAATGGGCAACTATAAATAAATGAACTGAAATTTAATAGACTTTAGATATAAAATTGTTAAAATACATATTATGTCATTATTTAGTAATAAATTTTAAAGCAAAACGTCATATTTTCCTGTTCCGCCAAAATATATAGTGAGTTCCTTTCCATGTTAGTTGTAAAAGGTGAAGATAACAAACAGTGATCAATCTCATAAATCCCGTAAACAAAACGAATTGTAAATAGGACAAAAACACCGGAGGTGGAATCAGGTGCTTAAGAGGAGTAAGCATGCCTTGTCGACTAGTCACATCCTATGTCTTGACCATAGACGGAGTACCCCATCCTATTAATGCAGTTCTCAATTTTAAACAATCAAAGTCTTAAACGATTTTCTGAACTAAATAAAATTTATATCTTAAGTCTTAAATTTCAAGGTTTATCAAATAAATATATTTTAATTTCACTGTGTAGAAACGGAGTTTAACGGACTAGGGTAAAGTGCGTTACCCTAGTCCAAGATGGCGACAAGCAAAAACGCTTCACATTTTCTCGTACAGATATCGGTGATTTTTACTTTATTTTGCACCAATCTGTCGGACAGCTTCAGTTTTACATGCTCGCTTGAAGACTGTATTCTACTTTAGCGTAATTAAAAAGAAAATGCACATCAAAGGTTTGCTTCAGATTAGGGTAAAGTTTTTGAACTATTTATTTACGATTAGGGTGAAGTTTTTTTCGAGGCTAGGGTAAAGTTATTTATTCTACAATCTGATTGTGCACGATGTTGATTTTTTTTTAACTGCTTTATACAATTAATTTAGTTGGAAAAAACTTTCTTGAAAATGTTCGAAGAACTTGTTGCTTCCACAAAGAGGTCATAACAATTGCAATTTTTTTTAATAACCACAATTTTCATACAAAATATTACTCTTATTATGAACGATAAATTTTCCGTTTCAAGTACATATATTATTTTATTGTTAAATAAATATACATGTATAGATTATGTAATTAATTTATTTGATTTAAATTTAAGTATTGTTTCCTGTAAAAATCTAAATCTACTTTGCATCTTTTAATCCCCACTTTGGGCGAAATCATCGAACATGAATCAACCTATATGTCTTAATTGCATTTATTGGTACTCAACAGCAACGGAGTTAAATCCGTAGTTGATACGTAGTCCGCAATTGTAATTGAAATAAACTTTTATCAACTGAAATACGAAAAAAAAAATAGTATTCATGCTCTAAAGTCCAGTTAAACAATACAAATTGTAAGCAGTGCAAACAAGGACCTCTGAAAACATCAGAGGTGAGATCTAGTGCCATGGGGAGTAGGCATTATTTTTCGATCGGTCACCTCCGAAAAATATCTTTTGTTAATGAGATGAACGGAAAATGTGTTCACATTCAGCAAGAAAATAATGAACTAACAATTTATAAGAAATACAGAAGTCAACACTCGAGCTAACAACATGATGTATTTGCTAACAAGAACATTGCATTGACCAGAGAATTTGCGAACTGTTGGCTTTAAACGAAAATGTTGATAGCCTTATCATCAACTTCTTCGTTAGCAGTCTGTCTCGTTTTTAGAAATTGTTAGTACGAAAACATGCTCTTGCTTACTGAATCCACTGGCGACATAAACCTAATTGCAGATGAAAATGATATTAATATTGCTACATAAATAAGGGAAGTTGAGGATGGAAGAGTTGGAGTCATCACGTTTATCATTAACTTTTCAGCTTAGGTGTTAGTTTACCATTAATATCTTTTTTGAGTAAAACATCCTAATATGTAATGTGTCAAAATCTGTAGTATCTTTTATTGAGTTTAATGGGACATATCGAATCAATGTTTGAATGAAAATGAATATTGTTAATTGACAAAACATCATCAATATATCTAACTGTTAAGTTGAAGGTCACAGCAAGAGGCTTTTTTTTTTTTTTACACTTAATCGCAAACATGGATTTTGTTTTAAAGTATAATAATGTAAATTGAGAAGATTTCGAGATTGGTCAATTTCATAAATCAGTAAGCAAAAGAGCGCTCTTTTTGTTCGGAAAAAATTTCTATGCGTTGCTAAGGAGATTGAATTTAAGTGTTCTAATTTTCTAAGTGTAATTCCTTGAATGCTGGAATACCATTTGTTTTAGTTAAGAATATTTTAAGTACTTAGGTACAATTTTTATGAAAAAAACTTGCACATATTTTTTGACTCTACTCCCAGATTAATCTGCCTTTATTTTACTTTTGAACAAATGTTTTGCCAAAGTTTTTTTTTTCAATATAGGAACAGCAAAGTTTATTTTGCCCGTTTTTCTCAATCTAGGGTTAAGCTTATAAGTGATAGTAAAATAAAATTTTCTGTATAATATGCAAATCTAAATGCAAAAAACGTAATTGAGAGAGAGAGAGAGTATACTCAGAAGTTGATGACACAAGGATATCAACCTTCTCGTTTAAAGTCGGCGTTTCACAAAATTACATGATCATGACAAAGAGTACACGACAGGCTTTACCGGTCGACAGGGTATGCTCACTCCTCCATGGCATCTGATCCCAACCTCTGTTTTCATTTTTCAGAGGTCCGTGTTTGCTCTGCTCATAATTTGTATTGTTTAAATTGGATTTTGAGTATGATTTCTGTTCGTTATTTTCACATTTCATTGATGATACTTTAACTGATCTGTTGATATTTGATTTTTCGCCGTATCTAAATCAACAGAACACTGTTTCCAAAACTTAATTTATTTTATAAAAGAAACATAATCTGATTTGAACAAATTTCGGTCACTGTGCTCTTCCAGAAATTGTCAGCGCACTGAGTGGTTGGTGCAATGAATTAACATTTTTAAAACCCCGGAACAAGCAAGACGACATTTTACACATGCTTTATCCTAATCACTCAAAGAGGTCACAAAATATTTACCCTTTAGTCGTAAATTTGCATTACCCTAATGTTCAAAATTTCTACCCGTAATTTGGCTTTAATCAGCACCGATCATGCAAAAGTTTTGCAATAGCTATACGTACTTCTGTTTAAAATACTTAAAATAAAACCACCCATTTCACAGATGACGTCTGTGGATCCATCAGTTACAACACACTGACTGTATTATTTATCAATTATATATGCACATTGTCTCCCTTCCACCGTGTAATCAAATGATGTGTATACATGCTAATTGTGTTATTGTATACAGTTGGGGATTCAGAACTTTCAGAGCGGGGTTGCGGGGATGTTTAAGGATGGGCTTTTGACAATCCCGAAAATAATCCGAACCCGAACGAAAATCTTATTTTCTGTGTGTGTGTGGGGGGGGGGGGGGGTGTTACTAACAGAAGGTTCAGACCTTTTCGAAAAAAAAAACATTATTCGAATCCTCCCTGATACTAAGTGTCTGAACGTTACGTGTGGATAAATTGAGAGTTTATACAAGTTAAACAAACAAAATGTTTCATCCAGAAAAAGACAATTTTATATCAATTTTATGAAACTCTTAACATAAGACATTACACAATTTCTTTTTACTGTTCTGAATGTATTAATTTCGGGGGAAACACGAACTGATGCTAAAAAAAGGTTTTGTAAACAATGTTTACATCAAAGGAATTTTGTTCTTATAGGGAATGGGTAGTTCATTTTTGTTTACCTTATA